ACCCGTGAGTTGAGCTTAGACCCGTGAGTTAAGACCCGTGAGTTGAGCTTAGACCCGTGAGTTGAGCTTAGACCCGTGAATTAAGACCCGTGAGTTGAGCTTAGACCCGTGAGTTGAGCTTAGACCCGTGAGTTGAGCTTATACCCGTGAGTTAAGACCCGTGAGTTGAGCTTAGACCCGTGAGTTGAGCTTAGACCCGTGAGTTGAGCTTATACCCGTGAGTTAAGACCCGTGAGTTGAGCTTAGACCCGTGAGTTGAGCTTAGACTCGTGAGTTAAGACCCGTGAGTTGAGACCCGTGAGTTGAGCTTAGACCCGTGAGTTAAGACCCGTGAGTTGAGCTTAGACTCGTGAGTTAAGACCCGTGAGTTGAGACCCGTGAGTTGAGCTTAGACCCGTGAGTTAAGACCCGTGAGTTGAGCTTAGACTCGTGAGTTAAGACCCGTGAGTTGAGCTTAGACCCGTGAGTTGAGCTTAGACCCGTGAGTTGAGCTTAGACTCGTGAGTTGAGCTTAGCCCCAGCTAACGTTGAGTAGCTGGATTATAATGCTTTAATGTTGGTCCAAATATTTTCCCCATATTTTCTAAGTGATAACGGTACACTTTTTTTTCCCCAGGGAAATCACAAAGTAAACAAAACCTACAACCATTCGCTCTAGACCCGGATGTTTCTAGCCTTGAACTTGGTAAGCAAATGTTCCTTTACATTTTCTTAACAATTTTTACTTGAGGCTCTCGTGATACCCTGCCACTGGGGACAGAGGAACACCAGTTTACCAAAGTGACCGCATGACACCAGTCTACCAAAGTGACACCAGTCTATCAAAGTGACACCATGACACCAGTCAATCAAAGTGACACCATGACACCAGTCTACCAAAGTGACACCATACTATGGCTGATTATTTTGTAGGGGTCTGCTAATATGCTCTCAGTAACAAAAACGTGCACTAATTTCAATAATTTTTGCTTGCTATTTTAATTATATTTAATGTGTTTAAAAACCAAACGCCGGTGAGTAGAGCATTACAGCAACATCTATTTGATCAGTAGATATCAGTAAGTTGACTGGAGAGTAAAAGAAGATATTATTCAAAATATTTCGTCCCTTTAAATATATTGGGCCCTCAGCTGCTGCTCCATCAGCCCGTCACTAAACCTGAAGTGGTTTAAGTAGCTTCTTCAGTACCGTGCAAAACCTCTTAGGAAAATTCTGAACCACTGGATTCAACGCGAGATTTTTAAAGACACCTGTAAAAATGTTTTGTCCTCAGGCACTCCCGAGTGTGCCCTGTACCCCGAGGGTGAAGCGGCCATTGATGACGCATGGAGAACGTGCCCGAAGCACCCCGGTCACGTGGATTTCATACCTGTTACTAAATTTAAACTAAAGAACATTCCAAAATGCAAATTTCGGAAAGAGATATTTGACGTCATCAAAGCCATGTCGTCGGTGACGGTTCGAATCTCACTCAGACGTGTGAGCCCGGCTAGACCTGACGTCATCCCCGACACGACGTCCAGCTACTTCCTCAGCAAGTTCCGGGGCAGCAACTGCCTCCGGTTTGGCAGCGGGGTGGTCAGGGAGGTGAGAATCTTCCAGAACGACCAGCAGACGTGCACGTGCGTGGAGTGTGAGCACTCGACAAGTCCGGCAGCGGAATGGGGTCAGGTGTTTGTCAACTCGGCCACTCGGCCACTCGTCAACTCGGCCACTCACGTCGTCTTCGATAACGACGAGGCGCGGGATGTCAAAGTTTTCTTTTTTCAAGACGACGATGTCAAGGAAAGACCGGAGCTGACCTTGACCGGTGTAGAACTAAAGTGGGCAGAGGTCAAGGACGACAGGTGCCAGATCGTCTGCGCCAGCCACAACCTGAAGCTCTTGAAGGACGTTGAGAGCAAGGTCAAGGTCTACACGGAGCTGTACAAGCAGCTGGTCCAGAGACATCAAGACGTGGCAGACGAGACAAAACTCGCGGCAGCTGGTCCAGAGACATCAGGACGTGGCAGACGAGACGAAACTCGCGGCAGCTGGTCCAGAGACATCAAGACGTGGCAGACGAGACAAAACTCGCGGCAGCTGGTCCAGAGACATCAAGACGTGGCAGACGAGACAAAACTCGCGGCAGCTGGTCCAGAGACATCAGGACGTGGCAGACGAGACAAGCAGCTGGTCCAGAGACATCAAGACGTGGCAGACGAGACAAGCAGCTGGTCCAGAGACATCAGGACGTGGCAGACGAGACAAAACTCGCGGCCATCGCGTCTCATCCCCATGGCAACGTCAAGCACGTCAGCGTGGGTCACTGGACCCGCAAAATGGAGGTCGGGTCAACAGGGGTCAAGTACTGGTACAACACCTGCACCTGCCCGGGGTCGAGCGGGGGTCCAGTCTTTGTTCTAGGCAGGGAGGGTGGGGTCAGATACAACCACCCACACAGCGGCTCAAAGGCAAAGTCCAACAACTACAGCGGCATCTGGTTGTATTGACTGACGGCGTTGGTTAAAGTTAAGGTCACTGGAGTTGGTTAAGGTCACTGGGGTTGGTTAAGGTTAAGGTCACTGGGGTTGGTTAAGGTTAAGGTCACTGGAGTTGGTTAAGGTTAAGGTCACTGGGGTTGGTTAAGGTTAAGGTCACTGGAGTTGATTAAGGTTAAGGTCACTGGGGTTGGTTAAGGTTAAGGTCACTGGGGTTGGTTAAGGTTAAGGTCACTGGAGTTGGTTAAGGTTAAGGTCACTGGAGTTGGTTAAGGTCACTGGAGATGGTTAAGGTTAAGGTCACTGGGGTTGGTTAAGGTTAAGGTCACTGGAGTTGATTAAGGTTAAGGTCACTGGGGTTGGTTAAGGTTAAGGTCACTGGGGTTGGTTAAGGTTAAGGTCACTGGAGTTGGTTAAGGTTAAGGTCACTGGAGTTGGTTAAGGTCACTGGAGATGGTTAAGGTTAAGGTCACTGGGGTTGGTTAAGGTCACTGGAGTTGGTTAAGGTCACTGGAGATGGTTAAGGTCACTGGAGTTGGTTAAGGTTAAGGTCACTGGGGTTGGTTAAGGTTAAGGTCACTGGAGTTGGTTAAGGTTAAGGTCACTGGGGTTGGTTAAGGTCACTGGAGTTGGTTAAGGTTAAGGTCACTGGGGTTGGTTAAGGTCACTGGAGTTGGTTAAGGTTAAGGTCACTGGAGTTGATTAAGGTTAAGGTCACTGGAGTTGATTAAGGTTAAGGTCACTGGAGTTGGTAAAGGTCACTGGGGTTGGTTAAGGTCACTGGAGTTGGTTAAGGTCACTGGAGTTAGTTAAGGTCACTGGAGTTGGTTAAGGTGAAGGTCACTGGAGGTGGTTAAGGTCACTGGAGTTGGTTAAGGTCACTGCAGTTGGTTAAGTTTAAGGTCACTGGGTTGGTTAAGGTCACTGGAGTTGGTTAAGGTCACTGGAGTTGGTTAAGGTCACTGGAGTTGGTTAAAGTCACTGGAGTTGGTTAAGGTCACTGGGGTTGGTTAAGGTTACTGGAGATGGTTAAGGTTAAGGTCACTGGAGTTGGTTAAGGTTAAGGTCACTGGAGTTGGTTAAGGTCACTGGGGTTGGTTAAGGTCACTGGAGTTGGTTAAGGTCACTGGAGTTGGTTAAGGTGAAGGTCACTGGAGTTGGTTAAGGTCACTGGAGTTGGTTAAGGTTAAGGTCACTGGAGTTGGTTAAGGTCACTGGAGTTGGTTAAAGTCACTGGAGTTGGTTAAGGTCACTGGAGTTGGTTAAGGTTACTGGAGATGGTTAAGGTTAAGGTCACTGGAGTTGGTTAAGGTGAAGGTCACTGGAGTTGGTTAAGGTCACTGGAGTTGGTTAAGGTCACTGCAGTTGGTTAAGTTTAAGGTCACTGGGTTGGTTAAGGTCACTGGAGTTGGTTAAGGTCACTGGAGTTGGTTAAGGTCACTGGAGTTGGTTAAAGTCACTGGAGTTGGTTAAGGTCACTGGAGTTGGTTAAGGTTACTGGAGATGGTTAAGGTTAAGGTCACTGGAGTTGGTTAAGGTTAAGGTCACTGGAGTTGGTTAAGGTCACTGGGGTTGGTTAAGGTCACTGGAGTTGGTTAAGGTCACTGGAGTTGGTTAAGGTCACTGGAGTTGGTTAAGGTCACTGGAGTTGGTTAAGGTGAAGGTCACTGGAGTTGGTTAAGGTCACTGGAGTTGGTTAAGGTTAAGGTCACTGGAGTTGGTTAAGGTCACTGAAGTTGGTTAAAGTCTTTGGAGTTGGTTAAGGTCACTGGAGTTGGTTAAGGTTACTGGAGATGGTTAAGGTTAAGGTCACTGGAGTTGGTTAAGGTTAAGGTCACTGGAGTTGGTTAAGGTTAAGGTCACTGGAGTTGGTTAAGGTCACTGGGGTTGGTTAAGGTCACTGGAGTTGGTTAAGGTTAAGGTTACTGGAGATGGTTAAGGTTAAGGTCACTGGAGTTAGTTAAGGTTAAGGTAATTGGAGTTGGTTAAGGTCACTGGAGTTGGTTAAGGTTAAGGTCACTGGAAATGGTTAAGGTCACTGGAGTTGGTTAAGGTCACTGGAGTTGGTTAAGGTCACTGAGATGGTTAAGGTCACTGGAGTTGGTTAAGGTTAAGGTCACTGGAGTTGGTTAAGGTTAAGGTCACTGGAGTTGGTTAAGGTCACTGGAGTTGGTTAAGGTTAAGGTCACTGGAGTTGGTTAAGGTCACTGGCGTTGGTTAAGGTTAAGGTCACTGGAGTTGGTTAAGGTTAAGGTCACTGGAGTTGGTTAAGGTTAAGGTCACTGGAGTTGGTTAAGGTTAAGGTCACAAACTCTAAGAGTTAGGTCACTCGGTTAGGGACATCTGGGGACAGTTTTAGGTCACTACAGTTAGGGTCAGGTGTAATGAACCTCATCTAAAAAATTTAAACTTTATGACTGTAATGAGATATGTTTTTAATGTATTCTATTCAGTATTTTGATATTGCTGATAATTGTATCTTTTTTTAATTAGTCTAGACGACAATAAAATAAACAGCAGTAAATTGTTTGAATTTATTCGCCATAAAATATGAACGATCGACATTCTAGAACATTCTATAAACTCTGTGAAGGTAATACAACAAAATTTAATTGCATATATCAACCCCCCCCCCCTCCACATCCCCCTTTGTTCGTCCTGGATACGTTTCAATGCTGCCTGATGTCAACAGATGTGTACACAATGAAGTAGACAACATGTACACAATCAACAGACAACATGTACACAATCATTTAGACAACATGTACACAATCAATTAGACAACATGTACACAATCAAGTAGACAACATGTACACAATCAAGTAGACAACATGTACACAATCAAGTAGACAACATGTACACAATCAAGTAGACAACATGTACACAATCAAGTAGACAACATGTACACAATCAACAGACAACATGTACACAATCAACAGACAACATGTACACAATCAACAGACAACATGTACACAATCAAGTAGACAACATGTACACAATCAAGTAAACATGTACGCAATCAAAAGACAACATGTACACAATCAAGTAGACAACATGTACACAATCAAGTAGACAACATGTACACAATCAAGTAGACAACATGTACGCAATCAAAAGACAACATGTACACAATCAAGTAGACAACACGTACACAATCAAGTAGACAACATGTACACAATCAACAGACAACATGTACACAATCAACAGACAACATGTACACAATCAAGTAGACAACATGTACACAATCAACACAAAACATGTACACACAATCAACAGACAACATGTATACAATGTACACAATCAAGTAGACAACTTGTACACGCCCATGTATGATGACGTATGAAGGAATTTCACTGTGTCCTTGTGTGTAATGTGTAGCTGTATGACGTCATCTACCAGCAGGTAGAAAACACCGCCTGAAGATTTCAAAACGTGCCGGAATAGGTGAGTTGATTGAGTGACATTAGCCCAGGCTAGACACCCACACATACAGCCACACAACCCAGACACCCACATAGACACCCACACAGACACCCACACAACCCAGACACCCACACAGACACCCACACAGACATCCACACAGACACCCACACAGACATCCACACACACCCACACTATCCACCCACACAGACACCCATACAGACACCCACACAGACACCCATACAGACACCCACACTAACAAGACACCCACACAGACACCCACACAACCCAGACACCCACACTAACAAGACACCCACACAGACACCCACACAGACACCCACACAGACACCCACACTACCCAGCCACCCACACAGACACCCATACAGACACCCACACTAACAAGACACCCACACAGACACCCCCACAGACACCCACACTACCCAGCCACACTACCAAGACACCCACACAGACACCCACACAGACACCCACACAGACTCTCACACACAGACACCCACACAGACACCCACATAACACAGACACCCACACAGACACCCACACAGACACCCACACTACCCAGCCACATTACCAAGACACCCACACAGACACCCATACAGACACCCACACAGACACCCACACAGACACCCACACAGACACCCACACTACCCAGCCACACTACCAAGACACCCACACAGACACCCACACAGACACCCACACAGACACCCACACAGACACCCACACTACCCAGCCACACTACCAAGACACCCACACAGACACCCACACAGACACCCACACAGACACCCACACAGACACCCACACTACCCAGCCACACTACCAAGACACCCACACAGACACCCACACAGACTCTCACACACAGACACCCACACAGACACCCACACACACCAGAGAAAGCCGTCTGGTTGTCCTTGAGAGAGAAGCAAGTGTGTCTAGACTTGACCAAGACTTGACTGTAGGAACCGGAAATACTCAACCGTCGTACCTCGTGACCCCAGGTCTGTTGAGGAAATGACGTCATAGAACACGTCAACCAATGGACATAAAGAATGTTTAAAATAGTTTCGTCATTGCCGATGGTCTCAGGTTAAAAAGTTTACCGTTAAATTCTTCTCTGTGTAGGAAAAGTTTACCGTTAAATTATTCTCTGTGCAGGCTGTATTGGAGCTAAACTGAAGGCTGCTGTAGGTGTAGTAGGCGCCTGGTGGTCAGATGTGGTCACGTGACGTGAGAGATGGGGGGATGATGGGGGGGGGATGATGGGTGGATGTACGGTGGATGATGGGTGGATAATGGGGTGGATAATGGGGTGGATAATGGGATGGATGTAAGGTGGATAATGGGGTGATGATCGGTGGATGCAAGGTGGATAAAGGGGTGGATGATGGGGGGATAATGGGTGGATAATGGGGTGATGATCGGCGGATGCAACGTGGATAATGAGGTTGATGTAAGGTTGTGGATAATGGGGGTAGATGATGGGTGAATGTAAAATGGATGATGGGTCGCAAGCCAAGAAAGATCTAAGTACCGCTGTGCTGGATGATGAAACCCTCTGTAGTGACCTTGACCTTGCTGACGTGCTCGCTGCCTTCCTGTGTTGTGTTTGGGTCAAATCCTAAAACAACTGAGTCGTCTGCGTCTGGGGACATTATTCGAGGGAAGTAATTCTCGCTGAGGGACGTGGTTGGACGGTAGGACGGACACACCCTTTTTATAGGAGGGACATGGTTGGACGGTAGGACGGACACGCCCTTTTTATAGGAGGGACATGGTTGGACGGACACGCCCTTTTTATAGGAGGGACATGGTTGGACGGTAGGACGGACACGCCCTTTTTATAGGAGGGACATGGTTGGACGGTAGGACGGACACGCCCTTTTTATAGGAGGGACATGGTTGGACGGTAGGACGGACACGCCCTTTTTATAGGAGGGACATGGTTGGACGGACACGCCCTTTTTATAGGAGGGACATGGTTGGGCGGTAGTACGGACACGCCCTTTTTATAGGAGGGACATGGTTGGACGGTAGGACATGCTTGAGTTCACCCAGCTCTGACGGGTACCTGACTCAGGGGAAGGTACAGCCAGTCGAGCACTGAACATATGCTGAGGTATGTCTCTAGAACTGAACACACTATCCCTTGTATGCTGAGGTCTCTAGAACTGAACACACTATCCCTTGTATGCTGAGGTCTCTAGAACTGAACACACTATCCCTTGTATGCTGAGGTAGGTCTCTAGAACTGAACACACTATCCCTTGTATGCTGAGGTCTCTAGAACTGAACACACTATCCCTTGTATGCTGAGGTCGGTCTCTAGAACTGAACACACTATCTCTTGTATGCTGAGGTAGGTCTCTAGAACTGAACACACTATCTCTTGTATGCTGAGGTAGGTCTCTAGAACTGAACACACTATCCCTTGTATGCTGAGGTCTCTAGAACTGAACACACTATCTCTTGTATGCTGAGGTCTCTAGAACTGAACACACTATCCCTTGTATGCTGAGGTCGGTCTCTAGAACTGAACACACTATCCCTTGTATGCTGAGGTAGGTCTCTAGAACTGAACACACTATCCCTTGTATGCTGAGGTCTCTAGAACTGAACACACTATCCCTTGTATGCTGAGGTCTCTAGAACTGAACACACTATCCCTTGTATGCTGAGGTAGGTCTCTAGAACTGAACACACTATCCCTTGTATGCTGAGGTCTCTAGAACTGAACACACTATCCCTTGTATGCTGAGGTCTCTAGAACTGAACACACTATCCCTTGTATGCTGAGGTAGGTCTCTAGAACTGAACACACTATCTCTTGTATGCTGAGGTAGGTCTCTAGAACTGAACACACTATCTCTTGTATGCTGAGGTAGGTCTCTAGAACTGAACACACTATCCCTTGTATGCTGAGGTCTCTAGAACTGAACACACTATCTCTTGTATGCTGAGGTCTCTAGAACTGAACACACTATCCCTTGTATGCTGAGGTAGGTCTCTAGAACTGAACACACTATCCCTTGTATGCTGAGGTAGGTCTCTAGAACTGAACACACTATCTCTTGTATGCTGAGGTAGGTCTCTAGAACTGAACACACTATCTCTTGTATGCTGAGGTAGGTCTCTAGAACTGAACACACTATCCCTTGTATGCTGAGGTAGGTCTCTAGAACACTATCTCTTGTATGCTGAGGTAGGTCTCTAGAACTGAACACACTATCTCTTGTATGCTGAGGTAGGTCTCTAGAACTGAACACACTATCTCTTGTATGCTGAGGTACGTCTCTAGAACTGAACACACTATCCCTTGTATGCTGAGGTAGGTCTCTAGAACTGAACACACTATCCCTTGTATGCTGAGGTAGGTCTCTAGAACTGAACACACTATCTCTTGTATGCTGAGGTAGGTCTCTAGAACTGAACACACTATCCCTTGTATGCTGAGGTCTCTAGAACTGAACACACTATCCCTTGTATGCTGAGGTAGGTCTCTAGAACTGAACACACTATCCCTTGTATGCTGAGGTAGGTCTCTAGAACTGAACACACTATCCCTTGTATGCTGAGGTCTCTAGAACTGAACACACTATCCCTTGTATGCTGAGGTCTCTAGAACTGAACACACTATCCCTTGTATGCTGAGGTAGGTCTCTAGAACTGAACACACTATCCCTTGTATGCTGAGGTCTCTAGAACTGAACACACTATCCCTTGTATGCTGAGGTAGGTCTCTAGAACTGAACACACTATCCCTTGTATGCTGAGGTAGGTCTCTAGAACTGAACACACTATCCCTTGTATGCTGAGGTAGGTCTCTAGAACTGAACACACTATCCCTTGTATGCTGAGGTAGGTCTCTAGAACTGAACACACTATCCCTTGTATGCTGAGGTCTCTAGAACTGAACACACTATCCCTTGTATGCTGAGGTCTCTAGAACTGAACACACTATCCCTTGTATGCTGAGGTAGGTCTCTAGAACTGAACACACTATCCCTTGTATGCTGAGGTCTCTAGAACTGAACACACTATCCCTTGTATGCTGAGGTAGGTCTCTAGAACTGAACACACTATCCCTTGTATGCTGAGGTAGGTCTCTAGAACTGAACACACTATCCCTTGTATGCTGAGGTAGGTCTCTAGAACTGAACACACTATCCCTTGTATGCTGAGGTAGGTCTATAGAACTGAACACACTATCCCTTGTATGCTGAGGTATCTAAAACAGATACATTCCATAAGCCAGAGACTTTACTTTGGATTACTTAGGTCCCAACCATTTAAAATATAAATTGCAAGGGGAGTAACCTCTCCATTTTTAAAATAATTTTATTGAAAATAATCTTTGGTCCTTTTGGTGAAATCTTTGAGTGTACGTTAATCACCCTCTGTTGTAGATCACTGCACCCAGAGTGTATGGCACTCTTTAAAACACACCACACCCAGAGTGTATGGCACTCTTTAGAGCACACCGCACCCAGAGTGTATGGCACTCTTTAAAACACACCACACCCAGAGTGTATGGCACTCTTTAAAACACACCACACCCAGAGTGTATGGCACTCTTTAAAACACACCGCACCCAGAGTGTATGGCACTCTTTAAAACACACTGCACCCAGAGTGTATGGCACTCTTATAACACACCGCACCCAGAGTGTATGGCACTCTTATAACACACCGCACCCAGAGTGTATGGCACTCTTTAAAACACACCGCACCCAGAGTGTATGGCACTCTTTAAAACACGCCGCACCCAGAGTGTATAGCACTCTTTAATGCACACCGCACCCAGAGTGTATAGCACTCTTTAAAACACACCGCACCCAGAGTGTATGGCACTCTTTAATGCACACCGCACCCAGAGTGTATAGCACTCTTTAAAACACACCGCACCCAGAGTGTATGGCACTCTTTAAAACACACCGCACCCAGAGTGTATGGCACTCTTTAATGCACACCGCACCCAGAGTGTATAGCACTCTTTAAAACACACCGCACCCAGAGTGTATGGCACTCTTTAAAACACACCGCACCCAGAGTGTATGGCACTCTTTAAAACACACCGCACCCAGAGTGTATAGCACTCTTTAAAACACACTGCACCCAGAGTGTATGGCACTCTTATAACACACCGCACCCAGAGTGTATGGCACTCTTATAACACACCGCACCCAGAGTGTATGGCACTCTTTAAAACACACCGCACCCAGAGTGTATGGCACTCTTTAAAACACACCGCACCCAGAGTGTATAGCACTCTTTAATGCACACCGCACCCAGAGTGTATAGCACTCTTTAAAACACACCGCACCCAGAGTGTATGGCACTCTTTAATGCACACCGCACCCAGAGTGTATAGCACTCTTTAAAACACACCGCACCCAGAGTGTATGGCACTCTTTAAAACACACCGCACCCAGAGTGTATGGCACTCTTTAAAACACACCGCACCCAGAGTGTATGGCACTCTTTAATGCACACCGCACCCAGAGTGTATGGCACTCTTTAAAACACACCGCACCCAGAGTGTATGGCACTCTTTAAAACACACTGGAGCCAGAGTGCTCACATGGGAGCCCGGGGCGCCAAATCGCAGCCTGCCGGGGCGCCAAATCATTTAGCAGAAACTTCCATAAAGTAATCTCAACAACTTCCCGAAGTTTGATGGCGATCGGGTGGACAAACAAAATGACAAACAGACAGATGGACAGGCTTTCGTGTTTATGTATCCAACTAGATTATCTACGGCCCAAAACAAGTGATTTCAGAACGGTTAGAAGCGAAATATCTGGTCATCATAAATTATGTCACTTCATACTGACATATGACGATATGTTGACATGTGTGACTGTACGTTGACTTATGTTTAGATATGTTGACTTATGTTTAGATAAACGATAGCAACTAATGAAAGGAGATTCTAACTTATTAGGTAGGCCAGGTAGGTAGGGGGGGGGGAGGGGGTAAAAAAATGACCTACAGCAATGACCTACTTATAAAAAACTGGCGTAGACATAACGGTCAGTCAAGCGTAACAGAAGATTTCTGGTTTCAAAAATACCAAGTACAAAAAAAATATTCTGAGGCCCAGAATTTGTTTTTAAAAAAAAAAAACTGAATCGAATGGGATCAAATTTTCCTTGAAATCAAGCGTCAACAGGAAGTAGTAATTTACGCTATTCACGATTTCTCAAAAAACGTACGTGAATTTATAATGTACTAATAATATTCCGCACTAGTATACCCATTTTATTTGGTGTTTACCTGGTGCGCAATTCTTTTTTCTACGAGATTTTGTTCTATTTAAAAGTTGATTAAAAATCGTGTCTATAGCCCAAGTTGCCATCCCCCGTAGTGTTATATAAGAAAATTCGAGAAAGTTTAGGGGAGATCACTCCCGGTTTATTTGTCCTTGTTTTTTCTACCCTTCGAATTTTCTTGTAAATTTTTGGTTTAAAATTTTTTATCTGTCTATGAAAGGTAATACATGTTTATAAGTTCCAACTTGATTTAAAATACCTGTATGTCTGTGAAAGGTAATACATGTTTATAAGTTCCAACTTGATTTAAAATACCTGTATGTCTGTGAAAGGTAATACATGTTTATAAGTTCCAACTTGATTTAAAATACCTGTATGTCTGTGAAAGGTAATACATGTTTACAAGTTCTAACTTGGTTTAAAATACCTGTATGTCTGTGAAAGGTAATACATGTTTACAAGTTCTAACTTGGTTTAAAATACCTGTATGTCTGTGAAAGGTAATACATGTTTACAAGTTCTAACTTGGTTTAAAATACCTGTATGTCTGTGAAAGGTAATACATGTTTATAAGTTCCAACTTGATTTAAAATACCTGTATGTCTGTGAAAGGTAATACATGTTTACAAGTTCTAACTTGGTTTAAAATACCTGTATGTCTGTGAAAGGTAATACATGTTTACAAGTTCTAACTTGGTTTAAAATACCTGTATGTCTGTGAAAGGTAATACATGTTTACAAGTTCTAACTTGGTTTAAAATACCTGTATGTCTGTGAAAGGTAATACATGTTTACAAGTTCTAACTTGGTTTAAAATACCTGTATGTCTGTGAAAGGTAATACATGTTTACAAGTTCTAACTTGGTTTAAAATACCTGTATGTCTGTGAAAGGTAATACATGTTTACAAGTTCTAACTTGGTTTAAAATACCTGCATGCCTGTTGAATAAAATAGTATTAAAAAATGTATTTTCTTACGCCTAGAGCATGTAAAAGCTTTTCTTTAAAAATGCTTAACATTTGATTTGTTTTAAATGATGTGAACAAAACGCGTTCGATCGTTGATCTGGTTTAGTTGTTGACACTAATACGATTCAGTTAACACTTCACAGGTAATAACAATCAGTAAAGCGCCTGATATCATGGCCCGGTCAAGGGCATTGATCAAGGTGTTTTTTTTTTCTGAGAATACCGTGTCAGCTAAAATTCTATGCGTACTTGGGCTCAATTTTTCATGAAACGGTAATTTCCGCTGAAAACAGATAACAAAATTTTCGAGGAAAAAAAACTCGATTGTCGAAAACGTTTAGACCAAAATGTGGTCGTGTTTTGTCTCGTCTCTAGCATTCGGGTAAGTCGATAACACAACAGGGGGGGGGGGGGGTACTTGGAATATGTTAATTAATAGCGCGGACTACTTGTTGATTAAAAGCACACGAGATTTTTTTGTTAAGTCATAAAAGCCCGAACACGCGATCTCCTATTTTTTAAAATCAAAGTTCTCTTACAGTCTATCGCTCTGTCAGCGATATAAAAACACGTTCCTAGACACACACCTTCAGTAAAAAATTAAAACGACAAAAACCCAAAACTTGACAAAGGCTTGAATTTCGACAAAAAAAAAACCCAAAAATTTACAAAAACCGGAAACGTGTCAAAATCTCGACAATTGACAAAAACCCAAACATGTACCAACTTACCTTCCGTTGTCTCCAGTTGCCTAGCAACATGTTTGTGTGCCAGTACGTTACCCAATGTCAAGGTCGTGTTGGTTTGGTTTGACCCGTCTGAAAGTGAGTAAATTATTGTGTACAAATTGAGCTGTGTACAGCCTATCATGTCATCTACCCATGTCATCTAATGTCACACAGTCCTGTTATTTAATGATGTCATTTAGTCATGTCATCTCAAGTCATCTACTCATGTCATCTAATGTCATATCATTTCGTCGAGTAGGCTGTCGAATAATGGTTAAATGACTGTTTAACAACTGGTTAACTGTTTAACAGCTGTTTAACAGCTGTTTAACAACTGGTTAACAACTGGTTAACTGTTTAACAACTGTTTAACAGCTGTTTAATAACTGGTTAACAACTGGTTAACTTTTTAACAACTGTTTAACAGCTGTTTAATAACTGGTTAACAACTAGTTAACTGTTTAACAACTGTTTAATAACTGGTTAACAACTGGTTAACAACTGGTTAACTGGTTAGCCTGAGTTACCTTTCCCTGGGTACCTGGACTGTGATAAAATCTGAAACATTTGACAACCTGGGGTCACAGGGTGGAGCTTGGTCGGGTGGAAAGTTACGTTATACAGGACAGGACAGTTAGACAGGACAGTTAGACAGGACAGTCAGATAGGACAGTCAGACAGGACAGTCAAACAGGACAGGACAGTTAGACAGGACAGTTAGACAGGACAGTCAGATAGGACAGTCAGACAGGACAGTCAAACAGGACAGGACAGTTAGACAGGACAGTCAGATAGGACAGTCAGACAGGACAGTTACCTGACTTAAGATGGCGGCCGCCTGTTGATACGTGCGAGCACAACAAAAATGGCGCCCAAACTGTGCTGCCTGCGTGTACAGGTCCCTGCAGGCGATGTCACTGCCACACAACCTGTCGCAGGAGTGACACACTGACCCCAGCAGAGCGTCTGTCTCATTAGTGTTGATCTAGAGAACAGATTTTAGAGATCCTTGTTTGATTGAAGGACTATCAAGTCACGTGACATTAAATACTAGCGTTTAAGTTTAAGATCAGAAGAATGAACAGACGTTAAGAAACGACAAGTCTTGTTTTATAGCAAGAAATGACAAGTCTGTTTTATAGCAGGGGTCTCCAAACTACGGGCCGCGGGCCGTATGCGGCCCGCGAGGTTCTCTCATCCGGCCCTCGGAGATCTTTTTGACCACCGAAAAAAATGTTTGTTGTAGGTGGCTGAAGAAGAATGCCACCCCAAATAGATGCCCGGGAGAAATTCTGGCCCCCGAACTTATATTTGATAGTTAATGCGGCCCTCGGGCTGAAAAGTTTGGAGACCCCTGTTTTATAGCAAGAAATTACAAGTCTTGTTTTATAGAAGAAATAACACATTAATATAATATGTAACAAAACGTACAAACAGGAACACCATGACTTACCTTTGGCGGCTGGTCACATGACTTACTGGTCACATGACTTACTGGTCACATGACTTACTGGTCACATGACTTACCTGGGGCGGCTGGTCACATGACTTACTGGTCACATGACTTACCTGGGGCGGCTGGTCACATGACGTACAGGTCACATGACTTACCTGGGCGACTGGTCACATGACTTACTGGTCACATGACTTACAAGTGACATGACTTACTGGTCAAATGACTTACTGATTACATGACTTACCCTGGGCGACTGGTCACATGACTTACTGGTCACATGACTTACTGGTCAAATGACTTACTGATCACATGACTTACCTGGGCGACTGGTTACATGACTTACATGGGGCGGCTGGTCACATGACTTACTGGTCACATGACTTACCTGGGACGGCTGGTCACATGACTTACTGGTCACATGACTTACTGGTCACATGACTTACTGGTCACATGACTTACATGGGGCCGCTGGTCACATGACTTACTGGTCACATGACTTACTGGTCACATGACTTACTGGTCACATGACTTACTGGTCACATGACTTACTGGTCACATGACTTACTGGTCACATGACTTACTGGTCACATGACTTACTGGTCACATGACTTACTGGTCACATGACTTACTGGTCACATGACTTACTGGTCACATGACTTACTGGTCACATGACTTACTGGTCACATGACTTACTGGTCACATGACTTACTGGTCACATGACTTACTGGTCACATGACTTACTGGTCACATAACTTACCTGGGCGACTGGTCACATGACTTACCTGGGGCGGCTGGTCACATGACTTACCTGGGGCGGCTGGTCACATGACTTACGTGGGGCGACTGGTCACATAACTTACCTGGGGCGACTGGTCAGATCTCAGGTGGACGATCCACACGAAGACGATTACACACAGGCATAGTGACGTCAGTGACAGTGCAACGGGCAGGCTGAAATATGTGACAAGTTGTGACACGTTGTGACAAAGTGTGACACAATGTGACACGTTGTGACAAAGTGTGACACAATGTGACACGTTGTGACAAAGTGTGACACGTTGTGACAATATGTGACACGCTGTGACAAAGTGTGACACGTTCAAAACATCTTGACATGTGTTTAATGTGAGACACAAGAGCATGAGGTCAACAAAAATTTACCATCTAAACATTCTGCGGCTCCACGTCATTTCCGCCATAGTTTGCCAGATTTTTTTGTCCGTCTTTTGAAAACAAAGTTAGGGGGAGGGGACCTAGATGACGTCTGCATGAAGCATGTGACGTCAGCTTGCACGTGAGGAGCACCCACAAATAGCTCTGGAAAAGAAATGTAAAAACATTGTGTGAGTGTCTCGGGTTAAAACGGTGATTCGTTTTACGAACATATTGGTGGATTGTTGGTGGATTGTTGGAAAATTGTTGGTGGATTGTTGGTGGATTGTGTTTTATAGTTGAGTGTGTGAGAACACGAGTGTCCTCTAGTTGTGTTTTTGTTGTTGACACATACACGTTTAATCAGACAGCTGATTCTAGTGACTTTAGCCAGACACAGACATTTACACAAGTGACTCTAACCTTAAGAAAACAGACATTTATACCAGTGACTTTCTGATAAACAAAGTATCATTATCCACAGAAACTGATACCAAAATTGCAGAAAAAGGTCTCTCAAATTTCTAGGAATACCACAAGGTTAAAAGTGCAAGGTTGATTTTTTTTTTTTTTTTTTTTTTTTGAAAAACACGACCCGATAAAACCATAGCCTCCTTCCCGTCCTTTAAGCCCCCCCCCCCCCCCCCCCTTTCAGTTCATTAGGAACTAGCAAATAAACAGGCCGCACTTTTCTAAGAAAATCGTCCATTGTCTCTTTGTGGCCCAAGCGCAGGTAGGTTTTAGCTTTTAATGCTGTCAACAAAACTCAAAGTTAGAGTAACATAAGTCGGTTTCATATCTCGTCCTCCTCACAACCAACTGCCACCTCCAACCCACATCAGCGTTCATCTTTAAAAAAAAACATTCTCCAGTTCACAACACACACGCTGTCACTCGACCAGTCGCTTCCCTTGTTACCCTGCATCACTCCGTACAACAACATACACGCATCAACACACCCGGCGTCGTGCAATACTACCGTATACACACACACACACGCAGTGATCCGTCCCACGTAACACACCTGTCATACACATCACCACACTATCTCCCAGCTGTAGAAAAATATTGTAGGTTTTAGAATGTCAACAGATTGTAATTATGTCAACCAGCTATCTATCTATATATATAATTCTCTTCTGGGAGACGCTAGAAAACAAGCTGTAAGCGCGCTCCCTATCACACCCACCCCTACATGTTCTGGTGAGCTGTGGTTCACGTTAAATGTTTACATTCGTGGAGCCGGTTTTAGTGACGGCTATTAGGGGCAGATAATTTAGTTTGAAACGATTTTAAACTTAGGGGAGGTAACTAAGAGGAGGCTGCTTTCAAGGGTGGAGGTGTAGGGTAGGGGTTGGGGAAAGGAGGGGGGGGGGAGGGTTATCGTCCTTAACGAGCTACTTATAGTGTTTTAAAGCAAATATTTTCAGTGGCAGCATTGGTACTGTCGAAATCACAAATTATGAATTACTGAAATGTAGAAAATAAAACAACTAAATAGAGGCGTATGATACGCCGCGCGGTCGGCTCGTTTAAGAAATTAGTACAGATTGTAATTCTATCAACTTGCAACACAAATTTTACAATTCTCAACAATTAGCTCAAAATATTTCGTAGAAGATTTCTAAGACTTTTTTCTGTGACTTTATTTCCGAGACTTTATTTCTGTGACTATTTCCTATAATAAAAATTCTCTTGTGACTTTTTCCGTTGACCACCTTGTCCCACAAACAAATTATTTATGACATGTCCCAATATCACCGTCTTTAATAAAAGTTAAGAGTACAAGCTTTATATCCCCTTGCTTATTTTTTAATGGGTTGTGGGGGGGGGGGGGGGGGGGTAATAATATACCGCACTATTATACAAATTTTATTAGGCGTTCACTTGGTGTGCAATTCTTTTTTCTACGAGATTCTATTCTATTTTTAAAAGTTTGATTTAAAATGAATTTAAAATATTGTCTACATCCCTAGTTGCCATCCGCCGTAGTGTTATGTAAGTATATTCGAGAAAGTTTAAGGAAATCACTCTTGGTTTATTCTACTTGATTGTATTCTATATAAAACTCCCGCTTTATTTGATTATATACAGGTGAAGTAGAGTTGGTTCGTGTTGACATTAAAAAACCTACTCTTGTGTTTCACAAACTGATTACAGATAATTAATTAGGTAATCTATCGCTTTATGTATGTAAAATCGGCAGTGGCTAGTAATGTACGAATAAGTTACCTCATTGTCAAGGCTTTAATAGAAGTATATTCTGATATATTTGTGTCAAATATAGATAACTGAATAATTAACCAAAATCAATGGCTAAATATATCAATATAGGCCAGAAATTAACTTTAAACAGCAGTGTTTAAAAGCAAGATTTGCTATATAAACATCAGCCGTTTGTAAAATATAGTGGCTTCCCCTGAATCTCGCGCTATAAGGTTACAAAAAAAAAACAAGATGGCTGCTACAGTAAATGAGCATGGTTGCATCTGTTGGAAACATCGCTAGTCTTATTTATTACTGAAAAGTTTTTATACAATTGTTTAAAAACATGTAGGTCTACATAAATGAAACTTTGAAACATTTTTGTAAATTTCAAAACATAAAATCCTCCTAAAAATGTGAAATAATTACTAAAATTTAAGGAGTCGACTGTTTTTCACATTACTAGTCGCGGGCGATTTTACGTACCTAAAGCGATAGATTACCATTAATTAATTATGTTCGTTTTAATTAATTAATTAATAACATCATACAAACACAAAAAATAAAAATAAATTGTCAATACATTTAAAACAGTTTTATTTCGTTTTTAATTAAAAATTAGTCCTCTAAAAACATTTGGATATTTTGAAAACATTTTCACTTAAAAAAAATTCATAATTTTGTACACGTTAGACTCAGGTCGCTATAGTTAAAGTACCTACACATGTCAGTTGACAGAAATCCTGAGTGACAGAAATCCTGAGTGACAGAAATCCTGAGTGAAAGAGGTCCTGTGACAGAGGTCCTGTGTGACAGAGGTCCTGTGTGAGAGGTCCTGGTCCTCTACCTACACCTGTAGTAGACAAGCGTACAGAAGACGACCACCTGTGGTACCAGAATCCCGACGATGGCCGCGAACGTGTTGTGGACGTCTTGTTGACGGGCCTTGATCACGTACTCGGGCTCGTCTTTAGGTGTGTACTCGGGTTCGCCTCGATCCTCCCCTATTAGACGGGTGTCCTGGGCTGGGTGTTTGCCGCGGACCGTGGTGGGCCCACCCGTCTCCCCCCGCGTGGTGGGCCCACCAGTCTCCCCCCGAGGCGAATTGTCTGGGTCGTCGGTGTCACAACTCGTCTCTGTCTGGGTCTCTTCCGGTGTCTCTGTCTGGGTCTCTTCCGGTGTTGGTGTGCTGTGTGTCTCGTGTGTGACGTGTTCAGCTCGTGTGCTGTGTTCTCGGGGGTCTGGGGTGAAAAAAGAAATGGAAACATTCTTTAATCAAACTTATCAAATAACTTCTTCCTGTGTCACATTTTGTGATCACACTACATCTGTCACACTACACCTGTCACATCCCACCTGTCACATCCCACCTGTCACACTACACCTGTCACACTACACCTGTCACACTACACCTGTCACACTACACCTGTCACACTACACCTGTCACACTACACCTGTCACACTACACCTGTCACACTACACCTGCCACACTACACCTGTCACACTACACCTGCCACACTACACCTGCCACACTACACCTGTCACACTACACCTGTCACACTACACATGTCACCTAACACCTGTCACCTGTCACATCACACCTGTCACCTGTCACATCACACCTGTCACCTGTCACATCAGACCTGTCACCTGTCACATCACACCTGTAAAACTACACCAGTCACATCACACCTGTCACATCACAACTGTCACATCACACCTGTCACATCACACCTGTCACATCACACCTGTCACCTAACACCTGTCACCTGTCACATCACACCTGTCACATCACACATGTCACACTACACCTGTCACATCACAACTGTCACATCACAACTGTCACATCACAACTGTCACATCACAACTGTCACATCACAACTGTCGCATCACACCTGTCACCTGTCACATCACACCTGTCACCTGTCACATCACACCAGTCACCTGTCACATCACACCTGTCACCTGTCACATCACAACTGTCACATCACACCTGTCACCTGTCACATCACACCTGTCACATCACACCTGTCACCTGTCACATCACACCAGTCACCTGTCACATCACACCTGTCACCTGTCACATCACAACTGTCACCTGTCACATCACACCTGTCACATCACACCTGTCACATCACACCTGTCACCTGTCACATCACACCTGACACCTGTCACATCACACCTGACACCTGTCACATCACACCTGTCACATCACACCTGTCACATCACACCTGTCACATCACACCTGTCACATCACAACTGTCACATCACACCTGTCACCTGTCACATCACACCTGTCACCTGTCACATCACACCTGACACCTGTCACATCACACCTGTCACATCACACCTGTCACCTGTCACATCACACTTGTCACCTGTCACATCACAACTGTCACATCACACCTGTCACCTGTCACATCACACCTGTCACATCACACCTGTCACCTGTCACATCACACCTGACACCTGTCACATAACACCTGTCACCTCTCACATCACAACTGTCACATCACACCTGTCACCTGTCACATCACACCTGACACCTATCACATCACACCTGTCACCTCTCACATCACAACTGTCACATCACACCTGTCACATCACACCTGTCACCTGTCACATTACACCTGTCACCTGTCACATTACACCTGTCACCTGTCACGTTACACCTGTCACCTGTCACGTCACACCTGACACCTGTCACATCACACCTGTCACATCACAACTGTCACATCACACCTGTCACCTGTCACATCACACCTGTCACCTGTCACATCACACCTGTCACCTGTCACATCACACCTGTCACCTGTCACATCACACCTGTCACACTACACCTGTCACATCACACCTGTCAACTGTCACATCACACCTGCCACCTGTCACATCACACCTGTCACCTGTCACATCACAACTGTCACATCACACCTGTCACATCACACCTGTCAACTGTCACATCACACCTGTCATATCACAACTGTCACATCACACCTGTCAACTGTCACATCACACCTGACACCTGTCACATCACACCTGTCACCTGTCACATCACAACTGTCACATCACACCTGTCACATCACACCTGTCAACTGTCACATCACACCTGTCATATCACAACTGTCACATCACACCTGTCAACTGTCACATCACACCTGTCAACTGTTACATCACACCTGTCAACTGTCACATCACACCTGTCAACTGTCACATCACACCTGACACCTGTCACATCACACCTGACACCTGTCACATCACACCTGTCACATCACACCTGTCACATCACACCTGTCACATCACACCTGTCACCTGTCACATCACACCTGTCACCTGTCACATCACACCTGTCACCTGTCACATCACACCTGACACCTGTCACATCACACCTGACACCTGTCACATCACACTTGTCACCTGTCACATCACAACTGTCACATCACACCTGTCACCTGTCACATCACACCTGTCACATCACACCTGTCACCTGTCACATCACACCTGACACCTGTCACATAACACCTGTCACCTCTCACATCACAACTGTCACATCACACCTGTCACATCACACCTGTCACCTGTCACATCACACCTGTCACCTGTCACATCACACCTGTCACCTGTCACATCACACCTGACACCTGTCACATCACACCTGACACCTGTCACATCACACTTGTCACCTGTCACATCACAACTGTCACATCACACCTGTCACCTGTCACATCACACCTGTCACATCACACCTGTCACCTGTCACATCACACCTGACACCTGTCACATAACACCTGTCACCTGTCACGTCACACCTGACACCTGTCACATCACACCTGTCACATCACAACTGTCACATCACACCTGTCACCTGTCACATCACACCTGTCACCTGTCACATCACACCTGTCACCTGTCACATCACACCTGTCACCTGTCACATCACACCTGTCACACTACACCTGTCACATCACACCTGTCAACTGTCACATCACACCTGCCACCTGTCACATCACACCTGCCACCTGTCACATCACACCTGTCACCTGTCACATCACAACTGTCACATCACACCTGTCACATCACACCTGTCAACTGTCACATCACACCTGTCATATCACAACTGTCACATCACACCTGTCAACTGTCACATCACACCTGACACCTGTCACATCACACCTGTCACCTGTCACATCACAACTGTCACATCACACCTGTCACATCACACCTGTCAACTGTCACATCACACCTGTCATATCACAACTGTCACATCACACCTGTCAACTGTCACATCACACCTGTCAACTGTTACATCACACCTGTCAACTGTCACATCACACCTGTCAACTGTCACATCACACCTGACACCTGTCACATCACACCTGACACCTGTCACATCACACCTGTCACATCACACCTGTCACCTGTCACATCACACCTGTCACCTGTCACATCACACCTGACACCTGTCACATCACACCTGACACCTGTCACATCACACCTGACACCTGTCACACACATCTGTCACGTGTCACACACATCTGTCATGACACTACTTCCGTTAAAAAACTTTCATTAATGACATTTATAGATACTTAAATCCTCTGGGATATGGCTAACATTATGGCTAACATTATGGCTAACATTATGGCTAACATTATGGCTAACATTATGGCTAACATTATGGCTAACATTATGGCTAACATTATGGCTAACATTATGGCTAACATTATGGCTAACATTATGGCTAACATTATAGCTAACATTATAGCTAACATTATAGCTAACATTATGGCTAACATTATGGCTAACATTATGGCTAACATTATGGCTAACATTATGGCTAACATTATGGCTAACATTATGGCTAGCTAGACTAGTAAATCTGCTACTAACTGACCCTTACCTTGAGCAAGGCTAGCCACAGCTAGAAGACCCAGCACGGCTACCATGTACATTGAGGCTACCACGGTCATGATTTTTGGCTACCTGGTGGACTAGACGCTACCGTCTCGGCTGGATTAGATACCAGGTCGTTTCTGTCAAGTTGGGGGGGGGGGGGGGGGCAGATTCAATAAAATCTTAAGACAGATTAAATATAAAAAGTTATTTTAGCAACACAAACAGCGATCGTAAAAAATACACAACAAAAATAACACACAACACATGCTACAACTACAACACAACAGACTCTGCACCAACTAGTCTCAAGTGTTCAAAGTCAGCAGACCATCAGGATGAACTGTGATGTCAAAAAATGGTAGGACTATCTCAGCAAGATTTAAACACACAAGACGTAAACAAACAAACAACACACGCACACACACATACACACACAGACACGGGAGAAGAACTCAGCTTCGGTTAACTGTAGTTCACAACATTATTTTTGTTGGGATCATTTGATACTGTGCTCTTGGGGTAATGTTGATGTTATTGGTGCTGTTGATGTCATACTGAAGGCTGTTTTTATCCACCACCCCCCCTCTCCCCCCCCCCCCCCCCCCCGTCACCACCTGAATTATGGTTAACAAAAATTGGTAGGGTCGGGTCGACAGAACCATCAAGAAAAAACACGGGCTCAGGAAAACATTTAGGAAAGTGACACACAATTGTATTGTTCTGTTGATAGCCGGGTAAATGGTCTCAATTTGGTGCATACTGAACACTACACATTTGATTAGATGTTATATTCACACACCTCACGTGCGCACCAGCACACAACTACACGACATAGCACTTCAACACAAGATGGCGCTGCCTTGCTTCATTTCTCTAATCTTGATCATTCCTCAGTTCATGGGTACATTTTAGATAATCCTAAAATTTTCACAAACCGTTTTAACTAAACTTTCGTCATATCTATTTTTGAAACTAACATGTGTCAACAGCATTGTTGTATATTATGTTAATTACTAGTGCGTTGAGTTAGATTAGGGTTCGAGATCTAGATTTCAAGGTTCTTGATGAAAGTTTGCTAGACTTTAGTAGGGCTAAATATCGGGCAGAGGTTGATAGGTCGACACATCTAGAGATCTAGTACAAGATTTTAATTATGTGTACATGTTTGTATGAATGTGTATATATACGTGTATGAATGTGTATGTGTACACAATGTTTAAAAACGTAGTTAAAACAATTAAATAGGTTATTGAGTTCTTAGGTAGATTTTTTTTCTTTTTTAGTGTTAAATAAGTAGAATTTGTGTATTAGTTAGACTGAAATGTGTACAATGTGTGTATTAGTTAGACTGAAATGTGTACAATATGTGTATTAGTTAGACTGAAACGTGTACAATGTGTGTATTTTCCAGCCGTGAATGTGTACGACGAGTACAAGTACGTCCTGTGCTGGCCAAGCCCACGTGACTCCCGTTTGAACACGCAGCTGACCCCGCACCTGACGGTCAGGTCTCAGTTTGATGACATCATTAGGGTGATTTTTTTTCTCACCGATCACGTGACTAAGAATTCACCCCCTCCCCCTTTATAGGTCAACACATGTTCACAGGTTGGGGGAGGGGGGGGGAGGTCTCGGTCAACACATGTTCACAGGTTGATCAACTCATTGTTGGGGGGAAGGGGGGGGGCAATGGTTAAAGTTAAAAGTATGTATATATATATATATATATATATATATATATATATATATATATATATATATATATATATATATATATAGATATAGATATAGATATAGATATATATATATATATATATATATATATATATATATATATATATATATATATATATATATATATATATATAGCCTATAATGTTTCGTTCGTGGAGCACGGTGGATCTGCTTGGGGAAGCAATGCCCCCCCCCCCTTCTTATGAAGATGAGCCTAAAAGAGCGTGGTGCATCAAACTTTACCCTCCCCCTCACTATAAAGTTAACGCTGATCCCAACCTTAACCCCCCCACCCTCACTTAACGCTGATCCCACCCCAAACCTCTGTAGATCTCACACATCAAACCTTACCCCACCCCCTCACTTAACGCTGATCCCAACCTTACCCCCCCCCCCCCCACTTAACGCTAATCCCAACCCTAACGTCTGCAGATCTGTTACATCAAAGCTTACCCCCCCCCCCCCCCCTCACTTAACGCTAATCCCAACCCTAACCTCTGCAGATCTCGTACATCAAACCTGACGGCAGGACGGGTCAGCAGGAGAGACACAGTTTAGCGGCGAACTCGAGTTTCTCATTGTACCTGACACACAGGTGGGTTGGTCACATGGGTAGGGGTCGGCGTGGTCGAGTCGGTAAAGCTCATGGTTGCTACACCGAAAAGTCTCGAGTTCGAACCCTCGGGCGGATGAGGCTCGTTAGCTGGGGACAGCCGCTCTTCTAGGAGAGACAACTCCAAAATTAAACAACTGCTGCCTTGTAGTTTGTTCTTGGTTGAACAAAGGAAATGGAAGCAAATCCAAAAAGAAAAGCAGGCTGAAATCGGAGTCAATAGCTTTCACCCCAACTGTCACAATAGCTTTCACCCCAACTGTCACAATAGCTTTCACCCCAACTGTCACAATAGCTTTCACCCCAACTGTCACAATAGCTTTCACCCCAACTGTCACAATAGCTTTCACCCCAACTGTCACAATAGCTTTCACCCCAACTGTCACAATAGCTTTCACCCCAACTGTCACAATAGCTTTCACCCCAACTGTCACAATAGCTTTCACCCCAACTGTCACAATAGTTTTCACCCCAACTGTCACAATAGCTTTCACCCCAACTGTCACAATAGCTTTCACCCCAACTGTCACAATAGCTTTCACCCCAACTGTCACAATAGCTTTCACCCCAACTGTCACAATAGCTTTCACCCCAACTGTCACAATAGCTTTCACACCAACTGTCACAATAGCTTTCACACCAACTGTCACGATAGCTTTCACCCCAACTGTCACGATAGCTTTCACCCCAACTGTCACAATAGCTTTCACCCCAACTGTCACAATAGCTTTCACCCCCACTGTCACAATAGCTTTCACACCCACTGTCACAATAGCTTTCACACCCACTGTCACAATAGCTTTCACACCCACTGTCACAATAGCTTTCACCCCAACTGTCACAATAGCTTTCACCCCAACTGTCACAATAGCTGTCACCCCAACTGTCACAATAGCTGTCACCCCAACTGTCACAATAGCTTTCACCCCAACTGTCACAATAGCTTTCACCCCAACTGTCACAATAGCTTTCACCCCAACTGTCACAATAGCTTTCACCCCAACTGTCACAATAGCTTTCACCCCAACTGTCACAATAGCTTTCACCCCAACTGTCACAATAGCTTTCACCCCAACTGTCACAATAGCTTTCCCCCCCTTCCCCAATGTCACCCGTCATGTTGACCACTCCCCCCCTCCACCACAGAAACCACGTGACCCAGAGGTCGCCACTGGTCGTCACGCTCCAGGCCCACACCAACGTCCATCTGCTGGCCTTGACCTTACACCAGACGACCGTCCTTGAGGCGCTGACCCCTGTCCCCGTCCACCAATGGGGACGGACGTACCGTCACGTGGTGCAGACGTCAGTACTGACCTCGTCGTCTGCTTTTTGTTTCAGTTGTGGTCATTTTTTTTACAGTAATTTCTGTTTTAATTGTGGTCATTTTTCTGACAGTAATTTCTGTTTTAATTGTGGTCATTTTTCTGACAGTAATTTCTGTTTTAATTGTGGTCATTTTTCTAACAGTAATTTCTGTTTTAATTGTGGTCATTTTTCTGACAGTAATTTCTGTTTTAATTGTGGTCATTTTTCTGACAGTAATTTCTGTTTTAATTGTGGTCATTTTTCTGACAGTAATTTCTGTTTTAATTGTGGTCATTTTTTCTGACAGTAATTTCTGTTTTAATTGTGGTCATTTTTTTTACAGTAATTTCTGTTTTAATTGTGGTCATTTTTTTTACAGTAATTTCTGTTTTAATTGTGGTCATTTTTTTTACAGTAATTTCTGTTTTAATTGTGGTCATTTTTCTGACAGTAATTTCTGTTTTAATTGTGGTCATTTTTCTAACAGTAATTTCTGTTTTAATTGTGGTCATTTTTCTGACAGTAATTTCTGTTTTAATTGTGGTCATTTTTCTGACAGTAATTTCTGTTTTAATTGTGGTCATTTTTCTGACAGTAATTTCTGTTTTAATTGTGGTCATTTTTCTGACAGTAATTTCTGTTTTAATTGTGGTCATTTTTCTGACAGTAATTTCTGTTTTAATTGTGGTCATTTTTCTAACAGTAATTTCTGTTTTAATTGTGGTCATTTTTCTGACAGTAATTTCTGTTTTAATTGTGGTCATTTTTCTGACAGTAATTTCTGTTTTAATTGTGGTCATTTTTCTGACAGTAATTTCTGTTTTAATTGTGGTCATTTTTCTGACAGTAATTTCTGTTTTAATTGTGGTCATTTTTCTGACAGTAATTTCTGTTTTAATTGTGGTCATTTTTCTGACAGTAATTTCTGTTTTAATTGTGGTCATTTTTCTGACAGTAATTTCTGTTTTAATTGTGGTCATTTTTCTGACAGTAATTTCTGTTTTAATTGTGGTCATTTTTCTGACAGTAATTTCTGTTTTAATTGTGGTCATTTTTCTGACAGTAATTTCTGTTTTAATTGTGGTCATTTTCTGACAGTAATTTCTGTTTTAATTGTGGTCATTTTTCTGACAGTAATTTCTGTTTTAATTGTGGTCATTTTTCTGACAGTAATTTCTGTTTTAATTGTGGTCATTTTTCTGACAGTAATTTCTGTTTTAATTGTGGTCATTTTTCTGACAGTAATTTCTGTTTTAATTGTGGTCATTTTCTGACAGTAATTTCTGTTTTAATTGTGGTCATTTTTCTGACAGTAATTTCTGTTTTAATTGTGGTCATTTTTCTGACAGTAATTTCTGTTTTAATTGTGGTCATTTTTCTGACAGTAATTTCTGTTTTAATTGTGGTCATTTTTCTGACAGTAATTTCTGTTTTAATTGTGGTCATTTTTCTTACAGTAATTTCTGTTTTAATTGTGGTCATTTTTCTTACAGTAATTTCTGTTTTAATTGTGGTCATTTTTCTGACAGTAATTTCTGTTTTAATTGTGGTCATTTTTCTGACAGTAATTTCTGTTTTAATTGTGGTCATTTTTCTGACAGTAATTTCTGTTTTAATTGTGGTCATTTTTCTGACAGTAATTTCTGTTTTAATTGTGGTCATTTTTCTAACAGTAATTTCTGTTTTAATTGTGGTCATTTTTCTGACAGTAATTTCTGTTTTAATTGTAGTCATTTTTCTAACGGTAATTTCTGTTTTAATTGTGGTCATTTTTCTGACAGTAATTTCTGTTTTAATTGTGGTCATTTTTCTTACAGTAATTTCTGTTTTAATTGTGGTCATTTTTCTGACAGTAATTTCTGTTTTAATTGTGGTCATTTTTCTGACAGTAATTTCTGTTTTAATTGTGGTCATTTTTTTTACAGTAATTTCTGTTTTAATTGTGGTCATTTTTTTTACAGTAATTTCTGTTTTAATTGTGGTCATAATTTTGCAATCTTGTCCGTATGTCTGTGTGTCTGTCTGTGTGTCTGTGTGTCTGTCTGTCTGTCCGTGTGTAAACACGATAACTTGAGTACCGTTACAGCTAGGTTGATGAAATTTCATATATAAGTATTTAATCAAAATCGTAGATCCGTATCAACTTTTGAGCGATTTCCGATAACCGGAAGTGGTACTTTTCCTACTTTGAATTTTTCAAAAGCCTATAACTTGAGTACTATTTCAGATAGATAAATGAAATTTCATATGTAAGTAAAAGATCTAATTCTCTACCTTCTATAAAATGTTGAGTCATTTCCGTTGACTGGAAGTAGTACTTTACGCTACTTCCGATTTCTCAAAAAACTAATGTAAATTTTAAAAGTAATAATAATATTGCGCACTATTATGCGCTTTTTTATTTGGCGTTCACTTGGTGTGCAATTAATTTGTCTACGAGATTTTATTCTATTTTTAAAACTTTAAGTATTTAAAATGGATTAAAAATCATGTCTATAGCCCGAGTTCCCATCCCCTGTTATTTTATATAAGAATATTCGAGAAAGTTTAGGGGAGATCACTCCCGGTTTATTTTTTAAAGAAATACTTAAAATTATGGTTAATAATTAGTTTCTTGCAATTTGGTCATTTGTTAATAATTAGTTTCTTGCAATTTGGTCATTTGTTAATAATTAGTTTCTTACAATTAGGTCATTTGTTAATAATTAGTTTCTTACAATTTGGTCATTTGTTAATAATTAGTTTCTTACAATTTGGTCATTTGTTAATAATTAGTTTCTTACAATTAGGTCATTTGTTAATAATTAGTTTCTTACAATTTGGTCATTTGTTAATAATTAGTTTCTTGCTATTAGGTCATTTGTTGATAATTAGTTTCTTACAATTAGGTCATTTGTTAATAATTAGTTTCTTACAATTAGGTCATTTGTTAATAATTAGTTTCCTACAATTAGGTCATTTGTTAATAATTAGTTTCCTGCAATTAGGTCATTTGTTAATAATTAGTTTCTTACAATTAGGTCATTTGTAAATAATTAGTTTCCTGCAATTAGGTCATTTGTTAATAATTAGTTTCTTACAATTAGGTCATTTGTTAATAATTAGTTTCTTGCAATTAGGTCATTTGTTAATAATTAATTTCTTACAATTAGGTCATTTGTTAATAATTCGTTTCTTACAATTAGGTCATTTGTTTATAATTAGTTTCGTGCAAGTAGGTCATTTGTTAATAATTAATTTCTTACAATTAGGTCATTTGTTAATAATTAGTTTATTACAATTAGGTCATTTGTTTATAATTAGTTTCGTGCAAGTAGGTCATTTGTTAATAATTAATTTCTTACAATTAGGTCATTTGTTAATAATTAGTTTCTTACAATTAGGTCATTTGTTAATCATTAGTTTCTTGCAAGTAGGTCATTTGTTAATAATTAGTTTCTGGCAATTAGGTCATTCGCCACCCTCCTGGTCGTGAGTCTGACTGACACTAACTTCAACCTTGTCCTGACCTTTGACCCACATACACTACTTCCGGTTGGGGCGCCCTATCCCACCAGGCATGATGTAAGTTTACATAGGTAAGAATAGAGGTAGCACAGGTAAGAATAGAGGTAGCACAGGTAAGAATAGAGGTAGCACAGGTATGAATGTATGATGCATGGGTAGTCTACCGTAGTCTATGCTGCATGGGGTGGGGCGGTGGGGGAGGGGGGGGGGTAGCTCAACCACTGGATGGGGTGGGGCGGTGGGGGGTAACTCAATCACTGGATGGGGTGGGGCGGTGGGGGGTAACTCAATCACTGGATGGGGTGGGGCGGTGAGGGGGGGTTACTCAATCACTGGGTGGGGTGGGGCGGTGGGGGGTAACTCAATCACTGGATGGGGTGGGGCGGTGGGGGGTAACTCAATCACTGGATGGGGTGGGGCGGTGAGGGGGGGTTACTCAATCACTGGGTGGGGTGGGGCGGTGGGGGGTAACTCAATCACTGGATGGGGTGGGGCGGTGGGGGGTAACTCAATCACTGGGTGGGGTGGGGCGGTGGGGGGTAACTCAATCACTGGATGGGGTGGGGCGGTGAGGGTAACTCAATCACTAGATAGGGTGGGACGCCATCCAGTATTTATGTGATCTAATCAAAGTCATAAAGAATGTAAATGTTTTCTTTGGTGTAAATTATTATTCAATTGTACGATGTAAATTGTATGACGTAGGTCTATATTATATAGTTTAAGTTGTATACCGTAAATTGTATGACGTAGGTCTATATTATATAGTTTAAGCGGTATATCGTAAATTGTATGACGTAGGTCTATATTGTATAGTTTAAGTTGTATATCGTAAATTGTATGACGTAGGTCTATATTATATAGTTTAAGTTGTATACCGTAAATTGTATGACGTAAATTGTTGCCGGATTTTTTACTTTATAGGCTCCAGCCATACACCCTCAAATTTCGCGAGACTGCTACGTCACTTCCGGTTAATGGTGAGAGGTGTTTTAGTCGTGTGCTATTTATGTGCTAGTGCTTGGCATGTCCTGTGTTATGTGCTGGTGATGTGTTAGTGATGTGCTAATGTTTTGGTTTTGTGCTGGTAATGTGCTAATTATGTGCTTATGATCAGAGTTTCTTCCAGGTATCTCTTCGGAGGGTGGGGGGTCCGCCCCCTCCCCCGAAGAAAGTCAACCGCCCCCCGAAAATTTCAAGTGCCCCCCCCCCCTCCGGAGAAAAAAGTCTGGAAGAAACACTGCTTATGATGTGCTAATGTGCTGGTGATGTCGTAGTGATGTGCTTATGATGTGCTAATGTGCTGGTGATGTCGTAGTGATGTGCTTATGATGTGCTAATGTGCTGGTGATGTGCTTATGATGTAACCGTCCAATGACTATACAACCTAATCACCCTCCCCCATTCCTCCCCACACCCAGGTGCCCGTCTTGAGTCCATGGAGCCCGTGGGGGTGACGGTTGTCACGTGCACTGTCGTCTGGTGCTATCCTTCAGGTGACGTATGTCAACAGTCCGTTCATTGACCTTAACCAGGTCATTGAAGGTCATTGACCTTAAGCAGGTCATTTACCTTAGGCAGGTCATTGACTGTAGGCAGGTCATTGACCTTAAGCAGGTCATTGACCTTTATGTGAGCAACATCGGCTGTTGTATAGATATTGACAGGTTTAACTTAAGGTTTAACTTAAGGTTTAACTTAAGGTTTAACTTAAGGTTTAACTTAAGGTTTAACTTAAGGTTTAACTTAAGGTTTAACTTAAGGTTTAACTTAAGGTTTAACTTAAGGTTTAACTTAAGGTTTAACTTAAGGTTTAACTTAAGGTTTAACTTAAGGTTTAACTTAAGGTTTAACTTAAGGTTTAACTTAAGGTTTAACTTAAGGTTTAACTTAAGGTTTAACTTAAGGTTTAACTTAAGGTTTAACTTAAGGTTTATCTTAAGGTTTAATCCAACATTTTCCTACCATCGTCTGCCTGTCCTAATTTGAAAACTTTAGTTAGTCCCAATAGATGTTGAAACAAACAAGCCGGTCTATTTGTATTGTAACCGGTTTTTTCCGGCTTGAAGAAATGCTCCTGCACGTGGGGTACTTCCGGCCACCAGGTGACGCCAGCGCTGCTGTCTCACCCACCGCCTACTGCATGTCGGATCACCTCACACCTGCCAGCGACCTCTGGCCATCTCCCTACCGGGATTCGAACCTCACCCACCCGTATCACGTGAGTTCTGGCTGCTTTTCTCACTTTATGTGCATTGGCTAGGGCTAGGTCACGTTGGGAGTTGGGTCGTGTTTAGGTGGTGGGGGGGGGGGGGGGGGTCCGAGGGTCGCACTTAAAATGTTCAAGGATCAGACACAGAGGATATATTGTAGGCGTGCACAAATTCGAAATCGAGATTTTCACAAATCTCAAAGTTTTACACCTCCCTGAGTCGGAAAATCTTAGTTTTGCAATTTTATAAGCATGTCTGTGTGTGTCTGTCTTATGTGTGTGCGTGTGTGTGTGTAAACACGATAACTTGAGTGCCGTTACAGCTAGGTTGACAAAATTTTATATATAATTATAATATTAAGTTTGTAGTTATATATACAAATTTGTATTTCAAATTTTAGTTATGGGTCAACTTTTCAGCGATTTCCGGTAACCGTAAGAGGAACTTATTCTTCAGTTTTTCAATAAGTTATAACTTGAGAACTGTTTGGGATAGATAAATGAATATAAGTGAGATTTATCTGACTTCTTTCAAATTTTGAGTAATTTACGTTGACCGGAAGTAGTAATTTACGCTATTTCCGATTTCTCATATGAATTTATGAAGAACTAATATTCCGCACTAATTTACTCATCGTTTGCTGCTCACTTGTTGCGCAATTCTTTTTTCTACGAGATTCTATTCTATTTTAAAAAGTTTAAGTACTTTAAAAATGGATTAAAAATCATGTCCACATTTAGAGCTGCCATCCCCCGAACTGACTTTGACTTGACACACAAGCACACAACTACACTTTCTCACACAAGCCACAACCCCCCTCAAACACAAACCACACCCCTCACACAAGCCACGCCCCCCCCCACAAGCCACACCCCCCCACAAGCCACGCCCTCCCTCACACAAGCTACGCCCTCACACAAGTTACACCCCCTCACACAAGCCACACCCCTTCACACAAGCCACACCCCCTCACACAAGCCACACCCCCTCACACAAGCCACATCCCTTCACACAAGCCACACCCCCTCACACAAGCCACACCCCCTCACACAAGCCACACCCCCTCACACAAGCCACACCCCTTCACACAAGCCACACCCCCTCACACAAGCCACACCCCCTCACACAAGCCACACCCCCTAATCTTTTACTCTCCAGCCTGTCGTCACAGAGCACACGTCCCAACCAAACTGCACGTCCGGTGCGCATGCGCTGAGCTGTGTTTACAACAGCAGAACCAAGTATCCCAGCATGGTTTTAGCCCCGCCCCCTGATCTGTTCGTCAGTCACGTGACGTTACTGTGAGTACATAGCGTGTTGCCATCTATTTATAGCTGGTGACGTATGTACAAATCTGGTAAGAAATATTTTGTCTATCCCAGACTTCCAGATCTGGACAACGTGACGTACTTCCTGCTGCTCGTCATGACAGGTGCCAGCCTGGTGCCAGACTTCACGCTGCTGGACAACTTCATGTGGGTGTCTCACCACACGCACACCACACACATACCACACACACACCACACACACCACACACACACCACACAGCCACCACACACACCACACACACACCACACACACACCACACACACCACACACACCACACACACACCACACACACACACCACACACACACCACACACACACACCACACACACACACCACACACACACACCACACACACACCACACACACACCACACACACACACCACACACACCACACAGCCACCACACACACACCACACACACACACCACACACACCACACAGCCACCACACTTACACCACACTTACACCACACTTACATCACACTTACACCCCACTTACACCACACTTACACCACACACACACCACACACACACCACACACACACCACACATACACCACACATTTACCCTACTTCTACCACCGATCCACCATGCTCCACCGTCTACCAGACTCATCACATGCCCACCCACACACCAAACATCCACCCACACACCAAACATCCACCCACACACCAAACATCCACCCACACACCAAACTTCCACCCACACACCAAACATCCACCCACACACCAAACATCCACCCACACACCAAACATCCACCCACACACCAAACATCCACCCACACACCAAACATCCACCCACACACCACATATCCACTACACATCCACCCAACATCCACCAAACATCCCCCATCCACCTCACTCCTCTAATATGTTCTCCTGCCCCAGTTTTCTGCACGAATGCGCAGACTCCCCGGACATGCGCGTTGGTCTGGTGCCGGTGGACAAGACCCTACATGACGTCATCGCCCCTGATGGAATTCTCTTCTCTCCCACCATCCTGGCGGTGGATTCGAACCCACGCCACCCCCTCGTCTTCACGAGCCTAGCCGCGCACAAGTCTAGAGAAGAGAAGGCAGGGCTTTGGTTCAGATTGTAGTTAGACATTTTAAACTCGACCAATGACATTTCTTATGACATGACATTTGAATGTCATCTTTGGACATGATAACGGCCTTTCTTTAAATCTACAGCCGCGAGATAAACATGTCGAGTGTGTGAAGAATGTTCTGGTAACAGGTAACATAGGGTAACATAGGGTAACAATATAGGGGTAACACAGGGGTAACATATGGGTAACACAGGGGTAATATAGGTAACATAGGGTAACACAGGGGTAACATAGGTAACACAGGGGTAACACGGTAACATAGGGTAACAGGGGTAATATAGAGGTAACATAGGGTAATATAGGGGTAACAGGGATAACACAGGTAACACAAGGGTAACATAGGGGTAACACAGGGGTAACATAGGGATAACATAGGTAACACAGGGGTAACACAGGGGCAACATAGGGTAACAGGGGTAATATAGAGGTAACATAGGGTAATATAGGGGTAACACAAGGGTAACATAGGGGTAACATAGGGTAACACAGGGTTAACATAGGGATAACAGGTAACATAGGGGCAACACGGGTAAAACAGGTAATATAGGGGTAACACAGGGGTAACAGGGATAACATAGGTAACACAGGTGTAACATAGGGTAACAGGGGCAACACGGGTAAAACAGAGGTAATATATGGGTAACGCAGGGATAACAGAACTAAACAAAACACTTAATGTTTAACACCAAAACTTGTAACACTCAGCACCCAGATAACACACGTGACAACCACACAACACATGACAACAACACATGTGTAACACAGCTACACACTCCGACACGTGTGTGTTCTACGACTGACCGCTGGTCAATGTTTTTGACAGGTTGTCCATACCAGACATATGGCAGGGATTGTCAATGTTTGTGTCTATGTCCAGACGACAGGTGTCTACCTGACGGCAGGTGCTACAGGTCAACCTGCAGGAGGGGCAGGTTCAAGGACAGGTGTCTCCACAGTAGGTTGGGGGGGGCAGGTTCAAGGACAGGTGTCTCCACAGTAGGTTGGGGGGGGGCAGGTTCAAGGACATGTGTCTCCATAGTAGGTTGGGGGGGGGGCAGGTTCAAGGACAGGTGTCTCCACAGTAGGTTGGGGGGGCAGGTTCAAGGACAGGTGTCTCCACAGTAGGTTGGGGGCAGGTTCAAGGACATATGTCTCCACAGTAGGTTGGGGGGGCAGGTTCAAGGACAGGTGTCTACACAGTAGGTTGGGGGGGGGGGCAGGTTCAAGGACAGGTGTCTACACAGTAGGTTGGGGGGGGCAGGTTCAAGGACAGGTGTCTCCACAGTAGGTTGGGGGGGCAGGTTCAAGGACAGGTGTCTCCACAGTAGGTTGGGGGGGGGGCAGGTTCAAGGACAGGTGTCTCCACAGTAGGTTGGGGGGGGGCAGGTTCAAGGACATATGTCTCCACAGTAGGTTGGGGGGGGGCAGGTTCAAGGACAGGTGTCTCCACAGTAGGTTGGGGGGGGGCAGGTTCAAGGACAGGTGTCTCCACAGTAGGTTGGGGGGGGGCAGGTTCAAGGACAGGTGTCTTCACAGTAGGTTGGGGGGGCAGGTTCAAGGACAGGTGTCTCCACAGTAGGTTGGGGGGGGCAGGTTCAAGGACATGTGTCTCCATAGTAGGTTGGGGGGGCAGGTTCAAGGACAGGTGTCTCCACAGTAGGTTGGGGGGGGCAGGTTCAAGGACAGGTGTCTCCACAGTAGGTTGGGGGGACAGGTTCAAGGACAGGTGTCTCCACAGTAGGTTGGGGGCAGGTTCAAGGACATATGTCTCCACAGTAGGTTGGGGGGGGGGCAGGTTCAAGGACAGGTGTCTACACAGTAGGTTGGGGGGGGGGCAGGTTCAAGGACAGGTGTCTCCACAGTAGGTTGGGGGGGCAGGTTCAAGGACAGGTGTCTCCACAGTAGGTTGGGGGGGGGGCAGGTTCAAGGACAGGTGTCTCCACAGTAGGTTGGGGGGGGGCAGGTTCAAGGACAGGTGTCTCCACAGTAGGTTGGGGGGGGGGGCAGGTTCAAGGACATATGTCTCCACAGTAGGTTGGGGGGGCAGGTTCAAGGACAGGTGTCTCCACAGTAGGTTGGGGGGGGGGCAGGTTCAAGGACAGGTGTCTCCACAGTAGGTTGGGGGGGGGCAGGTTCAAGGACAGGTGTCTTCACAGTAGGTTGGGGGGGCAGGTTCAAGGACAGGTGTCTCCACAGTAGGTTGGGGGGGGGGGGGCAGGTTCAAGGACAGGTGTCTCCACAGTAGGTTGGGGGGGGGCAGGTTCAAAGACAGGTGTCTCCACAGTAGGTTGGGGGGGCAGGTTCAAGGACAGGTGTCTCCACAGTAGGTTGGGGGGCAGGTTCAAGGACAGGTGTCTCCACAGTAGGTTGGGGGCAGGTTCAAGGACAGGTGTCTTCACAGTAGGTTGGGGGGGGGCAGGTTCAAGGACAGGTGTCTCCACAGTAGGTTGTGGGGGGGCAGGTTCAAGGACAGGTGTCTCCACAGTAGGTTGGGGGGGCAGGTTCAAGGACAGGTGTCTCCACAGTAGGTTGGGGGGGGGGCAGGTTCAAGGACAGGTGTCTCCACAGTAGGTTGGGGGGGGCAGGTTCAAGGACATGTGTCTCCATAGTAGGTTGGGGGGGGGGCAGGTTCAAGGACAGGTGTCTCCACAGTAGGTTGGGGGGGGGGCAGGTTCAAGGACAGGTGTCTCCACAGTAGGTTGGGGGGGCAGGTTCAAGGACAGGTGTCTCCACAGTAGGTTGGGGGGCAGGTTCAAGGACAGGTGTCTCCACAGTAGGTTGGGGGGGCAGGTTCAAGGACAGGTGTCTCCACAGTAGGTTGGGGGGACAGGTTCAAGGACAGGTGTCTCCACAGTAGGTTGGGGGGACAGGTTCAAGGACAGGTGTCTCCACAGTAGGTTGGGGGGACAGGTTCAAGGACAGGTGTCTCCACAGTAGGTTGGGGGGACAGGTTCAAGGACAGGTGTCTCCACAGTAGGTTGGGGGGGGGGCAGGTTCAAGGACAGGTGTCTCCACAGTAGGTTGGGGGGGGGACAGGTTCAAGGACAGGTGTCTTCACAGTAGGTTGGGGGGGGGCAGGTTCAAGGACAGGTGTCTTCACAGTAGGTTGGGGGGGGCAGGTTCAAGGACAGGTGTCTCCACAGTAGGTTGGGGGGCAGGTTCAAGGACAGGTGTCTCCACAGTAGGTTGGGGGGGGGGATCCGGACAAAAGCCCGACACGGATATATGGCCAACATCTAAAGGCCGACACGGACAAAAGAAAGACAGACCATAAGCCCGACATAAAAAAAAACCGGCAAGTTTTATAAAACAACAAATTCCAATGATAGACTTGTTTAATGTTAATTAAAAACAACTTACAAACAGTCAAACGAATATAGCATACAATTTGTTTCAAGTAATCCAGCTAATATGATAGTATTGTCACGACATATGATGTCACGACATATGATGTCACGGCGTATGATAGTATTGTCACCTATCTGTGCATCCGTTGTACACTCCCGTCATCCCCAGTCGCATGGATCACATTGTTCACCTTATAAGGATAGCAACAGACCAGTGTTTCTTCCAGACCTTTTTTCGGGTGGGGGGGGGGGCGGACACTAGTGAAAGTATATTTTACTATATAAATTCCATCTCGTTCGGGGGGGGGGGGGGGAGCCGGAAGAAACTGCAGCAGACAAACCTACCGTCCCGCCAAAAACGAAATTGTTCCACTTTTTTTACGAAAAATCGTGTCCTGTTTTACCGTCATGTGTTCGTCGAAATTTTTTCTGAATTTCTTGAAAAATTATTAATAAAGAAAAGTAATAAATCGAATTTAAAAAAGGAAGGAAAAGCGATTGTCTTCCTTTTTCTGTTTCCTAGTTTACTTACAATATTTACAAGTATCATCTCATACTAGTTCTTTTAATAGATATTGTGGACTATCTAGCTTTTGAACGTTCTTTTTAAAAATTTTAACTGAATTGTAGATTTAAATTATGCATTAAATAACACGTAAAGAGAAAATTTCTAGATCTAGAGATAGATAGATCTACTAGAACTAGATAATGATCTATCGTGTAAGCTGCAACTAGTAACTACTATTATTAAGATAAGAACTATAGGACTATAGGACTTTAACTAGTTACCACTAGTTAGATCTAGGTCTTAGCTCTTAACTTATGTTTTATGTTACATACAAAGCCTTTAGCATTTGTTATTCATATAGCCTAGAACATAGCAAGGCATAAATAATCAAATCAATAATGAGTTGTGTTAAAGCTATGGGTTTTATTTGGGGGGGGGGGGGGGGTGCTCAGGCTTCCGGTTAACTTTAAAAAAAAAATTGTAAGCTGACGTTAGCAGGATTTAAATGTAGCCTAGAGACCAGTTATATTTAGTTAGAAGCCTACTAATGTCATTAGACTAATTTCTAATTAATTTTTTTTTCTTAGTAAAGTAGCGTCTGTATGTATGTTCCTCTTTTTTTAGGATTTTGTTTTATTTGTCGGTCTTTTGGCTGTCGGCCTTTTAGTCTGTCGGCAATTTTGTCTGTTGGACTTATGTCCAGTCGGCCTTTTGTCCTGTCGGCCTTTTGTCCTGTCGGCCTTTTGTCCTACACCCTTTTAGAAGTGTGGCTTTCGGGATTTAATTAACTAATAAAGTTGAAAAAAATCATCATAGTTTATTTTTATCATCATTGTCTCTAAGTCATCTTTGTCTCTAAGTCAACATTGTCTCTAAGTCAACATTGTCTCTAAGTCATCTTTGTCTCTAAGTCAACATTATCTCTAAGTCAACATTGTCTCTAAGTCATCTTTGTCTCTAAGTCATGTCCCAAGTCATGAGAGTTTATGTCAGTACATGTTGACTAACTTGCCAGGTGATCTGTCAGTGTATGTCAGTGACACAACTGCCAGTGACACAACTGCCAGTGACACAACTGCCAGTGACACAACTGTCAGTGCTCTGGTTGACATGGATGATACGACCTGTGTCACAACTGACAAGCTCGAGATATCACTCAGTCGACCTTTTCGTGTCCTTGGCGTGACCTTGACCTTTCAAGATGACGGTATGGGATCGGTTTAATTAATTAGATGCAGTTTCTAATTAGACTATGCTAGATTCGTGGTGTTAAGACGTGACGTCATTTCTTGACCTTTCTCTCCCAGCCAATGGAATCGAGGTCTCGCTGGTCACGTGGTCACAGGGCGACAAGTCACGTGTCTCACAAGCCAACTCCGTCGTCAGGGGCAACCAGAGCCTGGAGCTGCTGGTAGCAGCAGATGGAGAGGTCAAGGACATCCAGGTCCGCTTTATGCTGGACACTGTCGTCTGCTCGCTGCACATTGACGGCGGTCAGAAACTGGTTTTTGTATCACAGCTTGTACACATTTATACAGCTCTATACAGATTTATACAGATGTATACAGATGTATACAGATGTATACAGCTTTATACAGATTTATACGGATGTATACAGCTTTATACAGATTTATACAGCTTTATACAGATTTATACAGCTTTATACAGATTTTTACAGATTTTTACAGATTTATACAGATTTATACGGATGTATACAGATTTATACAGATTTATACAGTTATCCAAAGTTATACAGATTTATATAGATTTATACAGATTTACACATTTATACAGATGTATACAGTTATATAGATTTATACATATTTATACAGATTAATACAGATTTATACATATTAATACAGATTTATAGTTCTTCAACTGTACTGAATTGTGTATATCTTAATCACAGAGTCAATGACCTGCTCTACATGACCTAACGTCTATTTCAGGGAAGGTCATTCAAGACGACCTTCACCTAACGTTGTACAAGCAGAACTCACCTATCGTTGACCTTGAACATCTGGCTTATAGGGCGACCGATGGAGAGTTCAAGGCCGCTGGCTGTATCCACACGACCTTGGCCGACTCTTTGCACGTGGACTTTCCCGGAGATATTTTTATCTTCCACGTAATCGTGTACACACAAGGTGGGCGGATAGTGTGCTATTTATAGACTACACACACGGTGGGCTAAATAGTGTGCTATTTATAGACTGTACACACAAGTTAGGCCTTTTTTTGACGGCAGTTAAGCTTTAACGGAAATACACCCTCCACACACCCTTTACACACCCTCTACACACCCTCTACACACCCTCTACACACCATCTACACACTCTCCCCACACTCTCTACACACTCTCCCCACACCATCCACACACTCTCCCCACACCATCCACACACTCTCCCCACACCATCCACACACTCTCCCCACACCATCCACACACTCTCCCCACACCATCCACACACTCTCCCCACACCATCCACACACTCTCCCCACACCATCCACACACTCTCCCCACACCATCCACACACTCTCCCCACACCATCCACACACTCTCCCCACACCCTCTACACACTCTCCCCACACCATCCACACACTCTCCCCACACCATCCACACACTCTCCACACACCATCCACACACTCTCCCCACACCATCCACACACTCTCCCCACACCATCCACACACTCTCCCCACACCATCCACACACTCTCCCCACACCATCCACACGCTCTCCCCACACCATCCACACACTCTCCCCACACCATCCACACACTCTCCCCACACCATCCACACACTCTCCCCACACCATCCACACACTCTCCCCACACCATCCACACACTCTCCCCACACCATCCACACACTCTCCCCACACCATCCACACACTCTCCCTACACCATCCACACACTCTCCCCACACCATCCACACACTCGCCCCACACCATCCACACACTCTCCCCACACCATCCACCCACTCTCCCCACACCATCCACACACTCTCCCCACACCATCCACACACTCTCCCCACACTCTCCCCACACTCTCCCCACACCATCCACACACCATACACACACTCTCCCCACATCATCCACACACTCTCCCCACACTCTCCCCACACTCTCCCCACACTCTCCCCACACCATCCACACACTCTCCCCACACCATCCACACACTCTCCCCACACTCTCCCCACACCATCCACACACTCTCCCCCACACCATCCACACACTCTCCCCACACCATCCCCACACTCTCCCCACACCATCCCCACACTCTCCCCACACAGAAGAATCCGGCCTGGCAGTATTGGGAATCTCAGCCACCGGTGACGTCATTCAGCGGACCCCCATCAATGTCACGCAGCGGGTGCACCACATTCACGTGCAGTCTGACGTCACCAAGCTTCACATGACGTCACAACTGTCCAGTTTTTCCTTGTGTGAGATCGAAGTCATGGGAGGTCAGTCACATTTTTTTATCTGCAGTCATTTTTTGTTGGTTGTCACATTTTTTATCTGCAGTCATTTTTTGTTGGTTGTCACATTTTTTGTTGGTTGTCACATTTTTTGTTGGTTGTCACATTTTTTGTTGGTTGTCACATTTTTTTATCTGCAGTCATTTTTTGTTGGTTGTCACATTTTTTGTTGGTTGTCACATTTTTTGTTGGTTGTCACATTTTTTGTTGGTTGTCACATTTTTTTATCTGCAGTCATTTTTTGTTGGTTGTCACATTTTTTTATCTGCAGTCATTTTTTGTTGGTTGTCACATTTTTTTATCTGCAGTCATTTTTTGTTGGTTGTCACATTTTTTTATCTGCAGTCATTTTTTGTTGGTTGTCACATTTTTTTATCTGCAGTCATTTTTTGTTGGTTGTCACATTTTTTTATCTGCAGTCATTTTTTGTTGGTTGTCACATTTTTTTATCTGCAGTCATTTTTTGTTGGTTGTCACATTTTTTTATCTGCAGTCATTTTTTGTTGGTTGTCACATTTTTTTATCTGCAGTCATTTTTTGTTGGTTGTCACATTTTTTGTTGGTTGTCACATTTTTTGTTGGTTGTCACATTTTTTGTTGGTTGTCACATTTTTTGTTGGTTGTCACATTTTTTGTTGGTTGTCACATTTTTTGTTGGTTGTCACATTTTTTTATCTGCAGTCATTTTTTGTTGGTTGTCACATTTTTTTATCTGCAGTCATTTTTTGTTGGTTGTCACATTTTTTTAACTGCAGTCATTTTTTGTTGGTTGTCACATTTTTTTATCTGCAGTCATTTTTTGTTGGTTGTCACATTTTTTTATCTGCAGTCATTTTTTGTTGGTTGTCACATTTTTTGTTGGCTGTCACATTTTTTTTATCTGCAGTCATTTTTTGTTGGTTGTCACATTTTTTTATCTGCAGTCATTTTTTGTTGGTTGTCACATTTTTTTATCTGCAGTCATTTTTAGCGCAATTGCCTTACAGGAATTGCGATTATTAACTGGTCATTTCTGGATGGATGTGTGTCCCCAGCTTTAAGTCGTATCTCCTCCTCAATGAAGCAATATCGAGGACTAGTTCCAAAGCAAATATGTTAAGCAAGTTCCGAGGATGATTGTGGGCCAAAAAAATTCCCGGAATTCCTTCCTGGATTTCCCGGAAAAGCCAAAAAACCTCGAAAAAATGCAGTTTTTGGCCCATATCTCGGCAACCAGACCACTTAGCGACTTGAAACATTTACCAATCGATTCCTGTCGTAATTTAGAACAATATTGCCGAAGAAAGTTTTCAAAAATATCTTTTCGTTCGGTCACAAATTTTTTTTTTAATTACATAAACACCTACAAACCGATCGTTCTCCTAGCTTGAACGTACCCCAGCATTATACGTCTTGTGTTTTGTCCCCGTGTGTGCTTTACGCTACGACAGAGCTACGGGTTATGAGCATAATATACTACAGTACTATATAGCAATATATAGATATAGATCTATGGGGAAAGGAATGTGTCAAAATAATCTATTTTATTCGCTGTCTTTTAGATCTTGCTATAAGTTTATTTTTTACTTATTAATTCAACCGTTATTTTTGTACCCTATTAATTTATTTATAATTTATATGAGAGTGATAGGGAGTTACAATTACATGGTTTTGTTTCGCTAGGCCTAATCATTTTTTCACATTTTTTAAAAACAAACTTGATCACTATCTATTTTTAGATAACATAAGGAAATTGCGCTTAAATTGTCACTAGACTTTTTATTAACTTGTTTATTCGTTGTCACATTTTTTTAGTTGTCATGTTTGTTGACACTGGTTTGGTGGTTTTAAATTAATTGTTGCCACTAATTGGGATCCGTTCTCTCTCTGCTATAAGTAGCGAGCTCAGGGAAAATGGTGCGTTTAAATTAACATAACGGTCAAAGCTGGGAGTGTGGGATAGTGTGGGATAGTGTGGGATAGTGTGGGATAGTGTGGGATAGTGTGGGATAGTGTGGGATAGTGTGGGATAGTGTGGGATAGTGTGGGATAGTGTGGGATAGTGTGGGATAGTGTGGGATAGTGTGGGATAGTGTGGGATAGTGTGGGATAGTGTGGGATAGTGTGGGATAGTGTGGCCAGTGTGGGATAGTGTGGGATAGTGTGGGATAGTGTGGGATAGTGTGGGATAGTGTGGGATAGTGTGGCCAGTGTGGGATAGTGTGGGATAGTGTGGGATAGTGTGGGATAGTGTGGGATAGTATGGGATAGTGTGGGATAGTGTGGGATAGTGTGGGATGGTGTGGGATGGTGTTCATTTGGTTTGTAAAGTGAAATCGATAAATAAAAAAACATAATAATAGTGTTTTAAATACGGTTAATTGAATAAAACTTATTTTCTTTCATTAGAGCATTGTTTGCTAAAAGTTGATAGATTTTTACGACCAAAGCTTTCATTTTTATAAAGGAATCTTAATTTATTCATTATAAATTTTAAGTGCTGTTAAAAGCTTGTCATTATAAAATGTTTTAATATTCATTTTATGTCCGGTTCTCAATAAACTCGACACAACACACGGCTAGTAATTGGTGCTTTAAAACCCGATCAGTAGCTCGCGATCTGTTAAAGACAGTTATCTGCCCTTGTGTTGAGGCAATCAGCAGCCCGTGACGATCAGCTGACCGATGTAAACAGCTGATCGACTGTTGGCATCACCCTCCGCACCCTCTTTTGTTACTAAAATTAGAAATGTGTAATTTAAATTTTAAGGATTATCTGTCAATCTAATTTGATTGAATAATTAAATATTTTTGCGTTCTCCCCAAACAATTAGAAGTGGTTCAACACATTGAGTTTTAATTGGCCACAAACCCACAAACCCACACACCCACAAACCCACACACCCACAAACCCACACACCCACAAACCCACACACCCACAAACCCACACACCCACAAATCCACACACCCACAAACCCACACACCCACACACCCACAAACCCACAAACCCACACACCCACAAATCCACACACCCACAAATCCACACACCCACAAATCCACACACCCACAAACCCACACACCCACAAACCCACACACCCACAAACCCACACACCCACAAACAAACAGCTTATAAAAATATGCTTGATTTCTGTCTCTCGTGTTTAGATTTTCTGAGCACCTCAGCAATATACAAGTCCCAGCAGTTGGAGGATGAGGTCCTCAACGTCTTCACGATGGGTAGGGTGGGGTCTCGTGGGGTGGGGGGGCATATTTATTAGGGTGGGGTCTGGTTGGGGGGGGGGCATATTTATTAGGGTGGGGTCTCGTGGGGTGGGGGGGCATATTTATTAGGGTGGGGTCTGGTTGGGGGGGGCATATTTATTAGGGTGGGGTCTCGTGGGGGGGGCATATTTATTAGGGTGGGGTCTCGTGGGGTGGGGGCATATTTATTTGGGTGGGGTCTCGTGGGGGGGGGGCATATTTATTAGGGTGAGGTCTGGTTGGGGGGGGGGGCATATTTATTAGGGTGGGGTCTGGTTGGGGGGGGCATATTTATTAGGGTGGGGCATATTTATTTGGGTGGGGTAGGGCATATTTAATCTGGTGTGGGGTGGGTTATATTTACGAGGGTGTGGTGTGGGTGAGAAATTGAATAAGACGTGGTGAAGGTATGGGGGTTGATTCAGTATGTGAGTTTATTAGGGGGATGGGGGGTCACCTCTGCTTCAGTTGGGTGGGGTTTGAGCGGGGGTAAGGGTAGTTTAAACATACAAGTGGGTGTGGCCACAAAGGGTGGGAGGAGCTTAGGGAGGGTGGGAGGAGCTTAGGGAGGATGTGATCACGTGGTCCTTGAATGATTGAAGAGAGAGGGAGAGGCTGGCGAATGAAAAGTTTTAGTGGTCACGTGTCTCCCGTATATAGTTTGTTCACATGTGACAGTACAATTTGATCAAAGTCAGTGTCTTGTCCACATCTAGCAAGTGTCGTAGTGTCAATGTCTTGTCCACATCTAGCAAGTGTCGTAGTGTCAATGTCTTGTCCACATCTAGCAAGTGTCGTAGTGTCAATGTCTTGTCCACATCTAGCAAGCGTCGTAGTGTCAATGTCTTGTCCACATCTAGCAAGTGTCGTAGTGTCAATGTCTTGTCCACATCTAGCAAGTGTCGTAGTGTCAATGTCTTGTCCACATCTAGCAAGTGTCGTAGTGTCAATGTCTTGTCCACATCTAGCAAGTGTCGTAGTGTCAATGTCTTGTCCACATCTAGCAAGTGTCGTAGTGTCTTGTCCACATCTAGCAAGTGTCGTAGTGTCTTGTCCACATCTAGCAAGTGTCGTAGTGTCAATGTCTTGTCCACATCTAGCAAGTGTCGTAGTGTCTTGTCCACATCTAGCAAGTGTCGTAGTGTCTTGTCCACATCTAGCAAGTGTCGTAGTGTCTTGTCCACATCTAGCAAGTGTCGTAGTGTCTTGTCCACATCTAGCAAGTGTCGTAGTGTCAATGTCTTGTCCACATCTAGCAAGTGTCGTAGTGTCAATGTCTTGTCCACATCTAGCAAGTGTCGTAGTGTCAATGTCTTGTCCACATCTAGCAAGTGTCGTAGTGTCTTGTCCACATCTAGCAAGTGTCGTAGTGTCTTGTCCACATCTAGCAAGTGTCGTAGTGTCAATGTCTTGTCCACATCTAGCAAGTGTCGTAGTGTCTTGTCCACATCTAGCAAGTGTCGTAGTGTCAATGTCTTGTCCACATCTAGCAAGTGTCGTAGTGTCTTGTCCACATCTAGCAAGTGTCAATGTCTTGTCCACATCTAGCAAGTGTCGTAGTGTCAATGTCTTGTCCACATCTAGCAAGTGTCGTAGTGTCTTGTCCACATCTAGCAAGTGTCGTAGTGTCAATGTCTTGCCCCTGTCCAGATGTAGTCAGTCTACCTGGTGTCCATGTCACGCGACCCACAGGACGTGACGTCATAAGTAAGCAACCGCTTGTTTCCTAGGCAACGAGCAGGAAGAGACCACCCAAGGGCGGGTGGAGAGGCGGGGCGGTGGGCGTGTCCAGGACGACCATCAGATGACGTTGGAGGACAACTTCGCCTGGCCAACCGTGGTGGCCATCGTCGTCTTCGTCTTGGCCATCCTTATGGTCCTGTGTGTGTGTCTGGCCAAAAACTTCATGCCGACAGGTGTGTCTGTTGTCTGGCCAGGTGTGTCTTTTGTCTGGCCAGGTGTGTCTGTAGTCTGGCCAGGTGTGTCTGTCAGGTGTGTCTGTTGTTTATAAGGTGTGTCTGTTATCTGTCAGGTGTGTCTGTTGTCTGGCCAGGTGTGTCTGTTGTCTGGCCAGGTGTGTCTGTTATCTGTCAGGTGTGTCTGTTATCTGTCAGGTGTGTCTGTTATCTGTCAGGTGTGTCTGTTGTCTGGCCAGGTGTGTCTGTTGTCTGGCCAGGTGTGTCTGTCATGTGTGTCTGATGTCTGTCAGGTGTGTCTGTTGTCTGGCCAGGTGTGTCTGTTGTCTGGCAAGTTGTGTCTGGCCAGGTGTGTATGTTGTCTGGCCAGGTGTGTCTGTTGTCTGGCCAGGTGTGTCTGTTGTCTGGCCAGGTGTGTCTGTTGTCTGGCCAGGTGTGTCTGTTGTCTGGCCAGGTGTGTCTGTTGTCTGGCCAGGTGTGTCTGTTGTCTGGCCAGGTGTGTCTGTTGTCTGGCCAGGTGTGTCTGTTGTCTGGCCAGGTGTGTCTGTTGTCTGGCCAGGTGTGTCTGTTGTCTGGCCAGGTGTGTCTGTTAGATGTCTTGTCATTTGTCTGGCCTGGTATGTCTGTCAGGTGTGTCTGTCATTTGTCTGGCCAGGTGTGTCTGTTGTCTGGCCAGGTGTGTCTGTTGTCTGGCCAGGTGTGTCTGTTGTCTGGCCAGGTGTGTCTGTTGTCTGGCCAGTAGTGTTTGTTAGGTGTCTTGTCATTTGTCTGTCAGGTGTGTGAGACAGGTCCAATTAACCTGAGTGACATGTGGCTTACCTTGTGTCAATTTGTTTTCTTACTTTTAGAAATTAAAGGACTAAAAGGCGTCAAAGGTAAGTTTTTTTAGAAATCTTCCAATTATCTACTGCCCATCTACCTACTCCAAACACATGCACTCTACTTCATCTGTAGTACTTGTGTATTGGTTTGAACATCAACCATGTTTTTTTCGCATCACCTTTATCTTCACCGCTCACCTTTAAGTTGGGGTGACCGCAAGAGTAAATGACCTCTTTGTGAGGTCAAGGTTGAACGTTGTACCGTGTATTGTTTCAATTCTTGCAGAGGCGTATCCAGGATTATATGCAATCAAGCAGGCCCAGGATCTCAAAAACTCAAAACACAAGGGAAAGAGGAAAGTGGATAAGACAAAAGTGGATAAGACAAAAGTGGATAAGACAAAAGTGGATAAGACAAAAAAGGATAAGGCAAGAGTGGATGAGACAAAAGTGGATAAGACAAAAGTGGATAAGACAAAAGTGAATAAGACAAAAAAGGATAAGACAAAAAAGGATAAGACAAAAAAGGATAAGACAAGAGTGGATGAGACAAAAGTGGATAAGACAAGAGTGGATAAGACAAGAGTTGATAAGACAAGAGTGGATAAGGCAAGAGTGGATAAGACAAGAGTGGATCAAGAGGCAGGAGAAATGAGTGACTCGAGCATTGAAGAAAGTTCGGACAACTAGACGATTGGTGAGACGGTGGATTGGTGAGACGGTGGATTGGTGAGACGGTGGATTGGTGAGGCGGTATTTGTGTTACTATGTTGTGTGACAAAGTGGATATGACAATTTTTATGTCCAGTAATTTTTTTAATAAATACTTTTAAAATCTCAGAGCCTTTTGTTGTTGTGTGTGTATCTTTGGGTCCTGTTGGTAGACCGGATGTTGGTAGACCGGATGTTGGTAGACCGGATGTTGATAGACACAATCCTACACATCCATACACACACACAAACACATACCATATCTTCCCACACAATCCGACACATCCACACACAAACACATACATACCATATATTCCCACATAACCACACAGAATAAACACAAAGCACTGGTTTTGATTCTAAGATGTTATTTAATACACGATGTTCGGATACTTGAACAGTATCGCTACGATGATCAGACCAATCGCTTCAATTAAAACAGTATCGATGCAGCACTCAGACGAATCGCTCCATATATAAAAATATCGATTCAGCGATCACAATATTCGCCCCATTTAAAACAGTATCGATACGGCGATCACAATATTCGCCCCATATAAAACAGTATCGATACAGCGATCAAACGAATCGATTCCTGAAATACCAGACCAGGCAGGCGAACACCAAGATGGCCATCGCGAAAGCTATGGAGAAGTAGGCCATGATCCGCTCCAAGGTCATCGCGTCTTTGGCCGTGGAGTGGAAGATCTGGGGGGCGGTGGCGGTGTTCGTCTGTCGCCAGAGGTCAGTGGTGTAGAGGTCAGTTGTGTTGACCTCGACATGATTAGCAGCACCTGGGGTTCAAAGGTCAACATGGCGTTTGGTGATACGAATCTTTACACTACCCATGTAGTTCCCCCCCCCCCCCCAGACTACCCCCCCGACTACCCATGTCCCCCCTACTTAGCTAGAATAACTCACAGTGAGTGAGTCGCCAATTAACCTAATTAGCCAGATTAACTAACAATGAGTCGCCAGTTAGCCAGATTAACTTACAGTGCGTGAGTCACTAATTAACCTAATTAGCCTGATTAACTAACAGTGCGTAGTATAGCCTGATTAACTAACAGTGCGTGAGTCACCAATTAACCTAATTAGCCATATTAACTTACAGTGCGTGAGTCGCAAATTAACTTAATTAGCCAGATTAACTTACAGTGAGTCACCAATTAACCTAATTATCCAGATTAACTTACAGTGAGTCACCAATTAACCTAATTAGCCTGATTAACTAACAGTGCGTGAGTCGCCAATTAACCTAATTAGCCTGATTAACTCACTTTGGAAAAATTTGACCCCGCACAAGGTGACGTTTCCTGACGTCACCGAGATCTCGAGGTGATCCAATGCGGTCATGACGTAGATGTGGTTGACCTGGTGACGTAATGTCCGGCTCAGTTGGAGTACAACATCCATCTCCCTGAAGCCACGCAGCGCCGCTTCAGCTGAGCTAGGCTCTGTAGAGACGGTAGTGTCTGGTTAGTCTAGCTAGAAGTGTCCGGTTAGTCTAGCTAGAAGTGTCCGGTTAGTCTAGCTAGAAGTGTCTGGTTAGTCTAGCTAGAAGTGTCCGGTTAGTTTCCGGTTAGTCTAGCTAGAAGTGTCCTGTTAGTCTAGCTAGAAGTGTCCGGTTAATCTAGCTAGAAGTGTCCGGTTAGTCTAGCTAGAAGTGTCTGGTTAGTCTAGCTAGAAGTGTCTGGTTAGTCTAGCTAGAAGTGTCCGGTTAGTCTAGCTAGAAAATCAACTTAGCTTATGATTTCATTTAGGTTGTTCACACTGCTAGTATCGATACTACCTTTAGTGTAGACGACGATTCTTATGATGTGTGTCCATGAGGGCATGGTCACCATGAAAATGTTGGGGTCAAGGTCAATACACTGTGCCAAGGTTGGCGTGTCCTTAACTAGTTTGTTTGCCTGGCTCTCCAGATGCTCGGCCTTGACCCCATTGGTCAAAATGTCTGCCGTCAGGCCTGTTACCTCATGACCTGGAGATATAATTGGGTCATGGTGGACAACCAGTCCAACCAGACAGACAACCAGTCCAACCACACAGACAACCAGTCCAACCACACAGACAACCAGTCCAACCACACAGATAACCAGTCCAACCACACAGACAACCAGTCCAACCACACAGACAACCAGTCCAACCACACAGACTACCAGTCCAACCACACAGACAACCAATCCAACCACACAGACAACCAGTCCAACCCTGACAACCACTAGTCCAACTACAAAGACAACCAGTCCAACCACACAGACAACCAGTCCAACCACACAGACAACCAGTCCAACCGCACAGACAACCAGTCCAACCACACAGACAACCAGTCCAACCACACAGTCAACCAGTCCAACCACACAGATAACCAGTCCAACCACACAGACAACCAGTCCAACCACACAGACAATCAGTCCAACCACACAGACAACCAGTCCAACCACACAGACAACCAGTCCAACCACACAGACAACCAGTCCAACCACACAGACAACCAGTTCAACCACACAGACAACCAGTCCCACCCTGACAACCAGTCCAACCACACAGACTACCAGTCCAACCACACAGATAACCAGTCCAACCACAAAGACAACCAGTCCAACCAGACAGACAACCAGTCCAACCACACAGTCAACCAGTCCAACCACACAGACATCAAGTCCAACCCTGAATGACAACCAGTCCAACCCTTATTAACAACCAGTCCAACAATACAGACAACCAGTCCAACCACACAGACAACCTGTCCAACCACACAGACAACAAGTTCAACCACACAGACAACCAGTCCAACCACACAGACAACCAGTCCAACCACACAGACTACCAGTCCAACCACACAGACAACCAGTCCAACCACACAGACAACAAGTTCAACCACATAGACAACCAGTCCAACCACACAGACAACAAGTTCATCCACACAGACAACCAGTCCAACCACACAGACAACCAGTCCAACCACACAGACTACCAGTCCAACCACACAGACAACCAGTCCAACCACACGGACAACCAGTCCAACCACACAGACAACCAGTCCAACCACACAGACAACCAGTCCAACCACACAGACAACCAGTCCAACCACACAGACAACAAGTTCAACCACACAGACAACCAGTCCAACCACACAGACTACCAGTCCAACCACATAGACAACCAGTCCAACCACACAGACAACCAGTCCAACCCTGACAACCACCAGTCAAACCACAAAGACAACCAGTCCAACCACACAGACAACCAGTCCAACCACACAGACAACCAGTCCAACCACACAGACAACCAGTCCAACCACACAGACAACCAGTCCAACCACACGGACAACCAGTCCAACCACACAGACAACCAGTCCAACCACACAGACAACCAGTCCAACCACACAGACAACCAGTCCAACCACACAGACACCCAGTCCTACCACACAGACAACCAGTCCAACCACACAGACAACCAGTCCAACCACACAGACAACAAGTTCAACCACACAGACAACCAGTCCAACCACACAGACAACCAGTCCAACCGCACAGACAACCAGTCCAACCACACAGAAAACCAGTCATCCACACAGACAACCAGGCCAACCACACAGACAACTAGGCCAACCACACAGACAACCAGTCCAACCACACAGTCAACCAGTCCAACCACACAGATAACCAGTCCAACCACAAAGACAACCAGTCCAACCAGACAGACAACCAGTCCAACCACAAAGACAACCAGTCCAACCAGACAGACAACCAGTCCAACCACACAGACAACCAGTCCAACCACACAGACAACCAGTCCAATCATCAGACAAATAGCCCAACCACATCGACAACCAGTCCAACCACACAGTCAACCAGTCCAACCACACAGACATCAAATCCAACCCTGAATGACAACCAGTCCAACCCTTAATAACAACCATTCCAACCACACAGACAACCAGTCCAACACTGAATGACAATCAGTCCAACCCTGAATGACAACCAGTCCAACCACACAGACAACCAGTCCAACCACACAGACAACCAGTTCAACCATACAGACAACCAGTCCAACCACACAGACAACCAGTCCAACCCTGACAACCAGTCCAACCCTGACAACCAGTAAAACCACAAAGACAACCAGTCCAACCACACAGACAACCAGTCCAACCCTGAATGACAACCAGTCCAACCACATAGTCAACCAGTCCAACCACACAGACAACCAGTCCAACCACACAGACAACCAGTCCAACCACACAGACAACCAGTCCAACCACACAGACAACCAGTCCAACCACACAGACAACCAGTCCAACCACACAGACAACCAGTCCAACCACACAGACAACCAGTCCAACCCTGACAACCAGTCCAACCACACAGACAACCAGTCCAACCACACAGACAACCAGTCCAACCACACAGACAACCAGTCCAACCACACAGACTACCAGTCCAACCACACAGACTACCAGTCCAACCACACAGACAACCAGTCCAACCACACAGACAACCAGTCCAACCACACAGACAACCAGTCCAATCCTGACAACCAGTCCAACCCACCCCCGTAGACGTGCATGGAGCAGAGCATCGTGTCGGTGCGAACTGTGATCAAGTACTGCGAGCTGAGGAGGGTGGGGTAGAACTTGAAGGTCACGCGGGTGTGGTCAGCCGTCTCCATGTCCCCCCGGTACTCGTCCTTACTGTTTAAATCGAACTTGAGCGACATTTGTGTCACATGGGCTGTTAGGAAAAAACAACAGTGGCGGATTACGAGGTGGGGCTGAGATGGCGCCAGCCCGAGGCCCCAAATTTTTCAGAAAAAATAGCATACACGAGAGCACCGCCGACAATACATAATGTGAACCAATATAATAATGTAACATAATATCAACCAATATTTAGTAAAACTCTAAGTTGCCTACAGTTATATCCATGTTGGCTACAGTTATATCCATGTTGGCTACAATTATATCCATGTTGCCTACAGTTATATCCATGTTGGCTACAATTATATCCAGAACTATAACTGACCTTGACCCTGAAAGTGTTCTTCTATAACTGACCTTGACCCTGAAAGTGTTCTTCTATAACTGACCTTGACCCCAAAAGTGTTCTGTAACTGACCTTGACTCTGGAAGACCAGCGTGAAAGACTCGAGGGGGAAGACCTCTGGGAACCGGATGTGGATGGTGTCGGCGACCAGGTGGGTGCAGGTGGACTTGTCCCAGTCAGCCAGGGCCGCAGGTGAGACGGAGCTCGCGAAGATCAGAGCGTCGGCTGGCAAAATACCAGGGTCAGTGAACGGCTGGTCAAGATGTCAAAAGGTCGGGAGGTCAAAAGGTCGTGAAATCATTTTGTCGTTAGGAAAGCTCTTAAAATTGTAAACTTGTCAGTTTCGTGATAAGATTAGGTGATTTTAACCTACACATAGGTAACAACATCACATAGGTAACACCATCACAAAGGTAACACCATCACAAAGGTAACACCATTACACAGGTAACACCATTGCAAAGGTAACACCATCACACAGGTAACACCATCACAAAGATAACACCATCATACATGCAACACCATCACACAGGTAACATAATCACAAAGGTAACACCGTCACACTGGTAGCACCATCACAAAGGTAACACCATCACACAGGTAACACCATCACACAGGTAACACCATCACACAGGTAACACCATTACACAGGTAACACCATCACACAGGTAACACGATCACACAGGTAACACGATCACACAGGTAACATAATCACAAAGGTAACACCATCACACAGGTAACATAATCACAAAGGTAACACCGTCACACAGGTAACATAATCACAAAGGTAACACCATCACACAGGTAACACATCACTCAGGTAACATAATCACAAAGGTAACGCCGTCACACAGGTAACACTATCTCACAGGTAACACCATCACAAAGGTAACACCATTACACAGGTAACACCATCACACAGGTAACACCATCACACAGGTAACACGATCACACAGGTAACACCATCACACAGGTAACACCATCACACAGGTAACACCATCACACAGGTAACACGATCACACAGGTAACACCATCACACAGGTAACACCACCACACAGGTAACACCATCACACAGGTAACACCATCACATAGGTAACACCATCACACAGGTAACACCATCACACAGGTAACACCATCACATAGGTAACACCATCACACAGGTAACACCATCACACAGGTAACACCATCACACAGGTAACACAATCACACAGGTAACACCATCGCAAATGTACCACCATCACACAGGTGACACCATCACACAGGTAACACGATCACACAGGTAACACCATCACACAGGTAACACCATCACATTGGTAACACCATCACACAGGTAACACCATCACACAGGTAACACCATCACACAGGTAACACCATCGCAAATGTACCACCATCACACAGGTAACACCATCACACAGGTAACACGATCACACAGGTAACACCATCACACAGGTAACATAATCACAAAGGTAACACGATCACACAGGTAACACCATCACACAGGTAACACCATCACACAGGTAACATAATCACAAAGGTAACTTCGAGTATTGCCTGACCCCACAGCCAGTCACTAGCCCGACCCCACAGCCAGTCACTAGCCCGACCCCACAGCCAGTCACTAGCCCGACCCCACAGCCAGCCAACTCACCTGAGAGACATGACCCCGAGTATTGCCCGACCCCACAGCCGGTGTTGGAGCATTTACCGTCCTGACGACAGGCCTGCCCGTCACACTGGCACTCGTCTTGACATGTAGGCCCGTACATGCCTGGCATGCAGAGCTGAGGACCTGGGGACAGGAGCCGCACATCAGCCAGAGGTGGCCCAGCTAAACTAGGGCGGGACATTGGGGACAGGAGCCGCACATCAGCTAGAGGTGGCCCAGCTAAACTAGGGCGGGACATTGGGGGCGTGGGGACAGGAGCCGCACAATCAGCCAGAGGTGGCCCAGCTAAACTAGGGCGGGACATTGGGGGCGTGGGGACAGGAGCCGCACAATCAGTTAGAGGTGGCCCAGCTAAACTAGGGAGTGGCATCGGCAACAAGTGGATGACAAGGTTCTGACTCACAGCCACAACTAGACACCAGACACGCCCACAACTAGACACCAGACACACCCACAACTAGACACCAGACACACCCACAACTAGACACCAGACACACCAATAACTAGACACCAGACACACCAATAACTAGACACAAGCCACACTCACAAACAGACACAAGTCTCGACTACAAGTAGACACAAACCGCGCCTACAACTAGACACAAGCCACACTCACAAATAGACACACCCACTACTAGACAAACCACGCCCACAACTAGACACAAGCCACACTCACAAATAGACACACCCACAACTAGACAAGCCACGCCCTCAACTATACACAAGCCACACTCACAAATAGACACACCCACTACTAGACAAGCCACGCCCACAACTAGACACAAGCCACACTCACAAATAGACACACCCACAACTAGACAAGCCACGCCCACAACTAGACACAAGCCACACTCACAAATAGACACACCCACAACTAGACAAGCCACGCCCACAACTAGACACAAGCCACACTCACAAATAGACACACCCACAACTAGACAAGCCACGCCCACAACTAGACAAGCCACGCCCACAACTAGACAAGCCACGCCCACAACTAGACACCTGTAACTGAAGTTGTAACTCCTCCATCGCTCCGGCTGGTCATTAGACTTTCTGTAGTGGTGGGAGCAGGCTTCATGGTAAATGGCTGAAACACACCGATAGGTCAGCTAGAGGGGCTAGAGAGGTGGTGGGGGTGGGGCTATGAAATGGGGGGAGGGTCAATAGTAGAGTGTGCTACAATTGGATGGCTAGAGAGTGGGAGGGGTACAGTAGAATGTGTAGCAGTGGAGGTGGGGGGGGGGAGTCACGATTGGCTCCATCACCATCACCCCACCATCCACCCACCATTCACCCACTTCCACCCCGCTATTGGCACCATTTACCCACTATCCACCCACCATCCACCCACCATCCACCGACCATCCACCCACCATCCACCCACCATCCACCCACCATCCACCCACCATCCACCGACCATCCACCCACCATCCACCCACCATCCACCCACCATCCACCTACCATTCACTAACCATCCACCCACCATCCACCCACCATCCACCCACCATCCACCCACCATCCACCCACCATCCACCCACCATCCACCCACCATCCACCCACCATCCACCCACCATCCACCCACCATCCACCCACCATCCACCTACCATCCACCCACCATCCACCCACCATCCACCCACCATCCGGTAAACGGAAAAAAAGTCACAGGGAAAAAAAACACAGAAAAAAAGTCACTGTTTTTGCTAGGAAAAAAAGTCACGGAAAAAAAGTCACAATGAAAAAATTTTATCGGAAAAAAGTCACAGAAATAAAGTCACAGAAAAAAAGTCACACAAATCTTTTTAGAAATACTTTGATTTATTTGTTAAGAATTGTAAAATTGTGTATGTTTATTGTTGTGGGTAGTATTTTTTGATAGCTTAAATTATTTATAGACGTTAAAAGCATTATGGTTTATACAAATTGTAAGTAAAAATACTCTAAGATAATTTACACAACAATCTTAACTTTTGTTACGTATTTAGTTACATACGCGGTAGAAAAGTTAACTATAAAAGAAATTTAGGCACATCATTGTGTTTTGCATAGCTTTTGCCGCAAGCTATTCTATGGTCGGCCTCTCCTCAGTCGGCATTGTCCGAACATATTTTGTGTTGTTGACGTTTTGTGTCAATGACAGCCTATGAACCTTGTCGGCTCTCTGTTTTGATCCTAAGTTTTGTTATGTAATGAGCGTGATAAATGTGGGCAGTAAAGGTGGTTGAACTAAGCATAACTATTGTTGCGATGAGTTTAGGGCAGTAATTCAGATGACCTTACCATTTCACGGTAATTTAATTTTTTTTAAAAACACGATGAAAACCGTGGACATTCTATTAAATGGTATAAATATTATGTTTAACATAATTACAATCTACATAATTCATACTAAATAATTTTAGCTGAATTATAAAAATTACTATACGTATACAACCTACACACATTACATTACATTTAATTAATCCTAAGTTAATTTGCACTCTCTGAATTTTTAATACATAAAAGTATTAACAAATCCCATGCAAATATATATTTGTGACTTTTTTTCCTGTGACTTTTTTCCCTGTGACTTTTTTTCCTGTGACTTTTTTTCTGTGTTTTTTTTTTCCTGTGTTTTTTTTTTCCATGTGACTTTTTTTCCTACAATCCACCATCCACCCACCGTCCACCCACCATCCACCCAACATTCACCCACAATCCACCCACCATCTACCCACTATCCACCTACCATTCACACACCATCCACCCACCATCCACACACCATCCACCGACCATCCACCCAACATTCACCCACCATCCACCCACCATCCACCTACCATTCACACACCATCCACCCACCATCCACCCACCATCCACCCACCATCCACCCACCATCCACCCACCCACCATCCACCCACCATCCGCCATCCACCTACCACCCACCCACCATCCACCCACCATCCACCCACCATCCACCTACCATCCACCCACCATCCACCCACCATCCACCCACCATCCACCCACCATCCACCCACCATCCACCCACCATCCACCCACCCACCATCCACCCACCATCCATCCACCCACCCACCATCCACCCACCTCCACCCCGGTATCCTCAAAGCCAAGCGGGAATATGTAGACTGTGTTGTTGTCCTCTTTGCCCAATAGGTAGACGATAAAGTTACAGCCGGGCTCCTCCGTGTACACATCCACTGACGGCTCCTCCAGCTTCAGGAAGCCGGACACCATGCCCAGCTCTGGTGTCTCGGACCTGTCCGACCTGGGGACCACAGGCAGGCTGGAACACCAGACAACACCAGACAACACCAGACAACACAACACCAGACAACACAACACCAGACAACACCAGACAACACAACACCAGGCAACACAACACCAGACAACAGCAGACAACAGCAGACAACACCAGACAACACAACACCAGACAACACCAGACAACACAACAGCAGGCAACACCAGACAACACCAGACAACACCAGACAACACAACACCAGACAACACAACACCAGACAACACAACACCAGACAACACAACACCAGACAACACCAGACAACACCAGACAACACCAGACAACACAACACCAGACAACACCAGACAACACCAGACAACACCAGACAACACCAGACAACACAACACCAGACAACACCAGACAACACCAGACAACACCAGACAACACAACACCAGACAACACAACACCAGACAACACAACACCAGACAACACAACACCAGACAACACCAGACCACACTAGACAACACAACACCAGACAACACAACACCAGACAACACCAGACAACACAACACCAGACAACACAACACCAGACAACACAACACCAGACAACACCAGACAACACAACACCAGACAACACAACACCAGACAACACAACACCAGACAACACCAGACAACACAACAGCAGACAACACAACACCAGACAACACACAACACTTACAATATGTTGGTTATTTTCTTGGTGTAACAATGAAAGCACCAACACTTACAATATGTTGGTTATATTGTTGGTCCCTAAAATGATCTTCTCCTGGCAGCCCTTTTTGAATGTCACGTGGAGAAATGCCTGACTGTCCGCTTCCGGTACCACTGGAACTCTGGGGGATTCATACAAACATCATCTCTACGTCGTGTTGTCTGTCGTGATGTCTGTCTGTCGTGTTGTCTGTCGTGTTGTCTGTCATGTTATCTGTCCGCCTGCTGTTGTCTGTTCTGTTATGCTGTCTGTTATGTTGTCTGTTGTGTTGTCTGTCTGCAATTGTGTGTGAGCTGTGTGTACGCTGTGTAAGCTGTGTGTAAGCTGTGTGTAAGTTGTGTGTAAGCTGTGTGTAAGCTGTGTGTAAGTTGTGTGTAAGCTGTGTGTAAGCTGTGTGTAAGCTGTGTGTAAGCTGTGTGTAAGCTGTGTGTAAGTTATGTGTAAGCTGTGTGTAAGCTGTGTGTACGCTATGTGTAAGCTGTATGTAAGTTGTGTGTAAGCTGTGTGTAAGCTGTGTGTAAGTTGTGTGTACGCTATGTGTAAGCTGTGTGTAAGTTGTGTGTAAGCTGTGTGTAAGCTGTGTGTAAGCTGTGTGTACGCTATGTGTAAGCTGTATGTAAGTTATATGTAAGCTGTGTGTAAGCTGTGTGTAAGCTGTGTGTAAGTTGTGTGTAAGCTGTGTGTAAGTTATGTGTAAGCTGTGTGTAAGTCATGTGTAAGCTGTGTGTAAGTTGTGTGTAAGCTGTGTGTAAGCTGTGTGTAAGCTGTGTGTAAGCTGTGTGTAAGCTGTGTAACTTACATGACTAGATATCGCATGGACCAGAGCCTGACGGGGATGACGGTGCAGAGATCGAGGGCGGCCCGTGGGATCTGGAGCATACACTGACTCAGCTCCCTGCTTATGACGCTGTGGGTCTGACTCCATGTCTGTGGAGAGTCAGGGGTCTATGTATCCTGTGTGTCTATGTGTCCTGTGTGTCTATGTATCCTGTGTGTCTATGTGTCCTGTGTGTCTATGTATCCTGTGTGTCTATGTGTCCTGTGTGTCTATGTGTCAAGTGTGTCTATGTGTCCTGTGTGTCTATGTGTCAAGTGTGTCTATGTGTCCTGTGTGGCTATGTGTCAAGTGTGTCTATGTGCCCTGTGTGTCTATGTGTCAAGTGTGTCTATGTGTCCTGTGTGTCTGTGTCCTGTGTGTCTGTGTGGATGTGTCTCAATGTGTCTCTGTCAGCACGTGTGTCTTTGTGTCTGCGTGTCACCTGACCCCAGATGGCCGACCACGACTCACCAGCTGCGTCAGATGGCCGCCCATGACTCACCAGCTGCGTCAGATGGCCCACGACCTGACGGTCCAACAGGAAGTTACCCCGGGTGGGGGATGTCAGGTAGAATGACTCCGTGTCAGCTGACGCCTCGAGCAGTACGTGACTCAGGCCGTAGTGACGCCGGCCTAGATACACTTCTGCTGGATGGAAGGAACATTAGCTGGACACATGGTGGGTGGATATATATATATGTATATATATATATATATATATATATATATATATATATATATATATATATATATATATATATATATATATATATATATATATATACACTGAGGTGTAACATGACTGACCTGAGGTGTAACATGACCTGAGGTGTAACATGACTGACCTGAGTTGTAACATGACCTGAGGTGTAACATGACCTGAGGTGTAACATGACTGACCTGCGGTGTAACATGACTGAACTGAGATGTAATATGACTGACCTGAGGTGTAACATGACTGAACTGATGTGTAACATGACTGACCTGAGGTGTAACATGACTGACCTGAGGTGTAACATGACTGAACTGATGTGTAACATGACTGACCTGAGGTGTAACATGACTGACCTGAGGTGTAACAATACCTGAGGTGTAACATGACTGACCTGAGTTGTAACATGACCTGAGGTGTAACATGACCTGAGGTGTAACATGACTGACCTGAGGTGTAACATGACTGAACTGATGTGTAACATGACTGACCTGAGGTGTAACATGACTGACCTGAGGTGTAACATGACTGACCTGAGGTGTAACATGACTGACCTGAGGTGTAACATGACCTGAGGTGTAACATGACCTGAGGTGTAACATGACCTGAGGTGTAACATGACTGACCTGAGGTGTAACATGACTGAACTGATGTGTAACATGACTGACCTGAGGTGTAACATGACCTGAGGTGTAACATGACTGACCTGAGGTGTAACATGACCTGAGGTGTAACATGACCTGAGGTGTAACATGACTGACCTGAGGTGTAACATGACTGAACTGATGTGTAACATGACTGACCTGAGGTGTAACATGACCTGAGGTGTAACATGACTGACCTGAGGTGTAACATGACTGACCTGAGGTGTAACATGACTGACCTGAGGTGTAACATGACCTGAGGTGTAACATGACTGACCTGAGGTGTAACATGACCTGAGGTGTAACATGACCTGAGGTGTAACATGACTGACCTGAGTTGTAACATGTCCTAAGGTGTAACATGACTGAACTGATGTGTAACATGACTGACCTGAGGTGTAACATGACCTGAGGTGTAACATGACTGACCTGAGGTGTAACATGACTGACCTGAGGTGTAACATGACTGACCTGAGGTGTAACATGACCTGAGGTGTAACATGACCTGAGGTGTAACATGACTGACCTGAGGTGTAACATGACCTGAGGTGTAACATGACCTGAGGTGTAACATGACTGACCTGAGGTGTAACATGACCTGAGGTGTAACATGACTGACCTGAGGTGTAACATGACCTGAGGTGTAACATGACTGACCTGAGGTGTAACATGACTGACCTGAGGTGTAACATGACTGACCTGAGGTGTAACATGACCTGAGGTGTAACATGACCTGAGGTGTAACATGACTGACCTGAGGTGTAACATGACCTGAGGTGTAACATGACTGACCTGAGGTGTAACATGACTGACCTGAGGTGTAACATGACTGACCTGAGGTGTAACATGACTGACCTGAGGTGTAACATGACTGACCTGAGGTGTAACATGACCTGAGGTGTAACATGACCTGAGGTGTAACATGACCTGAGGTGTAACATGACCTGAGGTGTAACATTACCTGAGGTGTAACATGACTGACCTGAGGTGTAACATGACCTGAGGTGTAACATGACTGACCTGAGGTGTAACATGACTGACCTGAGGTGTAACATGACCTGAGGTGTAACATGACTGACCTGAGGTGTAACATGACCTGAGGTGTAACATGACCTGAGGTGTAACATGACTGACCTGAGGTGTAACATGACCTGAGGTGTAACATGACTGACCTGAGGTGTAACATGACCTGAGGTGTAACATGACTGACCTGAGGTGTAACATCCCGTGTATTTGTCGTGCTTGGTACAGCTAACAGCAGCCACCATGAACTGACCTTCAGACTTGAGCGACACAACTGAGCAGAGATAGCAATAGATGGACACATGTCGAGTGCGTCATGTCAGGTGCGTCACGTCAGGTGGGTCACGTCAGGTGGGTCACGTCAGGTGCGTCACGTCAGGTGCGTCACGTCAGGTGGGTCACGCCAGGTGGGTCACGTCAGGTGGGTCACGTCAGGTGGGTCACGTCAGGTGGGTCACGCCAGGTGGGTCACGCCAGGTGGGTCACGTCAGGTGGGTTACGCCAGGTGGGTCACGCCAGGTGGGTCACGTCAGGTGCGTCACGTCAGGTGGGTCACGTCAGGTGGGTCACGTCAGGTGGGTCACGTCAGGTGGGTCACGTCAGGTGGGTCACGCCAGGTGGTTTACGTCACATCATTAGCTCAAGTAATTCGTTAACCCATCTCCCAATCAAGATATAATTGACAGCGTCACCACGAAACTTGCTACATTGGAAAAATAATTTCTTAAACTAAAATGTATTTTATATATGAAATTGTTGACGTTTTGCGTCAATATCGGCCTTTGTACCGTCTCGGCTTTTTACCTTCCTTCTAAACATAGTGATGTCATGTAAATATTTACACGGACTTTACTCACCCAACTTTTGCACGTTCGTGAAAGTTAACTCACTCGGCAAATACCTGGACGGAGCAAGACATGTGGTCAATATCTCTGTCAAAATACATGTGGTCAATATCTCTGTCAAAACACATGTGGTCAATATCTCTGTCAAAACACATGTGGTTAATATCTTTGTCAAAACACATGTGGTCAATATCTCTGTCAAAATACATGTGGTCAATATCTCTGTCAAAACACATGTGGTCAATATCTCTGTCAAAACACATGTGGTCAATATCTCTGTCAAAACACATGTGGTCAATATCCATGTCAAAACAAATGTGGTCAATATCTCTGTCAAAACACATGTGGTCAATATGTATGTCAAAACACATGTGGTTAATATCTCTGTCAAAACACATGTGGTTAATATCTCTGTCAAAACAAATGTGGTCAATATCTCTGTCAAAACACATGTGGTCAATATGTATGTCAAAACACATGTGGTTAATATCTCTGTCAAAACACATGTGGTTAATATCTCTGTCAAAACACATGTGGTTAATATCTCTGTCAAAACACATGTGGTTAATATCTCTGTCAAAACACATGTGGTTAATATCTCTGTCAAAACACATGTGGTCAATATCTCTGTCAAAAAAATGTAGTCAATTTCTTCGTCCATACAATTTTGGTCATTTTTTTTCTGTGTGTAAAATGACATCTTGTGTTTCTCTTACCAGCCCATCTCCCCTCCCCCACACACTTGTAGCACTCTGCAATGTGTAGTCCACTCCACTACCAAGCCCCACCCCTAGCCCTACACCACCCCACCACCAAGCCCCACCCCTAGGCCCACCCCTAGACCCACCCCACCAAGCCCCACCCCTAGCCCCACACCACTCCACTACCAAGCCCCACCCCTAGGCCCACCCCTAGACCTACCCACCAAGGCCCACACCTAGCCCCACACCACCAAGCTCCCACCCCTAGACCTACCCCACCAAGGCCCACACCTAGACCCACCCCACCAAGCCCCACCTCTAGCTCCACTCCACCACCAAGCTCCCCCCACCCCCCCCCCCGGCCCTACCCAACCCCCAGCACTGCTTACCTCGATAGACTAGTGGTTGACGTTTTGTCCTGCTGTATGACGTCATCTCTCTCCAGCTCCTCCACGTTGACCAAAATGTCGTCATCACTGAGTAACAGCAGGCTGGGGCTTGACCTACAGGACAGGCCGACACTGACCTCACTAACTTAACCTTGACCTACAGGACAGGCCGACACTGACCTCACTAACTTAACCTTGACCTAAAGGACAGGCCGACACTGACCTCACTAACTTAACCTTGACCTACAGGACAGGCCGACACTGACCTAACTAACTTAACCTTAACCTACAGGACAGGCCGACACTGACCTCACTAACTTAACCTTGACCTACAGGACAGGCCGACACTGACCTAACTAACTTAACCTTAACCTACAGGACAGGCCGACACTGACCTCACTAACTTAACCTTGACCTCCAGTACAGGCCGACACTGACGTGATTAATTTCAAATTGATAATAGCGTTGGAACCTAATAAAAATAGCAAACCGACGTATCGTTAAAGCTAGAGCCAACAGAAAGTTAGCTTAAAAACGCATTAAACTTTTGAATGGACAAAAAAAGCTTTTCTTCTAATTTGAGTATACAATACATTTCTCTAGGTCTAGAGGTCAGCGGTCAGCCAAAGAGAAAGAATCCTAGATCTAAAACCTAGAATCTAGGTCAAATCAAAATTAATGAGCTAAAAATAAAAACCATTATAAAATCAAATTAAATTATTGAGTTTCTTTATTAAACTATGTTAGTCCTTAAATATTCGATATAAATCTTTGATTTTTAGCTTTAAGGGTCATCTAATATGAAAATACATGGGATTTATCTTTCTAATGTTCTAGATCTAGTTTCGGAAAAACTCGACTTAGCAAGCCGTAGATTCTACATCTAGGTATAGATATACCTCTATCTAGATCTAGAATGTATGCCAATAATGATTTTCTATACGAAACTATTTCAGGTCTTAATTTTTTTATATAAATCTTTGTTTGTTTAGCTATGGTATTGGCTAATTTGGGATATAATTTTATTTGAAATAATACTAGGGCTTATTCGCGTAAATCAAGTTTCTTACGCAGACTCAAAGTAAAATACCACTAAATTTACATATAATAGATAAAGCCTAACCAGTTAGCTGAGATGTTAGTATATATGTTACCTTGCGGGTGGCATGGGTTCGAAACAAAACATGTCAATGTTAAAAAAAATTTAGCGCAATTTCCATACTGGACAATTGCGATTATTAACTCGTCATGTCTGGATGTGTGTCCGCAGCTTTAAGTCGTATCTCCTCCTCAACGAAGCAATATCGAGGACTAGTTCCAAAAGCAATTATGTTAAGCAAGTTACGATGATGATTGTGGGCCGAAAAAATTCCCGGAATTTCTTCATGAATTTCCCGGAAAAGCCAAAAAACCTCGGAAAAATGCAGTTTTTGGCCCATATCTCGGCGACCAGACCACTTAGCGACTTGAAACATTTACCAATCGATTCCTGCCATAATTTAGAACAATATTCCCGAAGAAAGTTTTCAAAAATATCCTTTCGTTCGGTCACAAAAAATTAATTTCTTCTAATTTGTATTGGCTAAGATTACTAAGAATATACAAATATTTCTACCACCCTAATCCCTTCGCGTCTCACCACTAGAAGAAGCGAAGCGGTGAAGTTACAAACCAAGCACACCGGCTGAGGCAGTCGCTAGTGAGAGGTAACGTCTACTTGTTTAAAATGAGCATCGTGTAGGCCTACTCGTTAAAATAAAACTATTTCCGTTGATATATGTTAATATAGTTGTCTTTATTTTTTACTTATTAATTCAAACGTTATTTTTGTACCCTATTAAATAATAAATATTTTTTTCTATTTTGTTTTAAAATTACATTATACATAATACACTACAGTACTATATAGCAATATAGAGAGCGCGACAACTAAATACCCCCTACATGTCCGCATATTTTTTTAAATCTCGTTAATAAATATTTTTTCTATTTTGTTTTGAATTATTAAAACTACTTGTGTTGCATTATTTATTTGCTGAATATATGATTTATCTGGATTTAAAATTGTTATGGAAACATAAGGAAATTGCGCTTAAATTGTCACTAGACTTTTTATTAACTTGTTTAGATGTGAATGATAAAGTTGCCTATCGGAACTTGGCGGGACACATGACAGGTTAAGTAGAGTTTGGCTGTTTCTTTGTCCTCGGCATATGAAGGGATAGTGTGGTCAGAGACATGCTCTGCCGAAATCGTTTTTTTTTAAACGATAAAAACATGTCTGAGATTTAGCGGGACACTGGGCAGGTGAAGTAGAGTTGGGTAGGTGTAGAGCTCACGTCAGCATATGAAAGGATAGTGTCGTGAGATCCATGCTAAGCCGAAATGTGTTTTAAAAGACAAAAACATGTCTGAGTTGGGAAGACACTGGGCAGGTGAAGTAGAGTTGACCTGTATTTGTGCCCTCACCGTATGAAGGGATAGTGTGGTCAGACCCATGCTCAACCGAAATAGATGTTTTCAAAAGACAAAAACGTCTGAGGTGTGACGTCTTTTTGAATGTGTGGTATGTTTTTTTGTGACGATAAGTGACATACGTGATGTCATTTATGGATGACCCCCGAGATCCATAGTTATCCGTGGATAACGGGTAGTCTAGTATATATATATATATATATATATATATATATATATATATATATATATATATATATATATATATATATATATATATATATATATATATATATATATATATATATATATATAAGCACTGTGTGTACTCTCGCTGTGTGTACTGTGTGTACACACGATGTGTGTACTCACGCGGTCAGCACTGTGTACTCACGCGGTCAGCACTGTGTAGTACGTGTTGTCCCAGGCTGCCCGTGGAGGTACCAGGAACGAACCCAGGACGATCCCAAACCTCAGCACGACGCTGAGAGTCACGGGGTTCGTCGACTCCAGCTTGATCAGCTTTACTGACGCGTTGCTCCAGCTCTCCCTGTAGGTCAAGGTCAATACGTCATTCAGGTCACGGTCACAGTCAGGGATCTCAGGACAAGCGATGACAGCTAATAATAACTGTATACTAGAACAGGGGTCTGCAACCTTTTGAAGCGGAAGAGCCAAAAGTTACAATTTTCAAAATTTCCCTGGTTTTAAAGAGCCACTAACATTTTTTTTTATTTCAAATACTTTATTTTTTTATTAAGATTATTAAAATTTGTGCAAGGAGCTGGAGAGCCGCATCTTGATATCAAAAGAGCCGCATGCGGCTCTCGAGCCGCAGGTTGCCGACCCCTGTACTAGAACATATGCAGTGTGTACAAGAATCTTGCTAGTGTGTACAAAATTACCTTTTGTGTAATTCACAATCATCCTTGCCTACATGTAGAAAATTACCTTTTGTGTAATGAACACCAATCATGCTTGTGTACGGTGCGACTTATGTTGGATTGTCTATCCACGATTTCTATACCCCACACATAGGAGCAGAGCTGTGGATGGGTGGATGTGTGGGTGGGTGAATGGGTGGGTGGGTGGATGTGTTGGTGGATAGGTGGATGAGTGGGTGGATCGATGTGTGGGTGGATTGGTGGGTGGATGGGTGGATGTGTGGGTGGATGTGTGGATGAGTGGGTGGATCGATGAGTGGGTGGATTGGAGGGTGGATGTGTGGGTGGGTGAATGTGTTAGTAGGTAGTTGGTTGAATGGGTAAATGGGTGTATGGGTTGGTGTATGGGTGTGTGTGTGTGTGGATGGGTGGGTGTATGGGTGGATGGGTGGGTGTATGGGTGGATGGGTGTGTGTGTGTGGATGGGTGGGTGTATGGGTGGATGGGTGTGTGTGTGGATGGGTGGGTGTATGGGTGGATGGGTGTGTGTGTGTGGATGGGTGGGTGTATGGGTGGATGGGTGTGTGTGTGGATGGGTGTATGGGTGGGTGTATGGGCGGGTGTATGGGGGTGTGTGTGTGTGGATGGGTGGGTGTATGGGTGGATGGGTGTGTGTGTGGATGGGTGTATGGGTGGGTGTATGGGGGTGTGTGTGTGTGTGGATGGGTGGGTGTATGGGTGGATGGGTGTGTGTGTGGATGGGTGTATGGGTGGGTGTATGGGTGTGTGTGTGTGTGGATGGGTGTATGGGCGGGTGTATGGGTGTATGGGTGTGTGTGTGGATGGGTGTATGGGCGGGTGTATTGGTGTGTGTGTGGATGGGTGGGTGTATGGGTGTATGGGTGTATGGGTGTGTGTGTGTGGATGGGTGGGTGGATGGGTGGATGGGTGTATGGGCGGGTGTATTGGTGTGTGTGTGTGGATGGGTGGGTGGATGGGTGGATTGGTGGATGTATGGGTGTATGGGTGTGTGTGTGGATGGGTGGATGTATGGGTGGATGGGTGTGTGTGTGTGGATGGGTGTATGGGTGTGTGTGTGTGGATGGGTGGATGTATGGGTGGAAGTCTGGATGGGTGCATGGGTGTGTGTGGATGGGTGTATGGGTGGGTGTATGGGTGTGTGTGTGGATGGGTGGGTGTATGGGTGTGTGTGTGGATGGGTGTATGGGCGGGTGTATTGGTGTGTGTGTGTGTGGATGGGTGGGTGTATGGGTGTATGGGTGTGTGTGTGTGGATGGGTGGGTGTATGGGTGTGTGTGTGTGGATGGGTGGGTGTATGGGTGGGTGTATGGGTGTGTGTTTGGATGGGTGGGTGTATGGGTGGATGAGTGTGTGTGTGGATGGGTGTATGGGGGGGGTGTATGGGGGTGTGTGTGGATGGGTGTATGGGTGGAAATCTGGATGGGTGCATGGGTGGGTGTATGGGTGTGTGTTTGGATGGGTGTATGGGTGGGTGTATGGGTGTGTGTGGATGGGTGTATGGGTGGGTGTATGGGTTTGTGTGGATGGGTGGGTGTATGAGTGGATGGGTGTGTGTGTGTGGATGGGTGGGTGTATGAGTGGATGGGTGTGTGTGTGTGGATGGGTGGGTGTATGAGTGGATGGGTGTGTGTGTGTGGATGGGTGGGTGTATGGGTGGATGGGTGTGTGTGTGTGGATGGGTGAGTGTATGGGTGGATGGGTGTGTGTGTGTGGATGGGTGGGTGTATGAGTGGATGGGTGTGTGTGTGTGGATGGGTGGATGGGTGGAGTGATGGATGGGCCGATGATACTAACTTTGACGAGTGTCTGCGACTGGGTTGCTATGACGCAAGTTCTATGAACTGGTGGTAAATCCGGAGGATCTTTCCAGACGATGAAGTATTTGCTGACGTCATGCTCGCCTGCTGGGAGGAAGAATGCCGGGGGGGGGGGGGATGGAGAATTGCTTGATTTCTTTTCGGTCGACCGTTCGGCCGGTTGGCGTTTTAAATAGTTTATGCAATTTAAATCTTTTTCTTTTTCAATTGTCACTCCATGTTTCCGGAAAATTCCTTTCTACTCTATTGGGGGGGGGGGGGGGGGGGGGGGGTTGGATGTCACTACCTGGTTATAGGGATAGCCCTCCCCCACCTGTGGTAACATTCTAACTCATTGGGTAACCCCCCCCCCCCCCCCCGACTAACCATGTGTGGGTAGCCCCCCCCCCACTCACCGTGTGTAGGAAGCCCCCCCCCCCCCGACTTACCGTGTGTGGGTAGCCCCCCCCCACTCACCATGTGTGGGTACCCCCCCCCCCCACTCACCATGTGTGGGTAGCCCCCCCCCACTCACTATGTGTGGGTAGCCCCCCCCCCACTCACCGTGTGTGGGTAGTCCCCCCCCCCCACTCACCATGTGTGGGTAGCCCCCCCCCACTCACCATGTGTGGGTAGCCCCCCCCCCACTCACCATGTGTGGGTAGCCCCCCCCCCCCCCACTCACCATGTGTGGGTAGCCCCCCCCCCCCACTCACCGTGTGTGGGTAGCCCCCCCCCCCCCCCCACTCACCATGTGTGGGTAGCCCCCCCCCCCCACTCACCGTGTGTGGGTAGCCCCCCCCCCCCCCCACTCACCGTGTGTGGGTAGCACGACGAGGCAGCTGAATGCGAGCAGGACTACAAACATTGGCACCTGATGTAGCGGGAACAATGTCGTGAGCTAATCCGCCATCTTTGTGACGTCGGACTGATTAGTTGCCGACAGTGCACACAGTATTGCACCAAAGTTTGGTGCGCAACCTACAGCTCAGTTGTGTAGGAAATGAGGGTGTTTTAAACTCCTTAATGGGCACCACTTTTAATCGTGAAAGATGATTCAAGATAAACAGTGTAAGAAAAACGTGACTGTTTGCCTTTTGTCGGTCTATTAGAATCTAAGATGCATTTCTTTAAAGTATTTTCGGCAACAAAATTTAAAAACAATTAGGTTGTTTACATTTCATTACTCAAAAAGTAAATAAACATGACATAACTAGCAGGTGATTTTTTAAAAAGTATCATTTTATTTAAAAAAATAAAACGGAAAAGTTTGAAGAACGAATGACAACAACTTGGGGTTTTCTGAAGATCAATCACAGAGTTCCAGTTCAGACAGCCAATGCTGTCTTTATTTTTTGAGCTGTTTGCTGCTTGAGCTGTTTGCTGCTTGAGCTGTTTGCTGCTTGAGCTGTTTGCTGCTTGAGCTGTTTGCTGCTTCAGCTGTTTACTGCTTCAGCTGTTTACTGCTTCAGCTGTTTATACTTCCACAGCAGGTAGGCGGGCTGGATGAGGGAGACAAGACCCAGTATACCGAGAAATCCAAACACCTGCAACACACGTGAGTTTTGTCACAGGCAGGTGTCATCAGGTGTCACACTGTCACAGTGTTGTCACAGTGTTGTGTTGTCACAGTGTTGTCACAGTGTTGTCACAGTGTTGTGTTGTCACAGTGTTGTGTTGTCACAGTGTTGTCAGAGTGTTGTCACAGTGTTGTCACAGTGTTGTCACAGTGTTGTCACAGTGTTGTCACAGTGTTGTCACAGTGTTGTCACAGTGTTGTCAGAGTGTTGTCACAGTGTTGTCACAGTGTTGTCACAGTGTTGTCACAGTGTTGTGTTGTCACAATGTTGTCACAGTGTTGTCACAGTGTTGTCACATTGTTGTCACAGTGTTGTCACAGTTTTGTGTTGTCACAGTGTTGTCAGAGTGTTGTCACAGTGTTGTCACAGTGTTGTCACAGTGTTGTGTTGTCACAGTGTTGTCACAGTGTTGTCACAGTGTTGTCACAGTGTTGTCACAGTGTTGTCACAGTGTTGTCACAGTGTTGTCACAGTGTTGTCACAGTGTTGTCACAGTGTTGTCACAGTGTTGTCACAGTGTTGTCACAGTGTTGTCACAGTGTTGTCACAGTGTTGTCACAGTGTTGTCACAGTGTTGTCACAGTGTTGTCACAGTGTTGTCACAGTGTTGTCACAGTGTTGTCACAGTGTTGTCACAGTGTTGTCAGAGTGTTGTCAGAGTGTTGTCACAGTGTTGTCACAGTGTTGTCACAGTGTTGTCAGAGTGTTGTCAGAGTGTTGTCACAGTGTTGTCACAGTGTTGTCACAGTGTTGTCACAGTGTTGTGTTGTCACAGTGTTGTCACAGTGTTGTCACAGTGTTGTCACAGTGTTGTCAGAGTGTTGTCACAGTGTTGTCACAGTGTTGTCAGAGTGTTGTCACAGTGTTGTCACAGTGTTGTCACAGTGTTGTCACAGTGTTGTGTTGTCACAGTGTTGTCACAGTGTTGTCACAGTGTTGTCACAGTGTTGTGTTGTCACAGTGTTGTCACAATGTTGTCACAGCGTTGTCACAGTGTTGTCACAGTGTTGTCACAGTGTTGTCACAGTGTTGTCACAGTGTTGTGTTGTCACAGTGTTGTCACAGTGTTGTCACAGTGTTGTCACAGTGTTGTCACAGTGTTGTCACAGTGTTGTCACAGTGTTGTCACAGTGTTGTCACAGTTTTGTGTTGTCACAGTGTTGTCACAGTGTTGTCACAGTGTTGTCACAGTGTTGTCACAGTGTTGTCACAGTGTTGTCACAGTGTTGTCACAGTGTTGTCACAGTGTTGTCACAGTGTTGTCACAGTGTTGTCAGAGTGTTGTCAGAGTGTTGTCACAGTGTTGTCACAGTGTTGTCACAGTGTTGTCAGAGTGTTGTCAGAGTGTTGTCACAGTGTTGTCACAGTGTTGTCACAGTGTTGTCACAGTGTTGTGTTGTCACAGTGTTGTCACAGTGTTGTCACAGTGTTGTCACAGTGTTGTCACAGTGTTGTCAGAGTGTTGTCACAGTGTTGTCACAGTGTTGTCAGAGTGTTGTCACAGTGTTGTCACAGTGTTGTCACAGTGTTGTCACAGTGTTGTGTTGTCACAGTGTTGTCACAGTGTTGTCACAGTGTTGTCACAGTGTTGTGTTGTCACAGTGTTGTCACAATGTTGTCACAGCGTTGTCACAGTGTTGTCACAGTGTTGTCACAGTGTTGTCAGAGTGTTGTCACAGTGTTGTCACAGTGTTGTCAGAGTGTTGTCACAGTGTTGTCACAGTGTTGTCACAGTGTTGTCACAGTGTTGTCACAGTGTTGTCACAGTGTTGTCACAGTGTTGTCACAGTTTTGTGTTGTCACAGTGTTGTCACAGTGTTGTCACAGTGTTGTCACAGTGTTGTCACAGTGTTGTCACAGTTTTGTGTTGTCACAGTGTTGTCAGAGTGTTGTCAGAGTGTTGTCACAGTGTTGTCACAGTGTTGTCACAGTGTTGTCACAGTGTTGTGTTGTCACAGTGTTGTCACAGTGTTGTCACAGTGTTGTCACAGTGTTGTCACAGTGTTGTCACAGTGTTGTCACAGTGTTGTCACAGTGTTGTGTTGTCACAGTGTTGTCACAGTGTTGTCACAGTGTTGTCACAGTTTTGTGTTGTCACAGTGTTGTAACAGTGTTGTCACAGTGTTGTCAGAGTGTTGTCACAGTGTTGTCACAGTGTTGTCAGAGTGTTGTCACAGTGTTGTCACAGTGTTGTCACAGTGTTGTCACAGTGTTGTCACAGTGTTGTCACAGTGTTGTCACAGTGTTGTCACAGTGTTGTGTTGTCACAGTGTTGTCACAGTGTTGTCACAGTGTTGTCACAGTGTTGTGTTGTCACAGTGTTGTCACAGTGTTGTCACAGTGTTGTGTTATCACAGTGTTGTCACAGTGTTGTCACAGTGTTGTCACAGTGTTGTCACAGTGTTGTCACAGTGTTGTCACAGTTTTGTGTTGTCACAGTGTTGTCACAGTGTTGTCACAGTGTTGTCACAGTGTTGTCACAGTGTTGTCACAGTTTTGTGTTGTCACAGTGTTGTCACAGTGTTGTCACAGTGTTGTCACAGTGTTGTCACATTGTTGTCACAGTGTTGTCACAGTGTTGTCACAGTGTTGTCACAGTTTTGTGTTGTCACAGTGTTGTCACAGTGTTGTCACAGTGTTGTCACAGTGTTGTCACAGTGTTGTCACAGTGTTGTCACAGTGTTGTCACAGTTTTGTGTTGTCACAGTGTTGTCAGAGTGTTGTCACAGTGTTGTCACAGTGTTGTCACAGTGTTGTGTTGTCACAGTGTTGTCACAGTGTTGTCACAGTGTTGTGTTGTCACAGTGTTGTCATAGTGTTGTCACAGTGTTGTGTTGTCACAGTGTTGTGTTGTCACAGTGTTGTCACAGTGTTGTCACAGTGTTGTCACAGTGTTGTCACAGTGTTGTCACAGTGTTGTCACAGTGTTGTCAGAGTGTTGTCACAGTGTTGTCACAGTGTTGTCACAGTGTTGTCACAGTGTTGTGTTGTCACAGTGTTGTCACAGTGTTGTCACAAAGTTGTCACAGTTTTGTCACAGTGTTGTCACAGTGTTGTCACAGTGTTGTCACAGTGTTGTCACAGTGTTGTCACAGTATTGTCACAGTGTTGTCACAGTGTTGTGTTGTCACAGTGTTGTCACAGTTTTGTGTTGTCACAGTGTTGTCACAGTGTTGTGTTGTCACAGTGTTGTCACAGTGTTGTCACAGTGTTGTGTTGTCACAGTGTTGTCACAGTGTTGTCACAGTGTTGTCACAGTGTTGTCACAGTGTTGTCACAGTTTTGTGTTGTCACAGTGTTGTCACAGTGTTGTGTTGTCACAGTGTTGTCTGTTGTCACAGTGTTGTGTTGTCACAGTGTTGTCACAGTGTTGTCACAGTGTTGTCACAGTGTTGTGTTGTCACAGTGTTGTCACAGTGTTGTAAGTGGTGTCACAGTGTTGTCACAGTTTTGTCACAGTATTGTCACAGTATTGTCACAGTGTTGTCACAGTGATGTCACAGTGTTGTCACAGTGTTGTCACAGTGTTGTCACAGTGTTGTCACAGTGTTGTCACAGTGTTGTCACAAAGTTGTCACAGTGTTGTCACAGTGTTGTCACAGTGTTGTCAGAGTGTTGTCACAGTGTTGTCACAGTGTTGTGTTGTCACAGTGTTGTCAGAGTGTTGTCAGAGTGTTGTCACAGTGTTGTCACAGTGTTGTCACAGTGTTGTGTTTTCACAGTGTTGTCACAGTGTTGTCAGCGTTGTCACAGTGTTGTCACAGTGTTGTCACAGTGTTGTGTTGTCACAGTGTTGTCACAGTGTTGTCACAGTGTTGTCACAGTATTGTCACAGTGTTGTCACAGTGTTGTCACAGTGTTGTCACAGTGTTGTCACAATGTTGTCACAGTGTTGTCACAGTGTTGTCACAGTGTTGTCACAGTGTTGTCACAGTGTTGTCACAGTGTTGTCACAGTGTTGTCACAGTGTTGTCACAGTGTTGTCACAGTGTTGTCACAGTGTTGTGTTGTCACAGTGTTGTCACAGTGTTGTCACAATGTTGTCACAGTGTTGTCACAGTGTTGTCACAGTGTTGTCACAGTGTTGTCACAGTGTTGTCACAAAGTTGTCACAGTGTTGTCACAGTGTTGTCACAGTGTTGTCACAGTGTTGTCAGAGTGTTGTCACAGTGTTGTCACAGTGTTGTCACAGTGTTGTGTTGTCACAGTGTTGTCAGAGTGTTGTCAGAGTGTTGTCACAGTGTTGTCACAGTGTTGTCACAGTGTTGTCACAGTGTTGTGTTTTCACAGTGTTGTCACAGTGTTGTCAGCGTTGTCACACTGTTGTCACAGTGTTGTCACAGTGTTGTGTTGTCACAGTGTTGTCACAGTGTTGTCACAGTATTGTCACAGTGTTGTCACAGTGTTGTCACAGTGTTGTCACAGTGTTGTCACAGTGTTGTCACAGTGTTGTCACAATGTTGTCACAGTGTTGTCACAGTGTTGTCACAGTGTTGTCACAGTGTTGTCACAGTGTTGTCACAGTGTTGTCACAGTGTTGTCACAGTGTTGTCACAATGTTGTCACAGTGTTGTCACAGTGTTGTCACAGTGTTGTCACAGTGTTGTCACAATGTTGTCACAGTGTTGTCACAGTGTTGTGTTGTCACAGTGTTGTCACAGTGTTGTCACAATGTTGTCACAGTGTTGTCACAGTGTTGTCACAGTGTTGTCACAGTGTTGTCACAGTGTTGTCACAGTGTGACATACTAGAGTAAAAGTAAAACAAACCTCCATCCAGGCCTGGTTTCGAACCTGCACCCACAGAAACAAAGGGTACTGGAGGAAGCTGAAGCCGCCAGACATCACAGACATGATGCCGCACAGGATGCCAAAGTATTCAGTGGGATACCTGTAACAGGTGGGACGTCACGTGATAAACGTCAGGTGTTAGAGGCTACGTAACATACATTTTTCTATTGTTCTCATGTGACGTCACAACTTACATGATGCTCATGTGACGTCACAACTTACATGATGCGAAGGAAGGCGGTGCCGCAGCTGTAGAGAGCTGTTCTAAAAATAACCAGGAAAACGCTGGCGAGAATGATGACGTCATGCTGGCACGTGATGACAAGAGCACACATAACCACGCCCAGGACGCTGGTGGCGGCCAGGGAAATGATTGACGTGTAGAGAGTTCCCGCGTCTTTGTGGCCTGCAATGTGGGACAGTCACGTGTCAGTCACTGGCTGATTTTAGGCGGGTGGGGGGGGGGGGGATATCAGGCGGGGGGGGGGGGGGTATCATCCCACATATTACATGGTGTGCTGTTTTATTTTATATGACTGTGTATTTTACGATCCCTAATACGTGCACGATCCCATTTGCTTGCCTGATCCCATTTATTAGACGATCCCCTGATTTCAAGATCCCATCAACGGTTTACAACACAGGGGAGGTTACCGTAGAAATTATGAAACAATTGGTTTTTTTCTGATTACCTCCCTTACCATTAAAATTTAATGCCGTTTATCACGTGTATTCCCTTTTTTTTGGTGGGGGAGAGAGGGGGTAGTGGTCACGTGATACCAAGCCTTCATTAACTTAATTAACTACCAAATTAATGAACCTTTCTGTTTCCTCCTCTTAATGGCGTCCATCCCAAGCCCAATTAGCAGCGACAGGACGGGACTGGCCAGCATTGAGTAGAAGAGTAGGTCAGTGAACCTGCTGACTGGGTCAACATTAGGTCATCATTAGGTCAACATTAGGTCAACATTAGGTCACCATTAGGTCAACATTAGGTCAACATTAGGTCATCATTAGGTCAACATTAGGTCATCATTAGGTCAACATTAGGTCACAATTAGGTCAACAATAGGTTAACAATAGGTCAACAATAGGTCAATATTAGGTCAACATTAGGTCAACATTAGGTCAACATTAGGTCAACATTAGGTCATCATTAGGTCATAATTAGGTCATCATTAGATCACAATTAGGTCAACAATAGGTTAACAATAGGTCAACAATAGGTCAATATTAGGTCAACATTAGGTCAACATTAGGTCAACATTAGGTCAACATTAGGTCATCATTAGGTCATCATTAGGTCACCATTAGGTCAATTTTAGGTCATCATTAGCTGAACATTAGGTCAACATTAGGTCTACAATAGGTCTACAATAGGTCTACATTAGGTCTACATTAGGTCTACATTAGGTCTACATTAGGTCAACATTAGGTCATCATTAGGTCATCATTAGGTCACCATTAGGTCAATATTAGGTCATCATTAGCTGAACATTAGGTCAACATTAGGTCTACAATAGGTCTACATTAGGTCTACATTAGGTCTACATTAGGTCTACATTAGGTCTACATTAGGTAAACATTAGGTAAACATTAGGTCAACATTAGGTAACATTAGGTCACTATTAGGTCAACACTAGGTCAACATTAGGTCACCATAAGGTCAACATTAGGTCTACATAAGTCAACATTAGGTCAACATTAGGTCAACATTAGGTCTACAATAGGTCTACATTAGGTCTACATTAGGTAAACATTAGGTAAACATTAGGTTAACATTAGGTAACATTAGGTCACTATTAGGTCAACACTAGGTCAACAGTAGGTCACCATTAGGTCAACATTGGGCTAGAAGGGTATTATTTCAACAGAAGGTCAATAATAGATCAGTGAATGGGGCGTCAAAAGGTCAACGGTAGGTCATCATCGGTCATTAATGGTCAGTGACCTTACTCAAAGCGGCAGAACTGTGTCAACAGTCAAGATAAGATCAACATAAGTCAATGTACTGGGGCGGGGAGGGTCGGGGCATAAGGTCAACAGAAGGTCAACAGAAGGTCAAAAGAAGGTCAGTATGGTCAACTTGAGGTCAACATGAAGAGAGAGGGGACTGTGCCACTGACCTTGATCGCCTCTGTTGTGGGTGACAAACTCGAGCCAGGGGTTAAAGGTCCCCAGACACATGGACAGGATGACCTGCACGACGGACGCCCAGAACAGGTACAGGATGAACGTCCTTGACCCGAGGCACTGGAGCAGCGTCTTCTTCTGGGGGTCGCCTGGGGTCAGCGAGGTCACGTGGTCCTCCAGCTGGCAGTAATCCGGGGTCGGGCTGCTGGGGTCGGTCACGTGACTGATGGGGGTCCCGGGGAGGATTGGCCGGTCAGGTGTGGGTGGGGCCGTCTTGTCTGACCCCTCGCGCGCCGGCCTGGGATTGGTGACGTCACTTCCTTCGATCACGTGCTGGACCAAACCAGACTGAGGCGAGTCAGCCCCTGACGCCGCGTCATCCATGCGTCGGTTACCCTGGCAACAGTCGTGCGGGCTGTCCAAACTTCTGATGACGTCAGCCCCAATGTACTGCTGCTCCTCGGCTGTAGAGGGCGTGGCCGAGTCCCCTGGGGTGGGGATAAACTTTTTGGGGAGGAGGCAGAAGGTGCTGACCAACGTGAGTAGGTAGAGAGCGGACAGGGTCAGGTAGGACACGCGCAGGCTGACGTCATGCTCATACGCCATCTGGCGGGGAGAAATAGACACATCACGAGACCATCAAACACACCACTCGACTGTTACATTGATGACCCCCCCACACACACACACACCACTCGACTGTTAGATAGATGACCCCCCCCCCACACACACACACACCACTCGACTGTTACATTGATGACCCCCCCCCCACACACACACACCACTCGACTGTTACATAGATGACCCTCCCCCCCCCCACACACACACCACTCGACTGTCACATTGATGACCCTCCCCCCCCCCCACACACACACCACTCGACTGTCACATTGATGACCCCCCCCACACACACACACACATACACACACCACTCGACTGTTACATTGATGACCCCCCCACACACACACATACCACTCGACTGTTACATAGATGACCCCCCCCCCCACACACACACCACTCGACTGTCACATTGATGACCCCCACACACACACACACCACTCGACTGTTACATAGATGACCCCCCCCCCCACACACACACACCACTCGACTGTTACATTGATGACCCCCCCCCCCCCCACACACACATACACACCCACACCACCGCCATGACCTTGATGACCCTCCACCCCATGACCTTGACCGTTACCTTGATAAGAGTCTGTATGAAGGACGAGGCCTCCAGAGCTCCACACAACAGACCCACAACTCCGGCACTTCCGGTGGAGTACAGGTAGGAAATCTGGCGGGAAACTTGAGCACGTGAGCCAGGTGATGGTCAGGTGTTTGCTGGGGCGTTTTGGGGTTGGGTGGGGGTGTGTTTGTGTTTGGTGGTGGTGTTTTGATGTTTGGTAGGGTGTTTTGGTGTTTGGTGGTGGTCGGGTTGTTTAGGTGTTTGGTGGTGGTGGGGTGTTTTGGTGTTTGGTGGTGGTGTTTGGTGGTTGTAGGTGGTGGTGTGTTTTAGTGTTTTGTGGGGTGTTGGGTGGGGTGTTTGGTGTTTGGTGGTAGTGTGGTGTTTTAGTGTTTGGTGGTTGGCGTTCAGACAGACAACCCACCTGGTTGTTGGTCAGGTAAAGCGCCATCCCGCCAGCACTGATGAGCAGGTAACCGGGGAATATCAGCCAGGCGCTGTCTGGAGACAAGGTCAAATATTTCTTCTCTCAAGGTCAAATATTTCTTCTCTCAAGGTCAAATATTTCTTCTCTCAAGGTCAAAACATCCTTCTCTCAAGGTCAAAACATCCTTCTCTCAAGGTCAAAACATCCTTCTCTCAAGGTCAAATATTTGTTTTCTCGGGGTCAAATATTTGTTATCTCAAGGTCAAATATCGTTCTCTCAAGGTCAAATATTTGCCAGGAGAAGGTCAACTATTTGTCCTCATAAGGCCAAAACTTTCTCTTAACAAGGTCAACTAGGTTTGTCTCCGTAACATATCTGTCACGTGTCACGTACCTGACTGTCACGTGTCACGTACCTGACTGTCACGTGTCACGTACCTGACTGTCACGTGTCACGTACCTGACTGTCACGTGTCATGTACCTGACTGTCACGTGTCACGTACCTGACTGTCACGTGTCACGTACCTGACTGTCACGTGTCACGTACCTGACTGTCACGTGTCACGTACCTGACTGTCACGTGTCACGTACCTGACTGTCACGTGTCACGTACCTGGCTGGATGAAAGCTATACAGAGACATCCCGATGAGAAGACAAATCTGTGGAGAAGACAGTTGGGTGGGTGGGGGGGGGGGAGTTACTCCGGTAGAATATCTCAAAAGTCTCACCAACAACCTCGAGCGTCCCCTGGTTTATTTCAAGAAATCAAGTTCCATTATTTTCAGGGCAGTAAAAAGTTAAACATTATGAAGGTATGTTATATTTGTTGTATTTATTATAAAGGTATTTTATATGTGTTGGAATCCTTTTGAACAAGTTTATTTACAGAATAAGTCTGTATTTGACTTATTTTATCCAATTGTTTTTAAAATTCAAATCTAACATTGTTGACCTTGACTTGCATTTGAGAGCCATTACGGAGACTGGGTAGCAACTATATCGTGTGTGATTAATTAATTAATTAATTAGATATGCAAGGTTTAGGTCTAGCATAACTTTACCATACATTGGCTACAGCTTACACACAATGTAGTTGGTACACAGTCTATGGGTGGGGGAGGGGGAAAGTAACAGAAGCGACGGATGATGTGGTACTTACACATAGACACACAGACACACAGACATACAGACATACAGACATACAGACACACAGACACACAGTCAGAGACACACAGACACACAGACCCACAGACACACAGACACACAGACACACAGACACACAGACATAAGAACACACAGACACATAGACACACAGACATAAGAACACACAGACACACAGACACACAGACACACAGACACACAGACACACAGACATAAGAACACACAGACACACAGACACACAGACATAAGAACACACAGACACACAGACACACAGACATAAGAACACACAGACACACAGACACACAGACACACAGACACACAGACATAAGAACACACAGACACACAGACACACAGACACACAGACATAAGAACACACAGACACACAGACATAAGAACACACAGACACACAGACACACCGACACACAGACCCACAGACACACCGACACACAGACCCACAGACACACAGACACACAGACACACAGACACACAGACACACCGACACACAGACCCACAGACACACCGACACACAGACCCACAGACACACAGACACACAGACCCACAGACACACCGACACACAGACCCACAGACACACAGACACACAGACACACAGACACACAGACACACCGACACACAGACCCACAGACACACCGACACACAGACCCACAGACACACAGACACACAGACCCACAGACACACCGACACACAGACCCACAGACACACAGACACACAGACACACAGACACACAGACACACAGACCCACAGACCTACATGAAGTGCTACTCACACAGACACTAGACGCGGGGTGCGGATGCCGTACTTGTAGTTGAGCTGACCGTAGAGCAGGGCGCTGAGGGCCATTAGGGCTGTGGCCACCGTGAAACACTGGTGGAACACCGCGTCCTGCTCGGCGCAGGTTCGAGTCCCGTTCAGACCCGCGGAAGACGGGTGGTCGAGTGTGTAGCTTGTCGTCAAGTTCAAACTGTTGACCTTGACATCCACGAACCCCGGGTCTATCGGAACTCTTTTCTCCACGGCCAAGGTCACGGTCGTCTCGTTGTCAGCAGACGTGCACAGGTGTGAGTAGATCCTCTCCTGTTTGAGAATGTAGGTCAGTGCCGGCCAGCCGGCTCGGAGACCGGAAAAGAGGAGGTTTTCGAAAAACGCCCACACGGTAATAAATATCTTGAATCGTCTGCTGGGTGGTGCCATTGGGGGTGGGGGTTGACCTTCTGTGAGGGGTGGGGGTTGACTGTCTGTGAGGGGTGGGGGTCGACCTTCTGTGAGGGGTGGGGGTTGACTGTCTGTGAGGGGTGGGGGTCTACCGTCTGTGAGGGGTGGGGGTCGACCTTCTGTGAGGGGTGGGGGTCGACCTTCTGTGAGGGGTGGGGGTCGACCTTCTGTGAGGGGTGGGGGTCGACCTTCTATGAGGGGTGGGGGTCGACCTTCTGTGAGGGGTGGGGGTCGACCTTCTGTGCTGGGCAGGTTGTCTGCAGAAAATGAAAGGCAAAAATTTACAAACTTTTATTTGGGCCCCAGTGGGTAGAGAGCTGGACTGCTAACCCGTAAGTCTCGAGTTTCAATCCGGGTTCAAGTCAGTAGACCTGAGTCGACCCAACTCTGATGGGTACCTAACTCACGTTAGGGAAAGTAAAGGCGGCTGGGCATAGTGCTGACCACACTATCTCTTTATATGCAGAGGTCACAGAAACAGGTGAACTCTACTTCACTTGCCCCATAGACCGTCAGGTTTGGAAGGGGAACTGTTCTTATGATATACTTAGAAATGTAACTAGACATAAAACATTAGTATAAGGATAACTGTATTAATGAACTAATTAATTAACTAACAGGGAGAAGACAACGGAGAAGCGCTACATTATGTTGATGTGTTCAGTTGGTGACCTGTGTTGAGTGATGTGTTCAGTTGGTGACCTGTGTTGAGTGATGTGTTCAATTTGTGAGTTGTGTTCAGTTATGTTTTCAGTTGGTGAGTTGTGTTCAGTTATGTGTTCAGTGGTGTGTTGAACCTGAGACCCAACCGTTGGGTAGGTGAAGTTTAACGGGCAGTGTACACATGGCCAGTTAACAATCATCTGTTAACGTGTTGGATGCCGCATGTTGGATGCCGCATGTTGGATGCCGCATGACAGACATCTCACGTCACATTAGTTGGAGCACATTCTACCATGGGGTCAAGGACGTGGTAAGTGACACACCACCCCTCCCCCTCCCTCATGTTTGATGCAGCTCTGTGAGTACACACATACACACATACACACACACACACACCAGCCGGCAGACGACAAGGTAATTTCCCGTCACGGTTGACCTAGTTTTCCCGATGCATTTCTCGTGCATTACGTGTGCATATGTAACACTGAACCAGCTGTCGGTAGCCTAATTAGGTCAGTCGGTCTGTCGAATGTAGATGGTTAACTTTTTATTCTCACGAATCCAAAACAATTTTTAGAAATAATGTTGTTCACGGTAATGTGCCAACAGCTACATTTAAGGCTTCTCACAATATTTGTACTGAAATCTAAATTAAATTATTGCCCCTACCCCCTCGCAAATATATGTAAATGGAAAATGTTTACATAAAAATTGTGACACTTTGCATGAATAAAATTCTCGCATCAATGATTTATAACATGTAAACAAAAACACATAAACACAGAACCGCAACACATTAACACAAACACATCTACAAACACAAACACGTCTAAAAACACAAATTAATAATTATAACACATGAATACAAACACATTTACAAAAATGAACATAAACAAACCGACAAACACATCTACAAACACATCTACAAACACATCTACAAACACAAAGACATCTTACCCTGCGCTGACTAAAGCTTGGCACAATTACTGCACCAAGTTAAACGCTAGCTAGAGTTAAACTAAGTTAAACGCTAGCTATGGTTAAACCAAGTTAAACGCTAGCTATAGTTAAACCAAGTTAAACGCTAGCTATAGTTAAACCAAGTTAAACGCTAGCTAGAGTTAAACCAAGTTAAACGCTAGCTAGAGTTAAAGCAAGTTAAACGCTGGCTAGAGTTAAACCAAGACAACAAAATGTTAAACTCGATGTTGAACCATATCTCCACGACCAGACACTGTATCTCTAGCTGTGTACACGGTCTGCTCCGGTGTGTTGACGAGACTGAGTGGTCGCCCTTCATGGCAAGAACTGTTTCCACAACGTTGGGCAGTTAAAGTGTGTCAAGTTGACTGTGTCGAATCTTAACACGGTGCCGCTGTGTGTTGCAACTCAATTGATGGAATTAGTGAGGGTGACGAGATGGTGGGAGCGGAGTGGTGCCAGGGTCACCACATCAAAAAATCATGTCTCCATCCCGAGTTGCCGTCCCCGTAGTATTATATAAGAATATTCGGGAAAGTTTAGGGGAGATCACTCCCGCTTTGTTTTCTGGGTTTTTTTTACTACAATCTGTCAAGTATCTCTCTGTCATGTCCACGTGTAATGCCCCACCCCCTTCCACCCATCACCCTTTTAGAGTATAAATTATACCTATTCCTATCTACCTTCATAACTAGCTCCATATCTCAAATCCTAAACAACCCTAATCCTAATTCTAACCCTACTAGATTAATGGGCCGTTGAGGGAGACATACAACCGTCTCTAGGTTGATAGTGTTATCTTTTTCTCTAAACCGAAACCAAAAGCACCACCTTAACTTCAAATTTAACTGGAAACGAAAAACGGCGATGAAAACAGATTTTCATCCGAATCGGCATTTTAACCGGATCCGGAAATTACACTTGAAATAAAACACCTAATAACCCCAACTGTAATCCTGATACTAACGCTTACAATTAAAAAACTTATCGTTAAAGGAACATGACTTGTGTGTTTATTAAGCAGCATATACCCGACAAGGACGTTTGACAAAAGAACACAACCCAAAACTTAACACTAACATTAAACTTAACAAAAACCAACCGTAACCGAAACACAAAAACAAACGCAAACATAACACAAATGCAAACGCAAACTAAAACCCAAAAACAAACACAAACACCAAAGGAAACACAAACACAAAAAACGCAAACAATAACACAATTAGAAAAGCAATAACGCAGAACATAAACTCAAATTTAAATGCAAACATAAACACATAGTGCTCACAGTATAGCCCGTGGCGTCAACTCGCCTGATTCAACTTAGTAAACGACCACAATACCCCATCTCATCCATAGTCTATTGAACTCACTAAACCGAACGAAGGCGCCATAGCGCTCACGGGACTATAGTAACCTTTCTTATCCTTAGTCTATCGCACTGTTTAACACGAACGTATGCAACAGAACGCTCACAGGATAACACAGGGCGCCAAATCAAACCCTGCCGGAGCGTCGGCGGACGTGCCTGATTCAATTTAGTGAACGACTATAATACCCACAGCTTATCCGCCAACCGAAAGATAGAGGACATTTAGGAGCGGCTTCTAAACTGTTATTGATTTAAAATAATAATTAGTAAACTAATATAACACTACGGAGGATGGCAACTCAGGATATAGACAATATTTTAACGAAGTGTCTACTCGGAATAAGATTTTTCGGCAAAAGATAGTTCTGCGCATGCGCAGTGACCTATGGCTAGGGTTAGGGCTAGAATGAGGGTTAGGGGTAAGATTAGGGATAGGGTTAGGGATAGGATTAGGGATAGGGTTAGGGATAGGATTAGGGCTAGGGTTAGGGATAGGATTAGGGCTAGGGTTAGGGTTAGGGTTAGGATTAGGGCTAGGGTTAGGGATAGGATTAGGGATAGGGTTAAGGATAGGATTAGGGTTGGTATTAGGGTTCTGCGGTTGTAAACACACGCATGCGCAGTACCATCGAAAACATCGCCGCTAAGTCGTAGTTTCTCTCCATTGCGCATGCGTATCGCATGCGTATCTTATTCCGACTAGAATCGGCCATATTTTAAATCCATTTTAAATTACTAAACTTTTTGAAAAAAGAATAGAATCTCGTAGAAAAAAGAATTGCACACCAAGTGAACGCTAAATAATATGTGTATAATAGTGCGGAATAATAATTAATATTAGTACTTTATAAATTCACAAGCGTTGTTTTTTTTTTTTTTTTGAGAAATCGAAAATAGCTTAAATAACTACTTTCGGTCAACGAAAATTACCCTAATTTGATAGAAGGCAGAAAAGTAGATCTTTTACTTATATGTGAAATTTTGTTCATCTATTTGAAATAGTACTCAAGTTATAGGCTTTTGAAAAATTGAAAGTAGAGTAAATTCCACTTCCGGTTACCGGAAATCGTTAAAAAACTGTTACAGAACTACATATTTGATGTGATATTATATATATATATATATATATATATATATATATATATATATATATATATATATATATATATATATATATATATATACATATATATATGAAATTTCATCAACCTAGCTGTAACGGTACTCAAATTATCGTGTTTATACACACACACAAGCACACACAAACATACACACACTGACTTACGAAAAACATTGCAACTCAGGGAAGATGTAAAACGTCGAGGTTTTGCAAAAATCTCGATTTTTAAATAATTTTTTTTTGCACGATTACAATACTTTCTCTATTCTTCGTATACGAGAAAGTAAAAAGGCAGTATTTAAAATATCCGTGTTTTACCTATCAAATTGCAATTTATCAATTCACGCTAATTACATCATTATTTTTTTTCCAACACCAAAACCAACTAATAAAAAGATTTTTCCCCCGATGAAATTTTTTTAAAGGGAAGTAAAAAATGTGTGATTTATCAAGGGAAGTAATCGACAATAAAAGAACAAAGTGGAATAATGTGCACACTTTTAAAACATTTGTGAAAGATGATACTATTTTCTTTGACTTTGTTCATTTCTTATGACGTTAGTTAAAATGGTAAGTTTGGAAAATGAAACTTGTTTTACGAAATCTTCCACATTACTTGTTTTTTTAACCATTCATTTAGATAATAAAAGCTCTATTTTCTTTTACTATGTGGCTCTTTTGCCAAGTGTCCATCCTTCCACTGTCCGCCACATACAGTGACACAGAATCCGTTTGAGCTTTATATTTTGGTTACTTTTCCGGTATTTGTTTTGTAGACTCTATATCTACATTCACTTCTAAAATTAGACTATTAAAACTAGGCTTTTAATTTCCATGTCTCTGGTAACTACCCATTGATATTAAATAATGTCGTAGTCATAACCCTAAAACTTACACCTAACCTCAAGCTTGACAAAAGTCGCAGTTAGAGTACTACGGTTAAAGTTACAAAGTAGTTGGTTACAGGAGGACCACAAGTCTACTAGAACAATATACTGACCTGTTGGCTCCATCGTTATCTCCCTTAATCTTTCGTCTGTCAGATCTCTCGTCATCTCACTCGCCTTATCATAGCGGTGTACACATCACCACAGGTGTACACATCACCACAGGTGTACACATCACCACAGGTGTACACATCACCACAGGTGTACACAAATATAAACTGTCTCACCACCACATATATTGATTGTATGTTCACATATATTGTTTGTATATTCATATATATTGTTTGTACGTTCACATATATTGTTTACATATGTTTGTATTTTTACTTTCTCGTATATACGAAGTATAGAGAAAGTATTGTTATCGTGCACAAAAATTTTGACAGTTTTCACCGTTTTACTCCTCAGTCCTTCATCACATCCGGAGTATAGAGGACTTATTTTAATCAGACAAAAATTATAAATACAAATATATAAATATAAACATTTTGGCGTTTTATGCGTTATCGAGTCGTAAAAACTGGACTTTGCAATTCTGTCCGTATGTCTGTGTGTCTGTCTGTGTGTAAACACGATAACTTGAGTACCGTTACAGCTAGGTTGATGAAATTTCATATATAAGTATTTTATCAAAATCGTAGATCCGTATCAACTTTTGAGCGATTTCCGATAACCGGAAGTGGTACTTTTTCTACTTTGAATTTTTCAAAAGCCTATAACTTGAGTACTATTTCAGGTAGATAAATGAAATTTCACATGTAAGTAAAAGATCTAATTCTCTACATTCTGTCAAATTTTGAGTAATTTCCGTTGATTGGAAGTACTAATTTACGCTATTTCATCGAAAATTTGCTCCCGAGGGGGGCGCCAAATTGAAAGTATGTCCCCGGGCGCCGGGAAGGGTCGCTACGCCTCTGCTATTATGCACGTTTTATTTGGCGTTCACAGGTGTGCAATTCTTTTTTCTACGAGATTTTATTCTATTTTAAAAAGTTTAAGTATTTAAAATGGATTAAAATTCATGTCTATATCCCGAGTTCCCATCTCCTGTTTTTTTTATAAAAGAATATTCGAGAAAGTTTAGGGGAGATCACTCCCGATTTATTACAGACATTGTTTGTATGTCTACATATCCTTTTAGCAGAGCTGACATGAGCTATCGTCTGCTCCTGTAACAATTTTTTCAATGTCTGACGTTAACCCCCCCCCCCCCCCTCCCATGATCGACGCCCCTGTTAACAGTCCCCCGCCCCGTTCAATGACCTGTCTTATCTAAAGGCGTTACTAATAATGCACTTCTCGTCTTGAAGGTGGAATCTCGTCATGTGTGAGAGGGGTGTGTGGGGGCGTGTGGTGGATGCTATCTATTGGTAGCACTAGCTACACGTAGCACAAATGTATTTTGTTTTAGGGCTACTGTAAGTCATTGCCACATGGCACGTCAAAAATAGAATCAACAACTCTTTAGTCCGCTCTCTAGTAATGTTTCACTATCAACTCTTTAGTCCGCTCTCTAGTAATGTTTCACTATCAACTCTTTAGTCCGCTCTCTAGTAATGTTTCACTATCAACTCTTTAGTCCGCTCTCTAGCAATGTTTCACTATCAACTCTTTAGTCCGCTCTCTAGTAATGTTTCACTATCAACTCTTTAGTCCGCTCTCTAGCAATGTTTCACTATCAACTCTTTAGTCCGCTCTCTAGTAATGTTTCACTATCAACTCTTTAGTCCGCTCTCTAGCAATGTTTCACTATCAACTCTTTAGTCCGCTCTCTAGTAATGTTTCACTATCAACTCTTTAGTCCGCTCTCTAGCAATGTTTCACTATCAACTCTTTAGTCCGCTCTCTAGCAATGTTTCACTATCAACTCTTTAGTCCGCTCTCTAGCAATGTTTCACTATCAACTCTTTAGTCCGCTCTCTAGTAATGTTTCACTATCAACTCTTTAGTCCGCTCTCTAGCAATGTTTCACTATCAACTCTTTAGTCCGCTCTCTAGCAATGTTTCACTATCAACTCTTTAGTCCGCTCTCTAGTAATGTTTCACTATCAACTCTTTAGTCCGCTCTCTAGTAATGTTTCACTATCAACTCTTTAGTCCGCTCTCTAGCAATGTTTCACTATCAACTCTTTAGTCCGCTCTCTAGTAATGTTTCACTATCAACTCTTTAGTCCGCTCTCTAGCAATGTTTCACTATCAACTCTTTAGTCCGCTCTCTAGCAATGTTTCACTATCAACTCTTTAGTCCGCTCTCTAGCAATGTTTCACTATCAACTCTTTAGTCCGCTCTCTAGCAATGTTTCACTATCAACTCTTTAGTCCGCTCTCTAGTAATGTTTCACTATCAACTCTTTAGTCCGCTCTCTAGCAATGTTTCACTATCAACTCTTTAGTCCGCTCTCTAGCAATGTTTCACTATCAACTCTTTAGTCCGCTCTCTAGTAATGTTTCACTATCAACTCTTTAGTCCGCTCTCTAGTAATGTTTCACTATCAACTCTTTAGTCCGCTCTCTAGCAATGTTTCACTATCAACTCTTTAGTCCGCTCTCTAGCAATGTTTCACTATCAACTCTTTAGTCCGCTCTCTAGTAATGTTTCACTATCAACTCTTTAGTCCGCTCTCTAGTAATGTTTCACTAACAACTCTTTAGTCCGCTCTCTAGCAATGTTTCACTATCAACTCTTTAGTCCGCTCTCTAGTAATGTTTCACTATCAACTCTTTAGTCCGCTCTCTAGTAATGTTTCACTATCAACTCTTTAAACCGCTCTTCTAGTTAGCATTGTTTCACTTTTTATCTAAAGATAAAAAAAAATTATTTTTTTTTTTAGTTCACCATGTCTGTCTGTGGGTTTGTAACAAATCTCAGAACTCAACTTTGACCTACTTCTAATGCAGTGATTTCTTTTAATATTTTTTTTTTTAGAGATTGCAAGCTACTGATCGGGTTTTAACTCAAATATTTTCAGTCGTAGCCTAGGTGGTGTCGATTTTTTAAGAACGAATCACTAAGAAGTGGAAAATAAAACAAGAAGAAAACAAAAAACCTTTATAATAATTAATAAAAAGCTTTCAACTGCACTGAAAATATTGAAATAATTTGAGATCTTTAACAAAAGCTTTGGTCGCAAAAATGTATTGAGAGATTTTACAAGCGACCTAAGCGTTTATTTAAGAAACTGCTTTAATTTTCTTTTGTTCTTTCAGTGTACTAAAAAAATTGTTATTTTAAAGGTTTTTATTATGTTTATTTTAGACCAGCTTAGCCATAACCTAAGGGAGATCACTGACAACTAATAATAGTTTGACAAGTGACATGTTACCTCCCCTTAATTATGATAGTGGTATTCAGTTACAAACATTCAGCTTAACAAAGTTAAATGTCCACTGGGTTAACTTCCTTGAATTACCTTATGTTGTTCCAATTTTAATGTTACCTTACAATTTTAATGTTACCTTACAATTTTAATGTTACCCTACAATTTTACCCAATTCATACACAATAAAATTGAAGAACAATTTTAAGATTCAAATTTTTATTTCACCCTACCCACTGGGCCCCACCCTACCCACTGGGCCCCACCCTACCCACTGGGCCCCACCCCACCTCCCGGGGGCCTCACTGGACCACACCTGGTGGGGGGTTGATTGCTAAAACAATGTGAGGTACCTAAATGCCATGCAGATAAATGTCATCCAGCTAAATGTCATCATGACATCCAGAAATGTACCAGCCTCCTGAACCCTGGGATGGTCAAGTTGAAGGTTAGTGGGTCAAAGTTAGTGGGTCAAGGTTAGTGGGTCAAGGTTACTCCTGCCCTTATGTCATACACACACACACAACCACTCACACACAATGAGAGACATGCCAGTTGACTCCCCCCCCCCCCCCACACACACAGAGAACATCCACACACCCACACTACTGCAACAAAAAACAGATGACAATAAATACAAAATAATTTATGATCAGGGATGGATAGAGCAATCAATAGAGATAATTACAGCCACTAATGAGGACAGGCTAATGATGAAATGGTGGAGCAGCTAATTTTATTTGGCGCCTTGAGGAATCTGTGGCAGCCCAAACTCATCCACGGGAACATCGCCCTGGGGGAACAAGGGAACATGTTAGTTGGGGTAAACATGAGAAATGTGCTGAGGTAAACATGAGATATGTACTGAGGTAAACATGAGACATGTGCTGAGGTAAACATGAGACATGTGCTGAGGTAAACATGAGACATGTGCTGAGGTAAACATGAGACATGTGCTGAGGTAAACATGAGACATGTGCTGAGGTAAACATGAGACATGTGCTGAGGTAAACATGAGACATGTGCTGAGGTAAACATGAGATATGTGCTGAGGTAAACATGAGACATGTGCTGAGGTAAACATGAGACATGTGCTGAGGTAAACATGAGACATGTGCTGAGGTAAACATGAGACATGTGCTGAGGTAAACATGAGATATGTGCTGAGGTAAACATGAGATATGTGCTGAGGTAAACATGAGATATCTGAATGTGCTGAGGTAAACATGAGACATGTGCTGAGGTAAACATGAGACATGTGCTGAGGAAAACATGAGACATGTGCGGAGCCTTTACCCGACTACTCTCCCCGCCAGGCTCGCTAGTTGGAGCTGAAGGCGCGGCCACCGCGTCATCCAGGTACGAGGCGTCCTCATCCAGGCCTAGCTCATCTCCTAAGGCATCAAGCTCCGCCTCCAGCTCGTCATCATCAAGTTCAGGCATGCCGTAGCTCCGCCCCATGACCTCTTGAATTTCATTTGTTTGTTCCATAAGGTCTTCAAGGTCGTCCTGCATATTCTGTAGAATTACAAAACTATGCCAATTTATGACTAGAAAAAGGTCAAAGGTCTGTACACGATCAATAGCAGTATGATAAATGTATAAACTATGCTAGCCCAACCCAACCCTACTCAACATTACTCTAGCAACAAATTATAGGATGATAAATGTATAAACTATGCTAGCCCAACCCAACCCTACCCAACATTGCTGTAGCAACAAATTATAGGATGATAAATGTATAAACTATGCTAGCCCAACCCAACTCTGGCAACAAATTAGCAAACACAGCTTTGAATTTTTAAGCTTAAAAAAAAATCAGAAAACTGCAAATATTTTGACAACAAAGAAAAATGATAGAAATAAATAGAGCTATTTAACACTTTATAATGAACAACGTTAAAACTAATTTAAAAGGCTGACTAAGGTGTGCTTTCTGTTTACAATTTCAGAAAGCATCTTGAGCAAATAATTATAGGAGCCACAGACTCACCTCTATTTGGTCTATATTGACATGTTTGTAAGCTTTCTTGAAATCTTTGACCCCAATTTTCATAGCATCCACCTGAAACACACAACAGGTCAATCAAAACTGGACCAGCGATACAAAGGTTGACAGAAACAAGTTGACAGAAACAGGTTGACAGAAACAGGTTGACAGAAACAGGTTGACAGAAACAGGTTGACAGAAACAGGTTGACAGAAACAGGTTGACAGAAACAGGTTGACAGAAACAGGTTGACAGAAACAGGTTGACAGAAACAGGTTGACAGAAACAGGTTGACAGAAACAGGTTGACAGAAACAGGTTGACAGAAACAGGTTGACAGAAACAGGTTGACAGAAACAGGTTGACAGAAACAGGTTGACAGAAACAGGTTGACAGAAACAGGTTGACAGAAACAGGTTGACAGAAACAGGTTGACAGAAACAGGTTGACAGAATCACCTTGATAAGTTGAAAGAAAACTACAGGAAAATCTACATTTAATCTAATTCAGGTTGAAACAAAACAATGACTATAGGGCAGGAAAAACTTGATGAGTTTGGGTGTCTGTTGCTTATCATTTCTTTTTATTGTATTGGCCTAAGATAAAAAAATGTGAGCTGTGAGACCCCCCGCCATATTTTTTCATGAACTGTGGGGCCTTAGTGTTAAAATTTAACTGCCCAAAATATTTATTAAAAACAAAAATGTTTAAATTGAGAAAAATACATAATCGATGAAATAATCATTTAAAAATAAAACGGGAGTAATTTCCCCTAATTTTCTTATATATTAATATATATATATATATATATATATTCTTATATAACACTACAGGGGATGACAACTCGGGATATAGACATGATTTTTAATTCATTTTATATACTTAAACTTTTTAAAAATAGAATTGAATCTCGTAGAAAAAATAATTGCACACCAAATGATGTGTATAATAGTGGGGAATATTATTAGTACTTTATAAATTCACTTGCGTTTTTTTGAGAAATCAGAATTAGCGTATATTAGAACTTCTGGTCAACAGAAATTACTCAAAATTTGACAGAAGGCAGATAATTAGATCATTTACTTAGATCATTTACATGTGAAATTTCATTTATCTATCTGAAACAGTACTCAAGTTATAGGATTTCGAAAAATTTAAAGTAGAATAAGTTCCACTTCCGGTTACTGGAAATTGCTGAAACGTTTATATAGAACTACAAATTTGATGTAATACTTGCATATGAAATTTCATCAACCTAGATGCAACGGTACTCAAGTTATCGTGTTCACAGAGAAAGTAAAATTCAGGTGCATTAATAATATTTTTTAATAACTTGCCTATACACATTTTAATTTCTTTTTAAAACATAAATTTGTGTAGTAAACATAAGTGAGATCACTAAACAACATTTCAAAGCGAAGTTTTATAAAAGGAAATCACTGACTATTTTATATGGCAATAACTGGATATTTTAAAAGGAAATAACTCTTTGTATATCAGAGGCGTAGCGACCCTTCCCGGCGCCCGGGGACAAACTTTTCATTTTGCACCCCCCCCCTCAAACTTTGGATTAGCACCCCCCCCCCCTCAAACTTTCAATTTGCACCCCCATCAACCTTTCAATTTATTTTTCCAACCCATTTTGGCGCCCCCTAAGGTCGGCACCCGGGGACATGTAACCCCCCCTCGCTACGCTACTGATGTATATCTTTGAGCAATTAACTCACTGTGGTTTTTGTGTCCTTGAGACTTTGTATGGCGTAATTTTGTTGCTCCAGGTTAAAGGACTGTTGGCTCAGCTGGTCTCTCTGGTTCTCATACCTGTACAGGTCAACAGGGGGCAGAGGTCAACAGGGGCAGAGGTCAACAGGGGGCAGAGGTCAACAGGGGGCAGAGGTCAACAGGGGCAGAGGTCAACAGGGGGCAGAGGTCAACGGGGGCAGAGGTCAACAGGGGGCAGAGGTCAACATGGGCAAAGGTCACAGACTGAGAAAATAAAATCTTTCACCACAATGCTTAGTACAGAAAGCAGAAAAATCCAATAGTCTCCCCCCCCCCCTGTCATTCTCTCCCCCCCCCCCCAATTACAACAGGACCATTAGGGTCACTTCACAACAGCTAGTATCTTGGAACAAAACCAGTCCAGACAGACAAAGAAACCAAACAACAGCTAGAATCTGGGAACAAAACCAGTCCAGACAGACAAAGAAACCAAACAACAGCTAGAATCTGGGAACAAAACCAGTCCAGACAGACAAAGAAACCAAACAACAGCTAGAATCTGGGAACAAAACCAGTCCAGACAGACAAAGAAACCAAACAACAAAAGTCTGATACTCACATTCTCTTTTGCTTTAATACACGCATGGCTTTCTGCTTCACTTGATTCTGTTAGAAGCAGGCAAATGACATTTTTTATATATCAAATTGTGTTGGAAGCAGGCAAATGACATTTTTTAAATATCAGATTCTGTTAGAGGCAGGCAAATGACATTTTTTAAATATCAAATAATTATGTATTTCCTGATGGGTAAAAAATAACACAGGTCAAGTTATACCTACTACTGTGTTACTCTCAAACTTTGCTGACTAGCTTGTAAAATGTCGTGTCATAGTTACTGCGATGTTTCCCTGTATTTATACCACCATTGGTGTCATATCTGTCATAGTTACTGCGATGTTTCCCTAATGTTTATACCACCATTGGTGTCATATGTCATAGTTACTGCAATGTTTCCCTAATGTGTATACCACCATTGGTGTCATATTATGCCATAGTTACTGCGATGTTTCCCTAATGTGTATACCACCATTGGTGTCAAATTATGCCATAGTTACTGCAATGTTTCCCTAATGTGTATACCACCATTGGTGTCATATTATGCCATAGTTACTGCGATGTTTCCCTAATGTGTATACCACCATTGGTGTCAAATTATGCCATAGTTACTGTGATATTTCCCTGATGTGTATACCATTGGTGTCATATCTACTGTAAGTGTTACCCACCTTAGCTGGGCCTTCCCTCATCTTCTTCATCTGGTCCTTGTATTTCTTCAGCTCTGCATCCAGTCGGGCAATCTTTTTATCCATAGACTCACCCCTACTGTCAATCTGTTGATCACAAAATTTCACATCTATTCATTCTGTCACCCCACCACTGGTCATCTGTCACCCCACAACTGGTCATCTGTCACCCCACAACTGGTCATCTGTCACCCCGCTACTGGTCATCTGTCACCCCACACAGGGTCATCTGTCACCCCACAACTGGTCATCTGTCACCCCACAACTGGTCATCTGTCACCCCACACAGGGTCATCTGTCACCCCCACAACTGGTCATCTGTCACCCCACAACTGGTCATCTGTCACCCCACACAGGGTCATCTGTCACCCCACAACTGGTCATCTGTCACCCCACAACTGGTCATCTGTCACCCCACTACTGGTCATCTGTCACCCCACAACTGGTCATCTGTCACCCCACAACTGGTCATCTGTCACCCACAACTGGTCATCTGTCACCCACAACTGGTCATCTGTCACCCCACAACTGGCTATCTGTCACCCCACACAGGGTCATCTGTCACCCCACAACTGGTCATCTGTCATCCCACAACTGGTCATCTGTCACCCACAACTGGTCATCTGTCACCCCACAACTGGTCATCTGTCACCCCACAACTGGTCATCTGTCACCCCACTACTGGTCATCTGTCACCCCACACAGGGTCATCTGTCACCCCACAACTGGTCATCTGTCACCCCACAACTGGTCATCTGTCACCCCACTACTGGTCATCTGTCACCCACAACTGGTCATCTGTCACCCCACCACTGGTCATCTGTCACCCCAAAGCTGGTCATCTGTCACCCCACAACTGGTCATCTGTCACCCCACAACTGGTCATCTGTCACCCACAACTGGTCATCTGTCACCCCACACATGGTCATCTGTCACATTCTATTTTTAGGTATGACATAAAAAACAGTCATAAATCTAGCCAAATGATTGGATTCTTGCACAGCACAATTATTTTTCCGCGCCTCGTTTTCACCAAAAAAGATTATAATAAAATGGCATTATTGAGGGGTGATCATTACCCATGAACACATCTCATAAACCCCATAAGCTGGTTTGCGGGCCAAGCGATATTTCAGAGTTATTTGATTTAAAAGACAAGAATACATAGAGCTCTTTTCACTTATGCGCCGCTTGCGAGACAAACAAAGAAATTCTGGGAATTCTTAAATAACAGACTGAAATAGAAACGGATAGTTCCGTTTTCTAAAATTAACGATGGGATCGTAATCAATAGTTTTATCCCTCTACCACTTAGTGAAAGCGAAACTGGTCGCCATTTTAGTAAGCGCATGAGTCGTGAGATGCCATGAAAATGACAAACCCGGAAGCGTTGAATCAAACGGTCTACTGATAGTCTGATACTATCTACTGATACTAGTAATTCACAATTTAGTAGTACTTATTGGGATAAAACTCCATTTTAGCGTATTTTATTCCCCGTTTCACGTTCACCTCCAGTTGAGCGTATATTATTATTAACACAACCAAACACACAAAAACATTAGGAAAAAACTTGATCTACTTATTTTTTTTATGAATGTGATTTTTAATTAGAAAAGGTAAAAACATTTAAAAAGCATTAGAACTTTTCAATTACATAGGGTGTGATCGTCAGCGGGAGAAAAATCCTTACACAGTCAAGGGTTCACCATGAGTTCACATTGATTTTAATTATCAGCATATGTCATAGCTCGGGCAATAGCTGTTTGAAATTGTGTTGGCCTCAGTTTTGGGGTCATTGTCAGTTCATTAATGTTTATTTATAGTATCATGCCTGGGAGATACTTGTAACAATACAAACTTAACTGCCTTTCAATTGTGAGCTACGTTTACGTACTTCACCCATTGCCATGAAAATTCTGACACACGTATACATAGTACATAGCACATTCAATACTCTAAATTTGGATTTTTCTCAAGTTTTGACAAAAGTTAATTATCAAAATCTTAAACAAAGTTAGATCTAGAATCTAGTCTCTTTGTTTTTTTATTCATTTGTTAAAACAAAAATACAATACAAATACGTGTTTTCCTAATGTTTTGGTGTGTTTCGGACGCTCAACTGGAGGTAAACAAGAAGCGGAGAATAAAATAAGCTAAAATGCCTAAAAATGGAGTTTTACTAAAAACTAGATCTAGGTTAGAAGTTTTTTTTAAGTTAGTTTAAGAGTTTAATTATTAATTAAGTTTAAGTTAGTGTTAGAGTAATATATTATATATGGCAGGAAACAGATTGGTACCGCAAAATGCATATTCGGTCTTCGAAGTTCATAAACTTTCTAACCAGACATCGTTCGGGGATTTTGTTTATACTGATAAATAGAGCAAGGTTTTTACAAGCTTCGTTAGCAACATTTTTGTGGAATTCGTTTTTTATGACATTTTGTGCCGCGGCGAAGGATGCGAAGTATGCAAATCTAGACGGAATGGATCTACTTGGAAAGTACGTGTACTGCACTAATGAGGTAAGAAATAATATTTTGTAAAAATAACTATTATTTTTTTATGGATTTTTCATTAGAAATGATTGCTGTAAATTATGAAAGTAAAAAAAAGTATATTTGAATGCGTTTTTTACTTTAATTTGAACAAAATGACTGCCGAAAATTACGACACATCGGCGTCGCTGAAAGCGGGAATTTCAGTTAATTTTTTACGGATATAAAATTGTATTTTTTTACTCCGAAGCATGTATTTAAATAACAGTTGAGTTAAATCTATTTAATTCTGTAAAATATAATTATTATTTTGCCGTAGATACTTTTTTTTATATTTTTAATGATTTTCTGTCGCGGAAAATCGGTATTCGCACCATGCACGCACACGTAGTAAAACTAGACTTATCTTTAAAACACGAGAATCTTGAGTACACTGCGAATAACAAAGTTTTTAAATGTTAGTTTACTTTTGACTTTAAGCCATTTGTTTTAAATCGAAATTAATTGATAATGTAATTATTTCAAAGTAAAAGTTTTCCGTCGCAAATTGGGTTCTAACCTTCGCCACTGAACCAGCCTACGCACGACATTCGCGCGAGTCTGTTTCTTCGCAATAGTCTGTATAGTCACTAGTGTCGAGGGCTAATTCTAAAAAGAATCGAGTCCTTACTAATCTAATGTTTATTAAAATTAGGTACAATTGTTGGAACGCATGAGAAATAACAAATTAATATTTCTTTAAATCTATAGCCAAAAGAAAGTAGAACTTTATAACTCTGTAAATTATGAATCGAGTGACGGCTGTCGTGAAAACGGGAGCCATTTTACGCTTTTTTTTAGGGTGACCTACTTTTATTATATAATTTTAAAATTCATCGATTTGATAAGCAGCTGAGTAGCTGACTACGCATGCGATATGGCTGGCACGTTTTGGGATAGGGATCGAGTACACCATAGAATTTTTTTCTTAGAACTAAGCGTATTTTTTTTTAAAATCAAAAGATACTTACATATCAGTTGTTGATTTCAATTTCATTATAGATCTAATCACTAACTTCAGTTTTTAAAAGTGATTTTGCTTCTAGAACTAGCGTATTTTCAAAATTACGTAGATTCTAAATCTAGATCTATTTACTTACTATTTGACAACCGTGTCAGTAAAATGAGGTCACCGCTTCCAGATTCTTAGGTTTTAATTATGTTTGTCATTTTGATCTATTATAAGTAGCATTAAAACAACTGCATCTATTATCAACATTGTTTTTATATGCCAGTTCTAATTATACATTCTGTTCATTACCAATTCTAATGAAATCGTATCAGGCCCTAACACCCTGTTCACCTACACTGACACTACACTTGAATGACGCCACAGACAGTCGTAACTTTAAATTAATGTTCAAAGTACTAAACAATTATAATTAGCCATGTAAATGCTGCAACTATATTAAAAATTGGCATATAGACATATTTTATTAATTATGTTTTTTATATAGACCTTCTATATTTAACTCTGTTATTTTTTTCTTCCCCAGAGTGTTTCTAAAAGCCAGAATTTTAAAGGGGAGGGCGGTCGTTTTTTTTCTCAAGAATAATTATAGAAATAAGCTATAAACTGGTATATTTTGTAAAGTTTGACATAATTACAAATAAATGTATGCCTAAGTGACATTTCTGTGTAATTATATCGTTAATTTTGTGAATTTCGTGGATTTTTGGACCTCACTACATTAAGATGTAAAAAAAAATCTCAGTTGAGTGAGTGTGGTTAATCTACATTTTGAACGTGATGTAAATGTCTAGTGCTATTAATTTTTATATTTTTGAATTCCTCGATTGTTAAGCAACAAAATTGATATATAATATGTCAATATTTGTTACTTTGAAAATTGGCGAAAATCGACCCTAAAAGTAGATGCTTGAGGGTTGAATCTGTTTCCTGCCATAGGTAAAATCACGATATAGCGTCGGTTATTATTCCGGAACTGTACAGCAGTAAAAAACAGTAAAACGATGGCGTAGTCTGTCGAGCCGTTCCGGAAACCACCGGAAATACTGTAAACCATCATTTATTTGCCGCCATATTAAATTATTATTTTTAATACATAATGTTTAAAAATGTGCAAGGATTGATTTTAGTTGCATTTTAAATACTGTTTTGCTAATTATTTTGTATTTCTAATTATTTTAAGTGTATGTGCTAATTATTGCTGCTACTAAACATTATTCTAGTTATTCTTACTACTTTTAACTTTAGTTAATCTAATCGTCTTATTTACTAACAGAACAAGAGCTGGTTGTCGCAAATCTTCTGCAGGTTTTTTCTGTTTCTTAAAAAAAAATAATTAATTACTACACTCGAGTTTATTAATAATATTTAGATTTTCTATCTGTTATTAATTTTCTGTCAATTAAACTGTAAATTAAGTTAAAACATTAATTTAATGCACTTGACTTTATTTTTATTTCACCGGTCAAATAAACTATGGTTTACAGTAACGAATGTTACCGAAACTCAACGAACATTACCCAATAATTTCCGACGCTATAACGTGATTTTACCATTATATAATATAGATCTAGAATCTAGATCTAGAGTTGTTAGGCTCAGTTTAATCAATGAATGAGTTCATCAGTTCAAATTTTCAGTTGAGTTAGGCTCAGTTACTAACAGTTAGGGTACCAACACTTACATTAGAAATACAGTCATTTAGATTTGGTGGAGGTTCTTTGGGCTTTCCTCTTCCGAAAAGACGATTCATTTTTACAGGTTTTGGTTAAAAAGAAAATAAAAATAATTAGAATAAAATTTAGATCTAAATTGGAGACAAAAAGACGGATGACGAACTCCGGTTGATAAAAAATATTACTGTTGTGTTTACAAAATTCATTCAGGAAGTCCTGTTGACTTCCGGGATGATATCATATTTATTTATTTATTTTATTGTCAGTGTTATTAAAATAAAAATCATGCTGCTCAAGTGTTAAAGACATTTTACTAATTTTATTTGTATTACTTTTAAATTAATTTTGCTTCTATGAATATTTTAGTTATGACAGCAAGCTAAACGTAATGTATTTTTTCTCAATATGTAAAACTAACTAAAACTAAAACAATGAAACCTCCCATTTTTAGGACTACAAACGCGTCACACACCCTGTGACTGTGAATGCACCTTTCCAAAAATAGAATCATACTTGTATTTGTGTGTGTGTGTGTGTGTGTAACTGTCATCTCTAAGCTATATTACCCAAGATCTAGGTATAGTCTTATAGAATCTAGTTGCTACAAACAAGACCTCAAAGTCTGCGATTACAATTACACCAGCCTGTATAGGGCTACTGTATTTATATGCACATTCAGCTACCATTTGTTTTCCTGGGGGTGAGGGGAGGGCGGACACAGGTTAAAGTATGTTTTCTATATAAATACAATTTTGTTCGGTGGGGGGGGGGGCGGTCGACTTTCTTGCCCCCCCCCCCCCCCCCCCAGGGAAGCTGTAAGAAACTCTGAGCCATTAACGACGCCACACTTTTTTTCACCACCCCAGAAGGCGTCGCAAAAGAAACGCATCTTTCCCACCCTTCCCAAGAGATGACGCCATACTTCAGCCGACCCAAATCATACTAGCTGCATCCCGTGCTCCGCCACGGTAAATCATTTTTAAATGTACCAACTTTGGAACAGAACAAAACAAACAAAAACAACACAAACACAAAAAACACAACCACAAACACAACACAACCACAACACAACCACAACACAAACACAACACAACCACAACACAACCACAACACAACCACAACACAACCACAACACAAACACAACACAAACACAACACAACACAACTACAACACAACCACAACAAAAACACAACCACAACACAGCCACAACACAACCACAACACAACCAAAAAACAACCACAATACAACCACAACACAACCACAACACAACCAAAAAAAAAAAAAACAACACAACCACAACATTAGAATCACCACCAAACAACACGCTTTTTAGGCGTCCGCGCCCAAAGAGACCCTTTCCAACATTAAACATTTAAGTCACATAAATAGATCCTACTCCATAACTTACAATAAAACAATGCGATGCAAATGAATGTACGGCAAGTGGTGTTTACTTTTATGGTTCTAAGAAAACACATTGGCAATGTAATTAGAATTACCACCGAAAATCACGCTTTTCCCAGGCGTCCGCGCCCAGAGAGAGTCTTTCCGCCATTCTCTATATTATAATTATAAAATTTCACCATCTGTTAGCACCAAAAAACAAAAACAAAAAATAGTGATTTTGAGAAATCATAGACTAATTAGAAAATAATATAAATAATCTTAACATTTTTCTCTTTTAATTATGAACCTTAACATAGACTAATCAATGCGGTAGTAATAAAAAAAAGATTAACTTAAATTATTGTTGAGTTAAATATATTTTCAAATTACCTCCCTTGAAACAATTACCACAAAAAAAAGTGGAATTAATTAGCTTTTTCGACCTACTTTTATGGAAATGTATCCATTTTTTCTAGGAATATAAACTAAAATGATATTTGACATTAATCTTTTTAATACGTTTTAGCAGTTTGCGTGTATTTAATATTTTCTTGACGTTATGCGAAAGAGTAAAAACCGTGGCAATTATAAAATAGCTCTATGCCGCTATATAAACAAACCCTACTCTAATACTTATAATAAGACACTGCGGTGCACTGAAAAGCACAGCGTGGTGCGCAGTTTACTTTTATAGTCCCAAAATCTATAGCGATGACGGACGGAAGGAAGGAAGGAAGGACACGCTCAGCCCGCTTATATTATCACTAGCTGCATCCCGTGCTCCGCCACGGTAAATCTTTTTTAAATGTACCAACTTGGGAACAGAACAAAACTAAACACAACACAAACGAACGCAAAAAAAAAACACAAACGAAAAAACAAACACAACACTCATAACAAACACAATTTAAATGCAATCATATAGGCATATTGCTCACAGTCTAGCCCGTAGCGCCAAATCGCGCCCTTTCCGGTGATTTGCATCCCCTCAAACTTTCGATTTGCACCCCTGTCCCCCCGCCCTAAAACTTTCGATTTCCACCCCCCCCCCCCTCGCGCAATTTTTTCCAACCCACTCTGGCGCCCCCTAAGGTTGGCACCCGGGGACACATGCCCCCCCCCCTCGCTAAGCCTCTCCTATAAAACCCCTAGCTTGTCCGCAAATCCGCAAACCGAAAGATAGAATAATAATTAGTAAACAGTATAAATAATAGGCAGTATTTAAAATATCCGTAGTTTACCTAAAATATTTCACTTTATCCATTCACGCATTTTTTTTTCCAGTGCTTTAAATTTTAAAAACTTACAATAGAGTTTCATAACTAAAACCATTGCGCACCTAATGAACGTAATGACGCGTCTATAATAGTGCTGAATAGTTGATTAAAAATTATAAGTAATAAACAGTAGGGCCTACATTCAGTGAATAAAATAAATAAAAGATTGCCTTTTATCAATCCATGCTAATTATAATTTTCTAACAATAATTTCCTCTTACACATCCACATAATTTGCATTCACATTTTGCTAATTATACTATTGCAACACTAATTCCTTCTATGACGAACGTATATTTGCAGTCACATTTTTTATTAGCGTGAGTTTAATGTATTTTTAAATTACCTCCTTTGCCAAAATTAGAAAAGAGTTAAATTCATTTGATTTTTCTAACCTACAGTTATTATGTTATTAAAATGTATCCACTTTTTCTAGGAATATTAACGAAAACTATATTTGACATTGATCCTTTTAATATGTTTTAGCAATGTGCGTGTATTTAATATTCTCTTTACGTTATGCAAAATTGTACAAACAGTGGAAATTATAAAATAGCTCTATGCCGCTATATAAACAAACCCTACTCTTATTCTTATAATAAGACACTGCGGTGCACTGAAAAGCACAGCATGGTGCGTAGCTTACTTTTATAGTCCCAAAATCTATAGCGATGACGGACGGACGGAAGGAAGGAAGGAAGGAAGGACAGACACAGCCCGCTTATATTATAGATATATTATTCATTTGGCTAAGGGGCATAATCAAGCTTTGGATATTTGCCAAATATATTAATTGGGTAATTCCCCTTTATAAGGTAATCGTCAAATTGATCAATTTTTACAACCATTTTTTTTTTTTACAATACTTCACTTGAGTCTATACACAAGCAACTTGAGTGCGGAAAAAATCAGTATAAAAATAAATTTTAAAATGCGTGGGTCGCTTTTTAAATTCTAGTAAAGGTTGTCAATACATATTAATTAATAGCGACCAACACTTTTCTTAAGTAGTACACTATATTTGCAGGCAATAATTTCTTTTCGCCTTTTTAGTGCATTAAGCTTGTTATTTAAATGTTTTTTAAAATAATTTTTCTCAGTAAAAAAAAATTATTTTTAAAATACGTTGGAAGCTTTTTAAAATCCTACTAAAAGTATTCAATACTTAATTTTAGCGACCAACGCTTTTCTTTATAGTTACTGAAACCGTAGAGTGTTATTATATACGAGCCGACCCGCGGCATATCATTCGCCGCTATTTAGTTGTTTTATTTTTTACTTTTCAGTAATTCATAATTTGTGAATTCGACAGTACCAATGTAGGTCGTTAAGGACGATACTACCCCCACCCTCCTTTCCCCCAACCCCTATCCTACACCTCCTCTTAGTTACCTCCCCTAAGTATAAAATCGTTTCAAACTAAATTATCTGGCCCTAATAGCCGTCACTAAACCCGGCTCTACGACGGTAAACATTTAGCGTGAACCAAAGCTCACCAGACCATGTAGGGGTGGGATGGTAGGGAGCGCGCTTACAGCTTGTTTTCTAGCGTCTCCCAGAAGAGAATTATATATATATATATATATATATATATATATATATATATATATATATATATATATATATATATATATATAAAGAAAATTATTTATTTTCTCCTTTTTAGTGCATTATTACATAAAAGCTTGCTATTAAAACGTTTTTATAAATCACCAAAAGAAAGAAAATTATTTATTTTCTCCTTTTTAGTGCATTACTAGACTACCCGTCATCCGTTGGATAACTGTGGGTTTCGGGGGTCATCCATCAAAAAACATCACGTCTGTCACTCAGAGGCGTAGCGACCCTTCCCTGCGCCCGGGGACAAACTTTTCGATTTGAACCCCCCCCCCCCTCAAGATTTCGATTTGCACCCCCCCCCTCAAGATTTCAATTTGCACCTCCTCAAACTTTCGATTTGCACCCCCCACAAAAAAACCAACCCCACATTCAAAAATATGTTTTTTTTTTCTTTTAAAAACACCGAAAACACCGATTTCGGACTATCCCTTCATATACTGACGTCACATGTGACCTACTCAACTCTACTTCACCTGCCCAGTGTCCCGCCAAGTCTCAGACAACATGTTTTTATCGTTTAAAAAACGATTCCAGCCGAGCATGTCTCTGACCACACTATCTTTTCATATGCTTAGGACAAAGAAACAGATTAATTCTACTTCACCTGCCCTGTATCCTGCCAAGTTCAGATAGGCAACTTTATCATTCACATCTAAAAAAAAAACTGAAAAAAAATATCATTGACATATTGGTCTAGAACCTGTGCCACCCGCATTAGAGCCGACTACACTACCAACTTAGCTATTTACTCGTGACGTCACAAGTGAACTTTTATACTATACTTTGAGTCTCCTTATGCAACTTGATTTACGCGCATAGATCTAGAACTAAGTCTAGTAGCAGTGACTTTCAAATTAAATTTTTATCTTAAATTAGCCAAACAAAGATTTATATAAAATAAAGAAGGTCTGAAATTATCTAGATCTAGATAGAATTATCTAGATCTAGATTCTACGACTCGCTTGCTTAAGTCTTAAGTTTAGTTTTTCTTGCTAGATCTGGAATCTAGATCTAGATTTAATCATTAGCTACGCTAATAGGCCCGGAGCGAGCATTTCAAAATTACCATATTCCAAACAAAGATTTATATAAAATAATAAAGGTCTAAAATAGTTTAGTATATAGAAAATCATTATTATCTAAATCTAGATAGAAAATAATCTATATTTTAGATCTACGACTGAGCTATATTTAGAATTTACGTTTATAATTTAGCAAAATTACCGGCATCGAAGCCGCGTATGAATCTTAAGCTACGCAAATAGGCCCGGATCCAGCATTTCAAAATTACCATATTCCAAACAAAGATTTATACAAAATAATAAAGGTCTAAAATAGTTTAGTATATAGAAACTCATTTTATTATCTAAATCTAGATAGAATTATCTATATTCTAGATCTACGACTGGTTTGCTTAAGTCTCGTTTTTTTTTATTGTATTTACAACTAATAAATCTTTGATTTGACCTAGATTCTAGATCTTGATCTAGATCTATAAATAACTTTCTTCGACAGATTGTAGATCTAGAGAAATTTATCGTAAAACTAAATGAAAAAGAGAGTTGAAAATTGATATAAGTGTTGGAACATAATAAATACAGCAAACGGACGTATTGTTAAAGTTATGACCGACAGAAAATTAGATTTAGAACGCGTTAAACTTTTGAATGGGAACACAATTTTCTTCGATAGACGCCGCCATTTTATTGTACTAAAGAGTAAACAAAAAACTGTGACGTCACGGTCCCGCCGAATGTAGTGGTCGTTCTAATCTTTTTTAAAAAAATAGGGTTAATCTACCTATGAATCAATCAATAAATTAATTAACGTCTTTAAATAAATGTGTGATTAACAGTCTGTCTTAAAACAAAAAAATTTTCTCTACCTACATACTATTTTACAGCTCTCCACGATGAGTGCAACCATGTACAATAGTCAATCAGCCAAACAAAAAAAAAAAAATATTCAAACATGTAAACAAACTTGACTTTTAGTAGTATATAGATTACATAAAAGCTTGCTATTAAAACGTTTTTATAAATCACCAAAAGCCAATAATCGACTAATATTTTCAGGAAAATCTTCCTAGCGTAGTCCCATTAAGACAAAAATAATAGAGGGTACTTAAGTGTGACGTCATTTTCGGGTGAGGGATGGATAAATTAGCCGCCGTAGAGCGCAGTGAGGTTGTAGCAGTAGCGTAGCGAGGGGGGGGGGACATATGTCCCCGGGCGCCGAGCTTAGGGGGCGCCAAAATGGGTTGGAAAAATAAATTGAAAGGTTGAGGGGGGTGCAAATTGAAAGTTTGAGGGGGGGGGGTGCAAATCAAAATCTCGAGGGGGGGTGCAAATCGAAAGTTTGAGGGGGGGGGGTGCAAATCAAAATCTCGAGGGGGGGGGGCAAATCGAAAGTTTGAGGGGGGGGGGTGCAAATCAAAATCTCGAGGGGGGGGGGCAAATCGAAAGTTTGAGGGGGGGGGGGTGCAAATCAAAATCTCGAGGGGGGGGGGTGCAAATCGAAAAGTTTGTCCCCGGGCGCCGGGAAGGGTCGCTACGCCTCTGGGTTGTAGACATTCTTGGTGAGGCAGAAGCTGAGACTAAAAACTTGTTGGGTAAAACTTGAGAAACTCCATACATGTCAAGTGTGGCACTGTCAGTCAGATCAATGTCAGTCGTGGCTAAGCGTCAGTCAGCCAGAGTTTCTTCCAGGCATCTCTTCAGGGGGGGGGGAGCTCCGCCCCTCCGAAAAAGTCTACCTCCTCCTCCCCCCTCCCGAAAGAAATTAAATTTATATAGAAAACATACTTTTACCAGTGTTCGCCCCCCTCCCCCCCCCCCCTGAAAATATCAAGTCCCCCCCCCCCCCCGGAGAAAAAAGTCTGGAAGAAACACTGCAGTCAGCCAATGTCAGTCGTGATTAAAAGTCAGCAATAGGATTAAATAAGGAACTATGCTACCCCGCTGGACGAACTGTCCGTAGAACGAACTGTCTGTAGAACGAACTGTCCATAGAACGACAGACTCAAAATTGTGCCGTATAACGAATTGAACACTGGGCCACCGAATGTCAACATAAAACAGGAAAATGTTGGTGCAAATTGTAGTAAATAAGAAAAACAAGTAATTAAAAAAAGTCTAGTGACAATTTTAGCGCAATTTCCTTATGTTATCTAAAAATAGCTCTGTCGTAGCGTAAATCAAGAGCAGGGTTAGTAAAACCATTGGTTAGTTATTAAAACGTTTTTTATCAATTTTTTTTTTCAGTATTTTACATGTTTTATTTACAATAGAGTAACATGACTAAAAACCATTGCGCGCCTAGCTACCGAACGTGATGTCGCAGCCACTGAACATGATGGCGCAGCTATTGAACGTGATGACGCGTGTGGTGTGGTTGGATAAAAATGCCTACTAATTCGGTCCAAATTTTAATTAATTCAAAAAAAAATTTGTGACCGAACGAAAGGATATTTTTGAAAACTTTCTTCGGCAATATTGTTCTAAATTATGGAAAATCGATTGGTAAATGTTTCAAGTCGCTAAGTGGTCTAGTTGCCGAGATATGGGCCAAAAACTGCATTTTTTCGAGTTTTTTTTTTTGGCTTTTCCGGAAAATCCATGAAAGAAACCCGGAATTGTTTTGGCCTATGTTCATCCTAGTAACTTGCTAAACATAATTGCTTTTGGAACTAGTCATCGATATTGCTTCGTTGAGGAGGAGATACGACTTAAAGCTGCGGACACACATCCATTCATTCATACATTCATACATCCAGAAATGACGGGTTAATAAACGCAATTCTCCAGAATGGAAATTGCGCTAATGAAAGATACATTTATTGATGCATGAAGCAATAAACCAAATTATAATTCGATGTCCTTTTAAAGACTAGTTGCGCACCAAAAACTGCGCACTAAAAATAGCGTGTCGGGACAAAAATACACCACCGTCACAAAGTTTAGCAAAAGATGGAGTAGGTACCTCTCTACTTCATTGGCTAACTTTGTTTTCAAACGTCTTTCACATGATGACTGTCAGCTTGTTGGGTTTTGTGTGAACATCTTTGAAACGAACCCAACCCCAGCTAGAGTTGACATCATGTACTTGATACATCTGTGTCTTGGTCTGCTGCTACTGGGAGCCACAGGTCAGTTGGGGGATGGAAAGAAGATGACTGGATCTAGATCTAGATCTATTAAATCTAGCTACAGCTAGATCTAGATCAATGTTGAAAGAAGATGACTGGATATAGAAGTAAATCTAGCTACAGCTAGATCTAATCTAGATCTAGATCAATGTTGAAAGAAGCTGAGTTATCAACATTGTAATAATAGACGACGTTTTGTTTTCACACCTAGTGCAGTGTATACTGTCAGTATAGTGTATACTGCAGTAGCGAGAGGGGGTGGGGACATACGTCCCCGGGCGCCGACCATAGGGGGCGCCAAAATGGGTTGGAAAAATAAATTGAAAGGCTGAGGGGTGGGGGGAGGGGAAATCGAAAGTTTGAGGGGGGGGAGGGTGCAAATCCAAATCTTGAGGGGTGGGTGCAAATCGAAAAGGTCGCTACGCCTCTGGTATACTGTATAGTTAGTGGTGTGCGGATGGGAAAAGTCAAAAGAAAAAAAACCCCAGAAAAAAGTCACTTTTTGCTCGGAAAAAAGTCAGATTCGTCTTTCTGAAATCATAAAAATATTATCGAATTCCATGCTAATACACAATTATGACTTTCCTTTGTTTTTTCCTCTCTGATTTGTTTTTTCCTATGAGTTTTTTTTTCCTATAATCTAATTAGTACGTGCTTGAAACCAACCTAATCATACATGTTTAACGTGACCGCATCCGTTTGCCAGACATATATATGCAAAAATCCGAATACCAGCCCAGAGACAGGCTGACCCGCGACGTGGGGCAGGCCGCAGGTAACGTGACCGTAGCCCCGCCCGGTGATCAGGTGACCCAAGCCGCGCCCAAAGATGAGTTGACCGACGCCGAAAGCCCACCCAGTAATAAGGTGACCTACTACCTGTTTTGGGCAAATGCTGACGTCACTCAGCCCAGGTTCAACGCTTTCTCCATGCTACAGACAACAATTGTGGTGAGTAGAGATACACGTGCATTGGTCACTCACACGTCCATTGATCACTCACACGTGCATTGGTCACTCACACGTCCATTGGTCACTCACACGTCCATTGGTCACTCACACGTGCATCGGTCACTCACACGTCCATTGGTCACTCACACGTTCATTGGTCACTCACACGTTCATTGGTCACTCACACGTCCATTGGTAACTCACACGTCCATTGGTCACTCACACATCCATTAGTCACACGTCCATTAGTCACTCACACGTTCATTAGTCACACGTCCATTAGTCACTCACACGTCCATTAGTCACTCACACGTCCATTGGTCACTCACACGTCCATTGGTCACTCACACATCCATTAGTCACACGTCCATTAGTCACTCACACGTTCATTAGTCACACGTCCATTAGTCACTCACACGTCCATTAGTCACTCACACATCCATTAGTCACACGTCCATTAGTCACTCACACGTCCATTAGTCACTCACACGTCCATTAGTCACTCACTCACACGTCCATTGGTCACTCACACGTCCATTGGTCACTCACACGTCCATTAGTCACTCACACGTCCATTAGTCACTCACACGTCCATTAGTCACTCACACATCCATTGGTCACTCACACGTCCATTGGTCACTCACACATCCATTAGTCACTCACACGTCTATTAGTCACTCACACATCCATTAGTCACTCACACGTCCATTGGTCACGCACACATCCATTAGTCACTCACACGTCCATTGGTCACTCACACATCCATTAGTCACTCACACTAGCATTAGTCACTCACACGTCCATTAGTCACTCACACATCCATTAGTCACTCACACTAGCATTAGTCACTCACACGTCTATTAGTCACTCACACGTCCATTAGTCACTCACACGTCCATTGGTCACTCACACATCCATTAGTCACTCACACTAGCATTAGTCACTCACACGTCCGTTAGTCACTCACACATCCATTAGTCACTCACACTAGCATTAGTCACTCACACGTCTATTAGTCACTCACACGTCCATTAGTCACTCACACGTCCATTGGTCACTCACACGTCCATTAGTCACTCACACGTCTATTAGTCACTCACACGTCCATTAGTCACTCACACGTCCATTGGTCACTCACACATCCATTAGTCACTCACACGTCTATTAGTCACTCACACCTCCATTAGTCACTCACACATCCATTAGTCACTCACACATCCATTAGTCACTCACACGTCCATTACTCACTCACACATCCATTAGTCACTCCCAATTCCATTGGTCACTCACACTAGCATTGGTCACTCACACTAGCATTAGTAACTCACACATCCATTAGTCACTCACACATCCATTAGTCCCTCCCAATTCCATTGGTCACTCACACTAGCATTGGTCACTCACACGTCCATTAGTCACTCACACGTCCATTGGTCACTCACACGTGCATCGGTCACTCACACGTCCATTAGTCACTCACACGTCAATTGGTCACTCACACGTCCATTAGTCACTCACACGTCCATTAGTCACTCACACGTCCATTAGTCACTCACACGTCCATTAGTCACTCACACGTCCATTAGTCACTCACACGTCCATCGGTCACTCACACGTCCATTAGTCACTCACACGTCCATTAGTCACTCACACGTCCATTAGTCACTCACACGTCCATTAGTCACTCACACGTCCATTAGTCACTCACACGTCCATTAGTCACTCACACGTCCATTAGTCACTCACACGTCCATTAGTCACTCACACGTCCATTAGTCACTCACACGTCCATTAGTCACTCACACGTCCATCGGTCACTCACACGTCCATTAGTCACTCACACGTCCATTAGTCACTCACACGTCCATCGGTCACTCACACGTCCATTAGTCACTCACACGTCCATTAGTCACTCACACGTCCATTAGTCACTCACACGTCCATTAGTCACTCACACGTCCATCGGTCACTCACACGTCCATTAGTCACTCACACGTCCATTAGTCACTCACACGTCCATTAGTCACTCACACGTCCATTAGTCACTCACACGTCCATTAGTCACTCACACGTCCATTAGTCACTCACACGTCCATTAGTCACTCACACGTCCATTTGTCACTCACACGTCCATCGGTCACTCACACGTCCATTAGTCACTCACACGTCCATTAGTCACTCACACTAGCATTGGTCACTCACACGTCCATTAGTCACTCACACGTGCATCGGTCAATCACACGTCCATTGGTCACTCACACGTCCATTAGTCACTCACACGTCCATTAGTCACTCACACGTCCATTAGTCACTCACACGTCCATTAGTCACTCACACGTCCATTGGTATGGGACCTAACGCAGTGGGGATGATGGTCAGAGTAAACTTATATATAGGATGAAACTGAACAGTTTTTAAATTTGGGAATTAAACAGTTGTAACAACTTACACCTGTACCATGACAACTTACACCTGGTACATGACAACTTACATCTGGTACATGACAACTTACACCTGTACCATGACAACTTACACCTGGTACATGACAACTTACACCTGTACCATGACAACTTACACCTGTACCATGACAACTTACACCTGTACCATGACAACTTACACCTGTACCATGACAACTTACACCTGTACCATGACAACCTACACCTGTACCATGACAACTTACACCTGGTACATGACAACTTACACCTGTACCATGACAACTTACACCTGTACCATGACAACTTACACCTGTACTATGACAACTTACACCTGGTACATGACAACCTACACCTGGTACATGACAACTTACACCTGTACTATGACAACTTACACCTGGTACATGACAACATACACCTGTACCATGACAACTTACACCTGGTACATGACAACTTACACCTGTACCATGACAACTTACACCTGTACCATGACAACTTACACCTGGTACATGACAACTTACACCTGTACCATGACAACTTACACCTGGTACATGACAACTTACACCTGTACCATGACAACTTACACCTGTACTATGACAACTTACACCTGGTACATGACAACTTACACCTGGTACATGACAACTTACACCTGGTACATGACAACTTACACCTGGTACATGACAACTTACACCTGGTACATGACAACTTACACCTGTACCATGACAACTTACACCTGTACCATGACAACTTACACCTGTACTATGACAACTTACACCTGTACCATGACAACTTACACCTGTACTATGACAACTTACACCTGGTACATGACAACCTACACCTGGTACATGACAACTTACACCTGTACTATGACAACTTACACCTGGTACATGACAACTTACACCTGGTACATGACAACTTACACCTGGTACATGACAACCTGTACCATGACAACTTACACCTGGTACATGACAACTTACACCTGGTACATGACAACCTACACCTGGTACATGACAACCTACACCTGGTACATGACAACTTACACCTGTACTATGACAACTTACACCTGGTACATGACAACTTACACCTGTACTACGACAACTTACACCTGGTACATGACAACCTGTACCATGACAACTTACACCTGGTACATGACAACTTACACCTGGTACATGATAACCTGTACCTAGACAACTTACACCTGTACCATGACAACCTACACCTGGTACATGACAACCTGTACCATGACAACTTACACCTGGTACATGACAACTTACACCTGGTACATGACAACTTACACCTGGTACATGACAACTTACACCTGGTACATGACAACTTACACCTGGTACATGACAACTTACACCTGTACCATGACAACTTACACCTGGTACATGACAACCTGTACCATGACAACTTACACCTGGTACATGACAACTTACACCTGGTACATGACAACTTACACCTGGTACATGACAACTTACACCTGGTACATGACAACTTACACCTGGTACATGACAACTTACACCTGGTACATGACAACCTACACCTGGTACATGACAACCTACACCTGGTACATGACAACTTACACCTGGTAAATGACAACTTACACCTGGTACATGACAACTTACACCTGTACCATGACAACTTACACCTGTACCATGACAACTTACACCTGGTACATGACAACTTACACCTGTACCATGACAACTTACACCTGGTAAATGACAACTTACACCTGGTACATGACAACTTACACCTGGTACATGACAACTTACACCTGTACCATGACAACTTACACCTGGTACATGACAACTTACACCTGTACCATGACAACCTACACCTGGTACATGACAACTTACACCTGGTACATGACAACTTACACCTGGTACATGACAACTTACACCTGGTACATGACAACTTACACATGTACCATGACAACTTACACCTGTACCATGACAACCTACACCTGGTGCATGACAACTTACACCTGGTACATGACAACTTACACCTGGTACTTGACAACTTACACCTGGTACATGACAACTTACACCTGTACCATGACAACTTACACCTGGTACATGACAACTTACACCTGTACCATGACAACTTACACCTGCACCATGACAACTTACACCTGTACTATGACAACTTACACCTGTACCATGACAACTTACACCTGTACCATGACAACTTACAACTGGTACATGACAACTTACACCTGGTACATGACAACTTACACCTGTACCATGACAACCTACACCTGGTACATGACAACTTACACCTGGTACATGACAACTTACACCTGGTACATGACAACTTACACCTGGTACATGACAACTTACACCTGTACCATGACAACTTACACCTGTACCATGACAACCTACACCTGGTGCATGACAACTTACACCTGGTACATGACAACTTACACCTGGTACTTGACAACTTACACCTGGTACATGACAACTTACACCTGTACCATGACAACTTACACCTGGTACATGACAACTTACACCTGTACCATGACAACTTACACCTGTACCATGACAACTTACACCTGTACCATGACAACTT